AATAAAAGTTTTATTTTACAAGAAGTTTTATTTTAAATATCGTTAATTTCAAAGAGCTAAGAATTCAACTCTGAAACTAGAGCGGTAAAGGTCTGGTTGATGTACTGCCACATTGTAGTTTTTGTTTTTTGTTTCCTCTTTTTTAATGTTGCGACTTTGTAAGACTCCACGGAAAACAAAGGATATTTGATATTAGAGAGCTTAAAAGCAACAACGATGGCGACTGCTACAAAAACAACACTTAAAAAGTGAAATCGCGCAGCTGCAAACCTTTTTTTGCGCTTACTCCATCTTGTTCAATTCGTCAAATGTTGGCAACTTTTCCTGGAGTTGAATTCTAAAAGACTGTATCGAAGTTCAAGAAAAGAAAAAGGAAGTCGTTGTCTTGTGGGATGTTACTAAAACGGGGAACGGGGAGCGGGGAGCGGGGAACGGGGAACGGAAGTCTGGGAACGAGTTGTCAGCGGAAACCTCCATAAAAATCCAAAATGGCCGGTAAGGATCAAGGACCCCTGTAAGATCGATGATAGAGAAGCGTCGAAACAACACTAAAGGTCGCTATTTTACTAATGAACTATATGCTCATGAGGTGCTTGAAATAATACGGAGGTAATAATGTCATGACATTTTTCACCTTTTTGCGTTTTACTAAACAACAAAATATGCTCCAACAGCAGTTGAAAGAAGCTACAGTCGGGACAAAAACTCTCAAAGCACAGCCATATTTGGAACTCAAGCGAATCTATACTGGGTCTAACTCACAAAGCAATGAACTACTTTTGCTTGACGCTTTTCGTAGGGTTTTGGCTTAAATACATGCTGAAAGATAACGTAGATCGAAGCAGCCAGGTGTATTTCCTCGACAGTAATAGTGTAGCAGTGGAGCTCCTTCTTAGCTGTAGCGTTTTTTCAAGCCCAAATTAAAACATGTTGGCGATGAGATAATTTACAAACCTATGATGAGAAGTAAGTGCAATTGTATTATTTGAAAAGATAAGATGGATCAGGTTATTTAATACATCAAGAAAAGGCAACTTTAAACATATTAACGGGGAATGTGCCAGGAACATCAATCATACCTTGGTGTTAAAGATATCAGTTGTTTCAAAGCAAATGGCTATGCTGTGGTTTTATTTAATTATAACCTAGGTTTAAATTTTTTTTTTGCTTCCCTTTGTTTGGGGGTACGGTAATATGAATTTTATGATTATGAGTTCAAAACAAAGAGAATAAAATTCAAACTTAGGATAAAAGTAAACCACAACTGAGCTGCAATATTAAGTGTTGCAATTATACGTGGGGGAAGTACTTTGAAGTCTTTGGTTGGAAGGTACTTTCTAAAGGTTAGCTGTTAAAATATGCATGGTAAGTATACTTCCTCTGTTTAGCCCTCTGGATGCTTTTTTTTTTTCTAGGGGCACTCCTTTAATGTTTTTGCAGAGGGGAGCTCTGCTTCTCTTTAATGAACATTATTTTTATTGTGGAGAAAAATATTTCAAGCTCAGTGTAAAACTGAATGTGTCAGTGACTTAAACCAGTTAATATTGTCAAGCTGCTTTATTAGCTTGATTCAGTAATATTGCAGTGCACCTACCATCAAGCATCACATCATCAATGTTGCAGAGGCTGGCACTTTATTAGAAGGTGGTTGATAAGCCTTCAAGCAAGCTGTCTGTAGTTTTGGAAATAAAGAGTCTAAGGTCTCACACAAGTGATGGGAGGCAAAAGATTGGAGTACCGATATGTTTTTCAGTAAACACGCGCAACTGTATGTGTATAGTGGCCACATTACGCTTACTCAATGCATGTAAAATAACACAATAGATCTTGCTACCCATTTTCCCTGATTTTATTTCCCCTCCAGGGGACATAATTTCTTTTAACATATTGGGGTTTTCAAAAAAGGGGCAAGAAGCTTTTAAATGAATTTTAATTCATTTAATGAAGCACAGTATCAAAGAAATTAAAGAGAAGAATCAGACTAGAGTAACAGTAACCCAGAGGGGAGGGGGGGGGAGTACTCACCAAAGAGGCTCTGCCCCAGGGACCAACCCTTTACCCTTTGTATGTACCATTTTAGACAGAAAAGGTACCCCTTTTGTATACCCTCTAGTGACAAATGGTACCCCTTTCACATACCTAATTTTGAACGCTGCATCCCTTTTTAACTGCTGTAAATACACCATCTTTACAAAAACAGGTTTTCTTGTCTCTCACATCCATAAAATGCATCTGTGACTGATCTCATTTTGGTCCCTTTCATATACTTCAACTATAAAAACCCCTTCCCTTTCATGTACCTGAAGCCTGAAAAAGGCTTCAGGCTCTGTTTAGGTCATTATAGTACCCCCTCCTCCTGCACCGAGAACAGTACTTGATACAGCGATATTGTATGGTATGAATTGCACCAAACGTTTCGTGCCCATGAAGAGGTACTTTGATTATTTTACGACATTTTTCTTCAAAAGGGAGGGGTTTGGGATCTCATTCTTAGGGGGGCGGGGGTTAATTGAGGATCTGCAGTGAGTGAGAATGTTGCATTCAATGCCATCCAATGGTTTTGATTCAGGAAAGGGTCGTCAGGGGTATTTCGCAGAAAGACAAATGGCCACTGTACGACTTTGAAGCAGTTACTGATTAGGGTGAGGAAAATGAGTGAATTAGGTTCCAGTAGGGTCATTATACTGGTCTATACTGGGCAAACTGACCTGAAACAAATTGTTTCACAAAATAATAAAATGATATTATTTTATTTTCATGGATCAGTGAAACACTTCAATATCATGAATACTTGCAGTGTAGTAGATCTAATAATATTAAAAGCAGAACCAGATTGTTAAAGTAGTCTTACTAATTATGTGATGACGTAGTCAATAACATTTTTCAAAGCAGTCATCTCTATCAAAGGAAATAGTAGAAATTTGCACACAAGCTACTTGACTACTTCGATGTATGTTATCTATCATGGAAAAGTAGTTAATTGCTTTGTGGGCTAGACTCAGTATAGATTCGCTTGAGTTCCAAATATGGCTGTACATGTGCTTTGAGAGTTTTTGTCCCGATTGGCTTCTTTCAACTGCTGTTGGAGCACATTTTGTTTCCTACGGATAATTGTTTAGTAAAACGCAAAAAGCTGAAAAACGTCATGAAGTTATTACCTCCGTATTATTTCAAGCACCTCATGAGCATATAGTTCAAGTAAAGTAACGCCGTTATCGGTTAAGTTTGTTTCGACGGTTCTCTATCATCGATCATCGGCCATATTGGATTTTTATGGAGGTTTCCGCTGACAACTCGTTCCCAGACTTCCGTTCCCCGTTCCCCGCTCCCCGTTCCCCGTTTTAGTAACATCCTTGTCTTGTGTTCACTCCCCCCACAAAACGTGAAATTAGGCCGGCACAGTGACGGCAGTAAAATGTACAAAAAGAGTGATGCATGTGCAAAGTTGTTGTTTTGCCATTTTTTGCCGCTTTCGTTGACTTCGCCGTCGACGTCGTCACGTAAGCTTCTTTATTTTACCCAGCAGTGTACTAAAGGACCCAAACATGTTGGGGCTCAGCACCCGTTTGTGTGCAGCTTTGTTTATATTTAAATAAATATTATAGATGTAAATAATATGTAATTAACAAATATAATGTAAATAAAAGTGACGAGTTTATAAGTACAGAATAGAATTTTCATTAACAATATTGTTGTTTCTCCAGGACTGTTAAACTTTGTGAGAGCCCTAGCCCTGTCAATGGCAGTTTTAACCCCATTTCTTTGACTGTCTTCTTCGTAACGCTACAGAAGCATTTCGTGTATGGCTAAAGGGCTATGACTTCAATACAGAAAAATCGTGATCCCGCACGACGTCATTGTTTACATTTTTCCTCATTAGCATACGACTTAACCAGCCGTGGCCGGAAATATGAACTAAATGCAAAAATTGAAAAAGCTGATTAAGTTGAGCAATTTGTATAATTTTCAGCTCTTTGCAAGCAATATTGAAGGAAATTTCAGCCATTGAAATCTGCGAAATTTCTGTGTGGCAAAAAAAGTTAATAAGACATACATTCTATGTAAAATTTCGAGTTTGTAGAAGAGAATTTCTCCGAAACCATTCGGTGTATTAGGCTCAAATCTTCAGAGATAACTGAACCTGTTATACCTTTCAATATTCAGCGTCATCAGATGGTCATAAGCATATGTTAATGAGGCAAAAACAGTGTAAACAAACTGATTCGCATGTACGTGCGGTTAATCCACGCGACCGGGCACGTCAACGTTTGCTTCAACAGGCTTGTAAGAACAAAACGTGGACAATGAACTGCAGGATAATAAGGATCTCGATGATGCAGATCAACGCTATTTTAGGGGGATTTTCATGGCTCAGAAATTCAAAAACTCCAGATATTGCGTGCACATTTTTTTAATCAAATGGTATCAAATAGCCTAATAATAAGAGGACGTGAAATGGAAGACTTGAAGGGGAACAGAAAAGCGAAAGATTTCTCATTGTGGTCTATATTTTATCCGCTTTTCCACATGGCAAAAATCCTCTAAAGAACCAGAACATAATTGGCTGTAGTCTTGCATTAAATTGAGGATATTGCGGAACAGGACCGATACGGTATGTTACTCACACACCGCATACGTATCGAACAATAATAAAGCAACATGTTTAGGTGTTGACTACGATGTCAGAGCTGGCTAAGGTTTGATTCATGTGGAGGAGTTTTGACTTGCCTTGTTTATACCCCGCGAATAAGTTTAATTAGTCTTAACAATGTCTGCTGCATGTCTTGCTACAGTTAAATATTGAAATCACAGAAAAGAGCTATTTTCAATTGCTATTCCACCCGGAAATATCCTCGCTACTTGTTCGATCTTCAGGCTCCGTATCCGCAGTCCAGCGGTTACCAATCCTGGTTCTTTATTTTCACTGAACTTTGCCTCTTCCGTTTTCCCACATGTGACTCCACACAAAGCACGTTCAAAACAAAAACGTTCCTTATTATAGAAATATTACACCATACCCTTATATACTCGAAACGTTTTCAAGATGAAAGAAATTTGGGATCCTAAAAAAATTGCTTCGAGCATAACGAGAGAAATCCAGGCATTAGCTGTACTTTTCCAAGTCTGCTTGTTTCTCTTCGGGGGTATTTTGGGCATCTGTTTGCTCTTAATTCTGCTGTTAAATGAATACACCAGAATTTTAGCTGTCCTCTACATCGGCTGGGCCTTTATTTTAAACTCTCGAACGCCATCTCGAGGAGGCTATCCACAGGCGTTACAGATAGTGAGAAGATGGAATATGTGGAGGTACTATTGCGACTACTTCCCTATTCAGTCGGTGAAAACGACGGATTTAGATCCAAAAGACAATTACATCTTCTGCTACCATCCACACGGGATCATGGGCTTAGGAGCACAGGGTAACTTCTGCGGGGAGGCAACCGGCTTCTCAGAAAAGTTCCCAGGGATTTATCCTCATCTTCTGACGCTCTCAATGAATTTCAACGTCCCCTTTATTCGAGAGTACACCCTATCAGCGGGGGTGTGTTCTGTTGACAAGGGCAGTATCGAATATATTTTGACGAAAATGGGCCCTGGACATTCAGTCATTATTGTTGTCGGAGGAGCTGCCGAAGCGTTGGAAGCAAGACCTGGCAGCGTCAAATTAACGCTAAGGGAAAGGAAAGGATTCATAAAACTTGCGTTAAGTAATGGGTAAGATTTAAAATCGCTTTAAACTAAATTTTGTGTAACTTTTGCACTTTTGCCCCTCTTAATGTGAGGACAAGTTTTTCAGTAGCCTAATCTAAACTTCTAAAAGTCTGCCAATTTCCGACTTCTTGACTTAGCCCAAATTTAAGATTAGTTACCATGGAAACTAATAGGCTCTTTTTTTCAGTTGAGCAAAGATTAAATCTAAATGAGTCTTGGGGCATCATTCCTCTTCTAAAAATTCCTGCTGGAAACTGTTAACAAACTTTTTAGATCAGTATGACTTTGTGTCGTTACGCAATGCTGTGAGGAAGAACGTTGCCTGACAACACAAAGAAGGTCTCTGAAAGAGGACTGGTATATAGCGCGTCATGTATCTTTCATTCTCTTTCCTCTTCCAAAACTTCTTTCCGTAAACTTTTAACCAGCTTTACATCGGCGCTGTATTGTGCACCTTTGCAGAGGAAAGCAACAATCTAGCAACAGGGGCCCGAACGACAATTTTCGGAAAATTATCTGTTCGGAAGACGATTTGAGGTCTAGAATTTTTGGATCATCTTCTGACAAATTTCTTGCTTGCCTGCCTCTCCTAGGATTTTCGAACTTCATAAAAATCGTATAATTGCCTATTTTTAACGGATTTTTACCCTAAAAAGGTCACCTAGAATTTTCGGGAACCTTTTTTCTGGCTGAAATTTTCGAAAAGGTAAATTTTGATCACTATAATTTTCGGACCACTATACTTTCAGCTAGGAAATCCGAACAGATGAAAAATTTTTAGGGGATAAAAATAAGCCTTTATCTACCGTTTAAATACTAAAGTACGTTCAACAATGCTATGTTTATGTGGTTTTGAACTATACTCTCTTTGGGTGCCCCTCTAGCAACAATTGTTTTTATTTTAGAGCCTCCCTGGTTCCAGTGTTTTCCTTTGGGGAAAATGACCTGTATGACCAAGTAAGTAACCCGGCTGGGTCATCCCTGCGGCAGTGGCAAACAAAGATGAAAGAATACACAAGAGTAGCACCAGTTCTCTTCTATGGCCGCGGGTTTGGACTACTACCTCACAGAAGGCCTATCCACACTGTGTGTAAGTTAAGAAATAAAATATATTGGAGAATACGTGCAGTGGTGTAATCAGTGGGAGAAAAAATCTAGGATTAGTATTTTGATCTCCGATACTTTGGTCACTTTACAACAAAATGCATGTGTCAACCAAAGTAAAAGAATTAGGATTCCGGTATCCGGGAAATTTTTGCTTGTGGAATCCGCAATCTTTGGTTTTGGAATCCAGAATACAGCTCAAGAAATCCGGAATCCCACAAAAGATTGGAATCCAGGATTCAATTTTCACTTACAAAGACTGGAATCCACGGCGTGGAATCCAGAATCGAAGACTGTCTGGAATTTCCTTACAAGGGGCGAAACGTGCCAGCGATATTGGCGCTAACCGGTAGTTCATTATTGTTTTTACCGTGGTTGCTCTGTACTTTGCTCCTGCGGTAGCTCAAAGTTCATTAAGAATCATAAGCTTAGGGGGCTAATATTAGTGTTATTTTAAGGCATTATCGTGATGTAAATCACTATTTATTCTTCTCTCTTTTCCAGTTGGTGCACCTTTGAAAGTCGATAGAGTCGAGAATCCTTCAAAAGAGGAAGTAGATAATCTTCATTCGCTCTATGTTACAGCGTTGAGAGAATTGTTTGACAAACACAAGAAGAATTATGGAATCGCAGAAGACGTACATTTGGAAATCTGTTGACTTCCGTGTATCCAATAAATGACAGCTGACTGTAAATTAAACACAAGGGAGCTGTTTTTCTATTAGTTCTGTCTTCAAAAAATAGTCTGCTGAGAAGACATGTGCGCTTACTGGTAAAGAATGACCATAAATGTAGTTTATACTTTGTTCATAAGTAGTTCTTTTGTAAGGACCAGTTGGTTTACAGTATTGCGCATGCATCCAGCGCAAGGAGGGAGAAGAAGGGGCCGACAAAAGAAGCGTTGGGAGAATTATATCCCTGGGTGGATAGGGTTGAAGTTTTACAACGCCCTAAGAGAAGCTGAAAACAAAATCAAATGAAGGGAAATAATAAAAAAAAGGGTTGCTATGTCCGTGGCGCCCCAACGGTCACCATGAAAAGGGGATAGGTGCAAGGTACATGCACCCTTCATAGTTACCTTCTTCTCTTACAATGTTTTAAAGTTTCAAATGTCAATATATCTCAGCGTTTCAATCTTGAACGACAACTTATGTACTTTTGAATATAGATCTCTTTATACATAAGAAAAAAAAAACCAACAAGCTCAGCAAAGTTCTCCAAAGCTCTACTGAGTATCCATAGCAGATCTCGACTGTGTTAAATACAGTTTTCAACTCCCAACGTCTCCAAATATCGGATGCAATTATTATTCAAAGTGGTTCATTTACTTTGATAGTATCAAATAGTTGGTCTAAAAAGAGAATCTTTTAAACATATGAGGGAAAATTTGGCAATATATGGCAGGGCGCAAGCGTGAAGTACTGACCAGGCCGTGGGTTGGGGCATGTGTGCCCCTTGCTTTAAGTTTGTCTAATATCAAATAGACCTCTTTATCTTGTAGGTTTTGTTTTCCCAATAAAGGTCATGTGATAATACTCTAAAGAACAGTTTCTTTCAAATTTCGTCTTATTCACCTGCATACGTACGCGTAATTTATGAATAGACAAAGAATAAAGTTCCCCTGGGACCTCTATTGGGAAAACAAAACATACAAACTAAAGAGGTCTATTCCAAGGCCTGTTAGTTTAATCCTAACTACAAGAACATTTACTTCGAAATAGGGACTGATTTAAACTACCTACTCAATTTATTTTTTCTTTCAGTGTACCTTGTTTTTCTTTTTTATAAGTTCGTCTTTTATTGATTAAAATAGTACTGGCTTGATGTAATAAACATCTTGGAGAAAACTTGAAATATGATATAGGACTTCCAGCAATATTTTTGTGCGGAAGTAGTTTGGTTTTTAATCACAAATGACCCACTTCCTTCATTTATGAAGAATCACCCATTCCTTATCGGAAAAATGGAATGATCGGCCCCAAATCAGAGGTGGCGGGAAACGCCATTCCTTACTGATCCGTCGGCCATTTTGTTCTTTTATTTGGTTGGCTTGGAGACGACTATTGGGCATTGCCACAGGCAGCCCAATACAAAATCTCGACCCGTTTCAACAAGCCGTTGAACGCCGGTTTGACTTCGATGTTCTTGAGGTCTTACAAGACTTGGTCTTACTTAAGGGCTTATTCACAGATTGACTTAGCGCTTTACTTGCTATAAGCCAGTATGAACAAAAAGTACACTTCCCAATGAAGATAGGTAACGAAGACCCTAAAACCCACTGCGTGACTGAGGACTAGCTATGTTATTCAGAATTACGTATTTTTTTTAGAAAACAGATATCAGTAACGTACGAGTTTTTAAGAAAAATTCGTTAGTATCATGGGAAGACGAACGGGACATTGTCACCGTACACCCCTTGTTCAAAGCTTCTTATCCAGAATAGCCTGCGTGGTAGACGTCATGTTCAAGTTTAAGACCCAAGACCCAGAATAGCGGCATATACCTGTGTAACGTTAAGCCAAATAAGGGAGAAACCCCGGGCTTCCATCCCAACCCCATCCGCCCCACTGGGCTTTGTGTTTTGCTGTATTTTATTGCACTGTTGTCTCTCGGACTAAAATAAAGTGAAAATAAAAAAACGCCTATAAATATCTGTTGCCGACATGTTTATAATATTGGTATAGTTATTACTGGTAAGGTCTTGGGAAGGGTTGTTTTTCCCCGGAATTGAAATGAGATATCTTTTGAGCAGAGGTTAATTGCTACTCAAACCTAATCACACATACACTAATCCCTATTTTTAAAAATATCTAAGAAAACAACAGGTATTCGAACCCCGACCGAGTCTGAAGTCTCGCAGGCAGAGTTTAAAATACTGTTGAAAGATCTCATCTTCCGGGATTGCACCAAAGGTCCCCGGTTGTACGCCTGGTGTGATTTGAAAAGGTAACTTGTAATATGGGTAACTGTACGGTTAAACGACCTAAATGACTGTCGGGCGCTGGTACGTGGCTCGGAAACCAAATTTTTGAGGTTTGTATTATTAACTAATGTTCCACGAATGATTCTCACGTGGCCACACGGCATGCACGCGACAAGTCACTTTACTTTCGCTAACGTAAGTAAAACACCTTATATTGTAATAAGGACTGTGGACAAAGGACTACAGCAAAATAACGACTGCCTCAGCCAATGCTATTTCTGTAGCCAAGGGCATTTTCATGAAACAGAAATCTTATAGATTTGGGTGATCGCAGGAGAAGATACGTCCTTATCCTCTATTGGTGATCGTGCAGGGAGAAATATAAAAAATTCAATAGTCTGCTAATTTAGTGAGTCGTTACGTAATAACCTAATCACATCTATAAATATAAAGCCTAACACCGAAAACGAAAGTCACCCGCAGATAAGGGGGCAATTCAAATCTGGGACAGGATCAATCAAGCCCGTTTTTTTATCCAATATTTTCATCTATATATAATATGCGGGGTTAGGCAAATCCAAAACAGTAAGATCGAAAAGAAGGCAGCCACCCTGAACTGAAATTTGGGGCTGTAAATTGAAACCAAGACATTTATTTGTTAAAACAGTTTACAATATCTCTGTGCAATTAGAACAAATGTTCTTTTAATTTGTAAATAATGTTTTAATATGTTTAGCACCTTTTAAGGGTCACTTCATTTTGTGTTCATTTTATGTCTGTTATAGAAGTTGCAAGATGATATGTTTAAATGTGTTACCGCCGCGGCTCGTGATGTCACGTCGGAAATAACGTCCCTTTTATCGGCTGACAAAAGTTAAATTCAACCAGCATCAAGTCACTAAAAGTCACAATTTTTCTCCACGGCATGCATATTTTTTGCTTCCTTCTATTCTGTTTTCGATACCTTTTTGAAATAACCTCAGTATTGTATAGAACTTTCCTTAGCAGCTTCAATGTAGTCCGTAATCCAAAGTCCAGGTTTCGCAATCAGACCGGTTTGGTAATTTTTTTTGTCTCTTGTTTTGAAATCAGCCTTTGTACTGATTCCCGCAGGACACTTAAAGCAAAGTTGCAAAATTATTTCACTAGTCTGAAGTCTATGTGCGTACCATGGCGGACGATTTCAAGATGGAGGAAGCATGGGCTCTTTCAAAAATTGCTGTGAATATAACGAGAGGAACACAAGCATTGGTTGTTCTTTTCCATGTCTGTATGGGTCTTTTTGGTGGCATCGTCGGTTCATGTCTGCTCTTACTCCTCCTATTAAATGAATACACCAGAATTTTTGCTGCACTCTACATTGGCTGGGCCTTCATATTAAATTCTCGATCACCGTATCAAGGGGGCTGTTCACCCGCATTGCAGATAGTAAGAAGATGGAAGATATGGAGATACTTCTGCGACTACTTCCCTATTCGACTAGTCAAAACTACAGATTTGGATCCCAAGGACAATTACATCTTCTGCTACCATCCCCACGGGGTTCTGTGTTTGGGAGCACAGGGCAACTTCTGCGGGGATGCAACCGGCTTCTCAGAAAAGTTCCCAGGGATTTATCCTCATATTGTGACGCTGTCCATGAACTTCAAACTCCCGTTAATCCGAGAGTACAGTCTGTCAATGGGGGTGTGCTCGGTTGAAAAGAACAGTATCGAGTATATTTTAAAGAAGATGGGCCCTGGACATTCAGCTGTCATTGTGGTTGGAGGGGCTTCAGAGTCTTTGGAAGCTAGACCGGGCAGCTTCAAATTAACACTGAAGGAGAGGAAAGGATTTATAAAGCTGGCCTTACAAAATGGGTAAGGTATATTCTCGATAGTACACTAAATTTTGCGTTAGATTTGTCATATTTTGATAATTCAACATTTAATATTTTAATATTCAATAATATTTTAATACATGTATTTGAAACTCATGTTTGCGTCCCGCGCGTTGCGTGACTGACGCAAACGTAACGTCCTTGGCTCTCTTCGTTTCAGACAGCACTAAGCCTACAATTCTGCAGATCAAAGGAATGCAAGTGATAAATATGTTGTTGAAAGCAAGGAGTAGTCATGTATCTTGTAAGACGTCTACCTCAAGGGCCGTAGCAAACTTTAAGAAACTAGGGGGGCACTAAGATTTTAGGCAGCTCATTGTATTTCATGTGGAATTGCACGCATTTTAGGCATCCTACTGATGAACAGTTGCGACACGTAGATATATATTTTTTAGCAACTACTATAATTTGCAGTCTGTCCACTTTGAATTGGAATTTAAAAAGCTGAGGGTTTTGGGTGTCGAGTACCCATTGGACTGGTCTCTGTATCTTAAAACCAGAAACTGTTTCACCTAGCTGCAGAGACATCATTGTTTCAATGTTCTGGCAGATGATGCGTGCATGTTTTGACTTTTTGGGGCAAAAAACTGGGGGGGAGGCTCGACCTCCCTCGGCCCTTCCCAAGGCTGCGGTCCTGTCTAGTCATCATGTATCGTTTTTAGAACAGAGCTCGAAAAGTCAAACTTTTACACCAAGTAGGCTTTAACACAATTGCCATCCTCAATTACATTACGGACCCCCCTGCTCCGGCAACGAAAACGTCAATTAAAAAGACAATTTGCGCTGCCTCAAACTTTATCGGGCTTAATCCATTTCGTTTAATTTGTCAAATGCTGGGAAATTTTTTTAGAGTTAAATTCTAACTTGGGACTGTATCAAAGTCCAGGAAAAGGAAAACAAAGTTGTTGTCTTCTGTTCCCGTCCTCGACAAAACGTGGAATTAGGCACTGTCACTCTGTAGTCGTGCAACGACGGCTAAGAAATGTACAAAAAAGCGTGATGCACGTGCAAAGTTGTTGTTTTGCCAATCTAAACTTTTTTGCCGTTCTCGTTGCCGTTGCCCGTTGGTCTAACGTTGTGGACGAAATCATCAAACAATATGTTTTGTCATTTCAGAGCCTCCCTAGTTCCAGTGTTTTCCTTTGGAGAAAATGACCTGTATGATCAAGTGGATAACTCCACTGGCTCATCACTGCGGCAGTGGCAAACAAAGGTGAAAGCATACACGGGAGTATCACCAGTTCTCTTCTATGGTGCTCTTGGACTGCTACCTCATAGAAGACCTATACACACTGTCTGTAAGTTAAAAAGTCGTTGCTGAATGTTATTTTAGAGACCTTTAGATGCTAAGACGAGGACGACTACGACTACGAATATACGAGATTTTCTCAATAGTAAGTAGTGCTCGCGCGTGAACAAGCGTCATTTTGGCGGCGGAAAACGTGATAGTCGTCGTCTTTTTACTACGCGTTTTAGCGAGAATGTCGTAGTGACGGACTGACAAGTTATCAAAATTATTGTTGGACGGTTTTATCGTTTTGCGACCGGTAAAACGCTTAACCTTCTTCAAAAATGTTGACTGTGCTAATTTCTGTGATAAAAAAAAGAGTGCAATAAAGCTTTCCGGGAAGTCTATTTTTTGAGAATACGCGAAAAAACTTAAAGTTAAATCTCGTACTAGTAGTCGTTCTTGTCCTCGAATCAAAAGGCCTCTATTAGGGAACGTTTTTAGGGGGTCATCAACCTCATCCCCAGAGCTTTTCCATTTTCATTCCTTTTCCTTTTTCCCTTCCATTTTCTAAGGAGAAAGTCTCGGAGACAAGGTTTGGGGGTCATTTTAGGATTACACACCCGCTTACCCAAGCGGTGAATAAATCTCTCGCGGTTTTTATTTTCATACGCGCGCTCGATGGTCTCTACAAAAATTGACGATCTGTGAACAGATTAGAACTGTGCCAGCATTATTGGCGCGAGCCCACGAAAACAGATTTGGGTTTTTAAAAAGAAACTGCGTCCTCACGATGTAAATAACAGCCCCTCTGGTTCGTGTCGTAACATTATTGTCGAAGAGCCTGGAGACAAAGCGTTCCTTCCCCGTAACTGACTGTTATCGTACAATACCGAAAAGTATGGCCCGGTGCGTATCAGTTTTTCCATCGTTTTTTTTCTAGGGCCCTATTTTGGAAGGTGATTTATACATGGAGGTGCTTATAAGAACAGGGAACTGATATACTTTTGAAAATTTTAAGGTGTTTACAGTAGCTTAGTACAGTATGAGAGTTTAAAGTTTATACCTTGGTTAACAGTGAACTTTGATCCTATACGGTAGCTCAAAGTACAACTCAGAAATCTAACGTGTATTTAAAAAAGGCTCGTATCGTTCGAACGTTTGCAACCTTGCGTTTTAAATGTAGGCTGCTTTTGTTCGGGAGGACTATTTTGGGAATTTTGAAGCAATATGAAATATCGTGGTGTGCACCGTACTTTTTTTTTTCTTAATTTCAGTTGGTGCTCCTTTGAAAGTCAACAGAGTCGAGAATCCTTCAAAAGAGGAGGTAGATAATCTTCATTCGCTCTATGTTACAGCGTTGAGAGAATTGTTTGACAAACACAAGAAGAATTATGGAATCGCTGAAGATGAGCATTTGGAAATCATCTGACTAGCTAAATGTACCGGATAAATCCGCATGAGAAGAGTAAAGAAGAAGATAAGAAATATTAAGTCATAAATTGCATTTTCCCTGACAAAAGTAGGCTCTGATAGCAGAGAAACTTGAACTGTTAAAAGTGAAGTTATATATACGACTACAGTGGCTGATCCAGACCTTCAGATAAGGGGGGAGGGGGCGAGGGCGGTCATCCAGACCCTGAGATAAGGGGGGAACCGGGACCTCCCAGCCCCTCCCCTTGATCCGCCACTGGACTAGGACGACTAGGTTGTGCCTCTGTACTTTGAGATTCATCGACCAAAAACTATGTTTGATGCAGAAATTAAAGTAGAATTCTCCCCTCATGTAGGGGAAAACCGATACAGCCTTGAATTCTGGATTCCACGTCGTGGATTCCGGATTTCCAGGCACTGGATTTCAGTCGTTAGTAGGATTCAGGATTTTCTTAAACTGTATTCTGGATTCCAAAGCCCAGGATTCCGGATTTCACAAGCAATTTTTTTTTCCGGATTCCAGATTCCACGAACTGAAAAATTTCCGGATTCCTTTCATGGGGTGATAGAATCTTAATTAAGAAGGAGGAAGGCTGAACACATTCAGTTACTCTCCAGTTATTCCGTTTAGTTTTTAATTAATCTTTTGTAACCTGGTCTTACAAGTCTTGCCTCAACTTGCAACACCATAGGTTAAAAAACGGATAAATGAAGGAATCTAAATACCCTGCCTTTAAAGTAATTACAAAGATGTGCATGATATCTTTAGTGACCGCTGAAAAAGATGTACATGTCCATCTTAATTTCACAAATTCCGACAAGAAAAAACCTGTTTATTTCTGTCTATTGTGTAGTTTCAAATTTTTAACGTCTCGGAATTTGCTGAATATTCTACTTTACGTCCCTAACCCTGTATAAATTTTCCGTTAATGTTTATATTCTGTAGATATTTTTTAATTCACTTAAATTTAATTTAATTTTGTTGATGAGAATTACAGTATAGTTTGTCTTCGAAAGGTTAATACTAGATAGTTTAATTTTGATCAATGTATATACCTAGATATTTCATTTCTTTTGTTGTAAAAATTTAATTTAATTTCCTCATTGATGGAATTACAACTATAGTTTGTGTTGGAGGTTAATAGAAAAAAGTTTAGTATCATTTGCAACTTATAGAAATAAGGTAGTTTGTTAGAATAAAAAATAATTTGGATTCCTCATGGTATGGATCTTTATTAGCTACAGAACTGGATATGTTGGAACTTATAGAAAACATATTCGTATCATAGTTTTCAAAAATAGTTTTCAAAGTTTAGACAACTGAATGTCATGCATGGTTCTAGAAAGAGACGTAAAGTAACCAAGTTTTCATCCATGGCCTTTGGAAGCTTTTAATTATCAGTGGTTACTGAAATAGCTTGCGCAGTTGATTATCCTATTCTAACTTAAAATGACGCTTAATTAAACAAAATGCCATGTTTTTCTGAGAAGTTGTGTTGTTGGTTTTATGTAGAGTTATCTTTTAAACACCTTATTACAAGGTAATAAAGTTGAAATATGCCTGCAGTTACCTGGGTGAGTAGCATCATCATGTGTGTAAACTCGAGTGACCTGTTACGCTTTCAGTACAATTTGGTAACAGGTAATTGCCTGATTGCAGAGTTGCTCAGCAGCCAATTTCATCTGTTAATTAGGTATGTGAATTGATGATTTGCTTGCATTTAGGACTTTAATCAAGGTAGAAACCTAACGACAGTTTTAGTCAGAAATTCGGCTATTTCGTCCTCGGATAGCCATGAACGCCTTTCTCTTTTAAGTTCACTTCGGCAAAATCAGCTAGGCTGCCATGTTTAAAAGCTCTGCACCATCTCATATCAGTTATTTCCTGGAAAAAAGTCTGTTAACAATATCTGAATCTATTATTACCTACATCTTCCAAATAATGTCAGCACCGGCTGGTCATTAAGAATTAGAGTCCATAAGAAACGGCGAAATATTTTCAATGAACAGTAATACTTATCTAGCAGATTAAAACTCGGGTTTTAAGGTGTAGTTTACGATTTTTTCTTCCTTGCAATTAATCAGGTTAAATGAAAAGTTTTAGCCATCGATATCTGTTTTGTTTTCGGGGGAAAATGTAAAGGCCGCAAGCATTGCCGGGATTTTTTTGCGAAATGCTACCCTTTACTTGTCATACTGTAGAATATACAAAGGGTTTCTTGTCCGGCCTCTAACTGGCTGTATTCCTTATGGCATGGGATAGTAAAAGCCAGCCTTTGGATATTATCAATACATTTAGCGTATACTGTTGTTGTCGTTGTTATTTGAATTGTGTTCCAATTTATCACTTTCATTTGTCTTCTCGCTTCTTATGGTTTTGACAATACCGGAAGCCTTTGATCCAAATAGCCGTCCATCGAAAGCTTGAGCCTCTTGAAAACTTTTTCCTGACAACAGCTCGATGACAGCAATTCGAAACGCCTCTTTTTTTACTGTGTAAATTATCGTATTAATTACTGAATTTAACAAGAGAGGCAAAAGGCCTACTTCTCTTACCGCCATGAGAACATCAATGATTTCTTTGGCAAACAGTAGCCGAGCAATGACAGTTATTATATTAGTTATTATTAAGAACTAGAAGAAAAAAAACCATCTTAAAGATTGACAGGAAAATGCTTGTTGGGAAGTTTTCAGGGAAAGTGAGTATGTTTGACAAAAGTTTTCAGCTGGCCTTTCAGGAAATGTTCATTTCTTTATCAATGCGTTTCTCTTCGTTAGACTTGGGAGACAATGCGTTCTCAACTCCTTATCCACTTTCTATTTGCAAAACTAAATGAGAAACTGTCAACTGAATTTTTTCACAGTCGTACCTCCATTAAGCGGCCACGAGAGCCATCATGGCTCTTGGCGGCCACCCTTGAGGTACCGGTAAAAAGTGGCCGCTTGATGGAGGTTGATCATAAATTAGCATAATCTTTAACAGGCATCACTGACTTAATTTTGAAACACATGCGATGGGAGCCGCAAAACTAAGTTATCACATTCATTAAATTTTCCCTTTTATCACATCCATTTTGAAATCGCTGGTGATCTCTCGGCAAGCTGATTGGCACTCAGCAGTGTGATTTATTCACGAATTGCATTGTTTTTTGCTCTTAATCACATCGGTTCTAAATCGCATCATTCTAAATCTTTTTCACTTTTCAGCAGACTGGCTACAGATCACTATAAGTTTGGTACTGAAATAAGCTGAATTCTGCGATTTAAAAATGGCTGTAATAAAGTGCACAATAATTATCTTTTCTCTCAAAAGTGGTATATAAAGGTTGTCAGCTGAATCTTTCACAGTCTTAATTTACTTCCATTAGGCGAACACTCTTGGGGTACTGTCAAGTGGCCGCTTGATGGAGGTTTGCCTTGAAATAGAGGTTCGTCAGAAATTAGCGAAATCTTTAATAGTAATATTTTCAAACAAACAAGCGATCGGAGCTGCATTATTGGTCCAATCGGTCGGCACCCAAAAGCCAAAAGACTCTTGGTACGAGATTGGGCTAAAACCACCAGCAATGAATATTTGTTACTGTGCTTTTTCTTTATAGTTAAATCAGGGGGATAGCTAGGAATTTGCGAAATATTTTTTTTTCTAATCAATCCTACCGGTCCCCCGAATGCCCCGAATGGGCGACGTGACTTTATCAAATTTCCGTTTTTTTTATATCAATATACCGTGTGGTAATCATCTCAATTCGTCGAAAGCCACGTTCTTCGGGGAACAGTTACGGCTTTCGCGTGTAACAAAATCGGGAAAAAACATCGCAGTCCCGCCGCATTTTGTACGGTTACAATTTTATGTTGGACACTTTTTCTAGGAATGCGCGGGAATGCGCAGAATGAGTACAGGACTATACACCGCTCAATGGTTGTGTTTTTGGTGGAAGCGAAGCAAGAGTTCATCTTGATGATTTCGATATAACCCCTTTCGTCTTTTTTGTAATTGATTATCTCGTTGTTCTCTTTTAATACCGTAAAATTCCGAAAATAAGCCCCTCCATGTATAAGCCCCTCCAAATATAGGCCCCCCAATCCGGTAACGCGAAAAACCGTCCGTTAAATCGCCCCTCCAAATATAAGCCCCCCGGGGGCTTGTTCTTGGAAAATTGCCCTCAAATACAAAGTAAAACCAAGCAAAAATGGTAAATTTACTTCCAACTATAAGGCTAGCCCAATCGATTTTGAAACGCAAATTTCCTTCCGTAGATAAGCCCCTCCAAAAATAAGCCTTTGAAAAATATAAGCCCCGGAGCTTATTTTCGGAATTTTACGGTATGTGACTGTTAGACACGGAGCTGAAGTTAGGTGACCTGTGGCGCTGGCTTAGACACCCGGCCTGCGTTTAACAAAGATGGCGGCCAAACAGCCAGCTCAAAGAAGAGATATCTTAACAGATTCGGTGCGGAATTCTTCGTGAGAGACCTCTGCTAGCAGGGAAGGTGCGGAATTGAAGGAAGATTGTCTATCAACGTATCAAAAATGTCTTACACTTTTTTCAATGGGATTTCTCATGTACGTGGATTACCAGCCAGACTAATCGTTTCCCAGCTCACTAAAACTGTGGGAATAAGAGTAGCCTCTGGTAAAACCAGCTTTAAAGTCCTTGATGGCTCCATTGATAAGAACAGTCCAGTATTTCTTTCAAGACTTCCAGGCAGAGAAAAAATGCACAAGTCTTACGAAGAGTTTACTAACTTAGCGCTGCAAGGAGGCGGTGAAAAAGCGATCGAAAGGCACGTCAAACGGAACAAAAAGCTCCTAGTTAGAGACAGGCTTAGTAAACTGCTCGATGATGGCACAGATTTCCTTGAGTTGTCGCAGTTTGCAGGGTTTGATCTTGAGTATGGTGATGTGCCCAGTGCTGGGGTTGTGACAGGGGTTGGGCAAGTGTCCGGGCAACTGTGTATGATTATAGCAAATGATGCGACTGTTAAAGGTGGAACTGTTTATCCCATAACTGTGATGAAGCAGCTAAGGGCACAGGAGATTGCCGAAGCCAACAAACTTCCTTGTATATTTCTTATAGACTCTGGTGGAGGCTTCCTACCTTTACAGGTAAGGTTACAATAAAAAACGTTCCTAATAAATATTCTTCCGTGTCTGTCGAGGCACTGCCCCCTCTCACTTAAAGATGACGGAATCTGAATCCTCAAATTTTTGTTTGGCCTGCTTTTGAAAATGACATCCAAAAGGTTCCTTTTTGCTTGAAAGATTTGTCCAAAGGGTCAAAATTTTGTTGGCTTGTTTGAAGAAAAAATCAAAACTTCGCCTGTTCAAAAACCTGTCTACCTTACAGGGGGCGGCGGAGGGAGGGAGGGGGTATGGGGGGCTGGATAAAAAAAAGGAACATCCCCTTCCCAAGAGCAGTACAAATTTTATTTCCTTACTTGAAAATTGCCCCATCCAAAGTTTGAACAGAATTTTTAGGGGAAATATTAGTTTGTATTCACAAATCATAGTCCCAGTTAAAGAAATTTCTAAGCGACTCTCTCTCCAGTCCCAGGGAAAGAGATCGCATTCCTCTGTAGTTGCTTAGTGTTGCAGATAGGTAAAGTCATCAAATAGCATGATACAAAAGATCAACAAAATGGTGAACAATACCGACACACCACAAAAGAACAGCTAACCAACAATAGTTTCCACAACACCTAGAAACACCCCATTTTTCCAGTCCAAAATACAGCCCCAGTTTTCATGAAAATAAAAGCTGTGTTATAGTATACATGTAGAATATCTCTCACAGCAGATCAGCCAGCAGATTGCATTAACTAACGTAACTGAATGAATCTGTCTTAAAACAGGCTGATCTTTTCCCGGAAACTGGTGGACGAACATTTTTCAATCAGGCTGTGATGTCAATGAGAGGAATTCCAATTGTAAGTGAGGTTATATTTTTTAGTACCAGTAAAGCAATACAGTTTGTTACAAGGGCTCTGGTTTTTCACTATGTTTCTTAGCCTTTTTTATCATCATAATAATTTTATTACTTGCTGAGATCTCCTCTTTTTCAGTGCTTCCGATTGGTTAAAAATTTGCTTTAGCCAATTGGAAACACCACCCAGATCTTTGTAGTGATGAGTCATCAGGATGGAATTTTTGTACTTATTCCACAGATGTCATTTTGTGGGGAAATCAATGGTACAATTGTGAAATATTGGCTGTTTTCTCAGGCTAAATAAATATCTGAGACTAGCACAATTTTGGCTTAAGAATGCTTTTCACCGACAGTCTAGCAAAAATGCCAGTCATGAATTTTTAGCATGAATCTGGTGAGAAGCCATCCAGATTTTTGTCTTTTTTGCAAACAGGAACATTAAACCACCTTCATCTTCTATTGAATTTTCCTTCTTTATGCAGATCTGTCTTGTATGTGGATCATGTACGGCAGGTGCAGCCTATGTACCCACAATGGCTGATGAAGCTGTTATTGTTGATAAAATTGGAACAATATTTCTTGGTGGTCCACCTCTAGTTAAGGTAATAATCATTATAATAATAATGTTAATAATACAGATAATAATAATAATAATAATAATAATTATTATTATTGTTATTAATTAAGTGTCGTATTTAACTGCAAGGCATCTGACTGTCATGTTTTACCTTTCTACATGTATTGCCATTTCAGTTTGTGAATTGGAAGAAATATTTTTAGAACTCTGCACTTGTTTACTCATGTTTAAAGTCCTTACAGCTGTTAGAAGAGAGAGCCTTCCTACAATGGTGTACCAAAATTGAATGTATCAGAAACAATTCTAAACTAAGAATGTTGTGTTTATATGAAATATTTTTTTCTTTTACAATGGTTCTTCTAATTTGGAATTTTTAGGTTATAAGCACTTTAACAACCTTTTTACTTTTCCCCCTTTTACAATAGTATAAGGGTTAATAGTTGTTGTTGACTTTCATCCAGGCAGCCACTGGTGAAGTTGTTTCTGCAGAAGAACTTGGTGGTGCCATGATGCATTCTAGGTTAGTAAACAAAAACTTAATGTTGGGCTGTAACTATTTTTTCATTGACAAGCAAATGCAGTAAGAAAAAGTATACAGCTCTCGGATATATATATTTTTTTCACTTGAAACTACCCAGGTTTTATGCTGCTCAGCAAAACGGGGAAAGACTTGCTCCTGGCTCGGGGGCCTAAGTGATAGCCACTATGCTCAATTTTCAAAGTGAATTCAGCAAAAGCTCAAACCCCTAGTCATTGTTTATTTTTGAAGGGACTGAACTGTATTGCTTCCCTTGCATTTCTTCTAATGTTGCAATTGCCTTCACATTTAGGGTTTTTACATATTTTTTTATAATGTAATATACAATCTTTTTGAGATGTTTGTCAAGTAGGTGATTATATTGTGATCTTGATAGGATGATTTTATTGTGATCTCAAGTTGTATTAATAATCCTTGTGCATGTACAGTGTTAGTGGTTGTACAGATCATTTTGCAGTGGACGAAGAAGAAGCACTGGAGACTACAAGAAATATCATTGCTACTTTAAATTGGGATCAGTCTATAATGCCATCAGGTACATAAAGTTAGCCTCTTGAGGTGGTAATTGTTACACAGGATCATTCATAACAAGAAGTTTTAGCTCAACACAGTGTTGTAATTTTGGAACAGTATTGCAACCAGTAAACATCATGGCAACGTTGCAAAGCTTTGTTGTGCTATAAATTGTTGTTGCAAATCATAACGTTTAGTCTGTCAGACAGTCAGTGAGTAATTGGTTGGTCAGTCAGTCAGCAAGTTGAATTATGGTGATTGGTCAGCTGGTCACTTGGCCAGTCATTCATTCATTCATTGCTTCAATTTGTCCGCCAGTTGTCAGTCTAATTGGTACAATTTGTTAGTTGGTCTGTTAATAAGTCTGTCAGTGAGTCGTTTTTTGGAGTTCAGTCAGTCATTTTCAATTGGAACATGTTAGTTAGTTGGGAGGCATATGTGGCTGAGCGGTTAACACCTCGAACTCTGGATCTGGAGGTCCGGGATTCAAGCCTCGCCCGTCGCGTTATTTCCATAGACAAGGAACTTTACTCCACTTTGTCTCTCTTCACCCAGGTGTATAAATGGGTACTGGTGACATGCTGCTCGGGGGTAACCCCGTGATGGACTAGCATCCCATCCAGGGGGGAGTAGCAATACCCCTAGGTGCTTCATGCTAATGAAACCGGGATAAGCTCCGGCTGTTTGGGCCTTTGGCTTGTGCGCGCCTTAACCTTTTTATGTCAGTTACTTGCTCTGTCAGTCAAATTAGTCACTCTATTGGCCTGTTAAAGTCAAATCAGAAGTTAAGTCAGTTATTCAGTTAGAAAGGCTAGTATACCAGTCATTATTTTGGTCAAGGCATTTACATGTGCATGTAGTAACCGAATCAAGCCTAAGTAAAAGTTAGCTAGTCAGTTAGAGATTCAACTTACTTATCTTAATGCTTACTTGCTGTCCTTTTTCAGATGTATGTGCTCCTTTGTATGACCTGGAAGATCTCTCAGTTTTGGCCTTGTATGAAAGCTCGGAATTTCCAATATATCAGGTGAGCGTGTCAGTCAATCCTTTTAATCCTGAGAGTAGCAAACGTAAAAAGTCAAGAAACATGAAAATAAGTGGTTTCATTTGAATGGTAATACAATATAGGATAGTGACCACATACTCAAACATTCATACAACCACATGAATGAAAGGGTTTAATTTGAACGGTCACGGTCTTTTCGCTACAAAGTCGTTTCGCTTCATCATAAAGTCGATTCGCTGCAACCAACTTTTTGTATTAAACAGTTTAAAACAATTTAGAATGAACTACAAACGGTAATAACGAGTTAACTTAGCGAAACGACTTTACATCTTTGCAGCGAATCGACTTCACTGCGCAGCTAAACGACTTGCAGCGAAACGACTTTGTAGTGAAACGAAACGACCATACTCCCACAATAGTATTTCGCCCATAGACTTAAAATTAAGGACGACATATGCATTCAAAACAAAATAACTTCTGAAGAGGTTTCATTTTCATGATCACACCGTACTCTTTTATTCACAGACTCAAAAGTTGAGAGCAATATAGAAAACAAATAGCTGAAATAGTACCTTGTGAAAATTCTGCTGAAGAGGTTTCATTAGAATTAATCTTAACAAAGTGCAGAAGTGAGGATTTTGTGCACAGACTCAAAAATTAGAAACACATTGCATGATGTTGTCCTTGAGAAAATCTGGGAATGGAACAGGTTGTAAACAAGACCTATCGTTGCCCTGAAACGTCTGTGTGGGTTTAAGAACCCTTGAGGCAAATATTCTGAAAAGCTCCAGAGAATTTGGTTGAAAGACGTCTGTATGCTTCAGTTGTTTATTCTTAACTCACACGTGTCCCAGACTTTACTGGGCTGTATTTTCCATGAGTCGTAATTACAGGTTTTTTCGTGGGAATTCTGGACATAATATCAAGAGTTCAGGGGACAAAATTTGTGGTCAAAGGAGGTTATTATTGACCGATGGAAAGCTGTTTCAGCGAGCTTTGCTTCAATGCAAGCCATTTTCTTTGAATAAAGCCGCTCTCTCGAAGAAATTTTACACGACAACTAATAACTCAACATGCATGACGTTCCTACCTTTGGAGGCCAGTTACAGGCAAAATATACACGTTCTGTACTGCCCACAGATATTTGAAGAAAAATCCGCTTGGCCGAAAAATGGGGTCGCATGGCTCAAGCAAGCACGAAGGCGGCTCGGCCAGGAACACGTCAAACAAGCGGTAGATTAATTTGCAAAATAGCAACTCTGCACGTGCAGCACACCTTTTTGTTACATTTCTTTATCGTCACGACACGGGTGCAACATGAAATTTCACGTTGTATGGTGGACGCAAATCCAGGGCGAAGATTTTCTTTTCTTTTTTTAAACTTTCTTACGGTCCTAGAAAATTCAACTTCTGAACAGCAGGCCTACATTTGGAATGACAGCGGTGAAACGGTTTGTAAAAGTGTAAGACAGCGCGAACTCACTTTCTAATAACCTCTGTCCCTATTTTGGAAAGGCTTGCTGGTGAAAAGAGGTTTGAAGCTCTTTAACCGGTAGTAATAACTGTGAAAAGCAAAAGCTGCACTTCCCTGAACACGGCCCTCGCCTAGGGACCGTTCATTTTTTATGGGGTAGGGGGGGCTGGTGGGATTTGGAGGAGTGTAATTTGAAAATTGTATGACCCCCCCCCGATTTCCGATTTTTTTCGCATGGCCCCCCCCCTCATCAGAGTAATTTTTAGGAAGGCCCCCCCCCCCATGAATAAAAAAATACATAAGGTATTAAAAAAGTTACTGCATTAAAATTTCGTTTTGTTACATTTCACGTAATTTAGTGAAAGAAAGCTGAAAGCTAGAAAGCTGTTTTTAACAAATCCTCACTCAAAAGAATGAAAAGTCAATTTCAGCTCTTCTTGTTACTGCTCGTCCTCAGCGTGTAGTAGCTGGCCGCTCGTCTACATATTCCTCGTCTGAGGCGATAATAGCAAGAACGACATCATTTGAGTCGTCTTCAGAGTCAGGGGCATCACTCTTGTAATCATCATCAGTTTCTTCTCCCTCACTGCTTTCACCACTGCTGTCTAGTTGACCTGATTCATTGCTGCCTCTCACTTCGGCTTGACCTGTTCTGAGAGTATTCATCTGCAGGAAGTGTCCCATAATTGTCTTGACTTTGTCATTCTTGCTGCTCTTCTGATGCTGTTTTAATAGCCCATGATGTTGTAAGTATTTGTTCAATTCTGGCACACGGAGCTTTTTTAGTTTGGCGGCATCTTCGCACAAAGTAGCCCAATGATAATCATCATAGGACTTTTCTCTTGCCTCCCTACTTTCCCTTGCCCTTTCCGCCAGTCTCTTCTTTTTTTTAAAACTCTATGACCTCAAGATGCTGGAGATAGTCAACCACAAACTTTGGTTTCACAATGAATTTGTCTCCAAATCTAGCTACGCTCTCTGGGTCTGACAAAACTACGCTACCACTGGCATGTGCCTTTTTCAACTGGACTCTTGGTTGCCAATCGTCTGGATGACGCCCCTCATTTGGGGTCTGCTGATAAGGAAGGTAGTAGTACTGTGGAAGGCAGGCATGATCAGGAAATGGTTTCGGGCATCTCCCTATAGGTGGTCCAGTCCATTCACAACAAAAAGAACAAACTTGTCCTACCTTTACTCCACAAGAAAACTTCAGAAACTCCCTGTAGTTCTCACCCTCCTCATAATGTTCGTTAATAAACTTCCCTATTTTCTGGAAGTAACTGCTGATGCCGGCATCCCAAAGAGACTCCAAAAAGCAAGTCTTGGTTTCATTGCTAATCCAAAAGGAAAAAGATCGCTTTACTACATGTCTATCATGAAGGAAGCTCACACCAAGATGCGAAAGGATGGTGAAAGCGACGAATCCCTTAAAAAGCGATTCACTGCTGAACGATCCAGGCAGTTCGATTTTTTGATGTCAGAGGAGGCCGCTTTTCAAAGGGCAGATGGTTGCTCAGAGAGGTTAGGAGAGTTACTACAACCAGAGTACCAGTTAAAACCTAGTGATGGACGGACACTGAACTACGTTATAAAAGAACACAGAGAGGCTGTTGAGAAACTGAAAGGGCAGTTAAAAATTCTGAGTGATCATGACTCCACGCTCTTCCGGGCGAATGGCATTACCCTGAAGCCTGACAAGAAATTCCACCATGACTTCAATGTGCAGCACAACGCTAGGATTGAGGCAAAGCAGCTCAAGGTTTCACGGGAATTAGAAAACCTCGAAAAAAAGAAGGAGACCTTTGACCAGGTCTTCAAGGGCTTAACAGGACACTATGTGTCAAAAAAAAGAAAATTAAAACAAAACCGTAGGAAATCAAAGGGCAGAAAACGCAAACGGTTTGAAAACAACGTCCTACGCGTGTATCATATCTGCGTTGCAAATCCCCTTGCAAAAGAGCTTCCCAATTGTCTTCTTTATCCTCCCTCCATGACAATTCCGGAAGCGTGCATAAACGTTGAAGATGTAGCAGCATTGTTGCTAACACGGGATGCAGCATTCATCGCTCACCTACTGCAATCAAGCTACTTCAGCAAGGCGGCACAAAGCCGGCTTATTACCAACCTGAAGCCAGAAGTAAGAAACAGGATGTATTGCTTCCTGCATCCTGAAGATTATAGCTCAAACGTCGGAGACACGAACAAAGAGGAAGAAGAAAACGACGAAGAAGAGGAAGAAGAGGAAGACAACGAAGAAGAATAGGAGGAAGAAGAAGAGGAACACAGCGACGACGAGATCGAAGAGAACGTCGAAAATGAGGAAGGGGACACCTCGTAGTAGTTTCATGCCCCTCCCATTAAATTTCTCAGAGAAAAGCTCTGGTAACGAGGTCAGCTCCAATTCAGGAATCAAATTATTGGTTTTAATTATATGAGCTTGACAACAACATTTTTATGAATGAAAAGAAAGTTGTTGCTATTCAAGACTGTTATTATGGTATGTTCACTGTCCTTATAAAATATAAAAGCTGTTGAGAAGATTTCTTGTTACCCTGGAACTGTTTTAGCATATTTGTTATAAATAAAAGAGCACAATTTTTCTTCCATTTGTAAACATCTCTTATCCTATTTTTAATCTATTTTTTTTCGTCCGACCCCCCCTTTCCTTCATTTTTTTTCGGCTGGCCCCCCCTTTCAAGCCAATTTTTTTCGAGTGCCCCCCCCCAAATCCCACCAGCCCCCCCTCTCTCATAAAAAATGAACGGTCCCCTAGATGCAAGCACAATGTTAGTCCTGTGAGAAGAACTATCACTCCAAATTCTAATACTGTGAATTTAAGTAGATACAAAGAACACCTATAAACGAAATTCGGGCTTAAGGAATTGCATCTTTCGTCTGCAGTTATAGTCTATAAGTATGTCTTTTAAAAAGAACTCCTGTTTAATCGCTTCCTTCCAGTCCCTCAGTAAACTTTACAGAGATCAAGATTCACGTTTACCGCAAACGGCAAACGTTAGACTCAAGGTGAATAGAAAATAAGCAGATAAATACAGTCCCGAACGATTCCTATGATTAAAAACCGGCATAAAAGTACTTATTTTTGTGTAGAAGCAATAAATAGTTAATGGAAAATAAGGGGAAAACTTGGTCACGTGGTACAAATTTACGTCTGCCGTTTGGCGTAAACCTGTGTAAACGTCAATCTCTTTTCAAAGAAAATAGATCCGCACTTGATTAAGGGGGATTCTGGTCAAAAGCCTTGTTTTTCGTTTATTTCTGCCCTTTTTCTTTCAAATCTAGCCAAGATTTCATTCAAGCGAAAAATGGCGGCATAAGGTCGTAGTGATTAGTTCAATAAATATTCGAGAATTTGTGAATAATTTTTCTAGTGTTTTGAATGAATGAAAATTAAAGTAAAATTATGGAAAATTAGGAAATATTGGATTTGGGGCTTGTTGAACATAACATATGAGGTAAATAATAAGTAGTTGGCAAATACCAGTTAGTTGACCTTTCATACCCTAATTTCTTTCCTTTTCACATCGACTCCATCTTCCCCCCGCCACAAAAAGAAAAAAAAAAAAGAAGAAGAATTCTTTGTGGCGAAACGACCGGTAAGCCTCCCTTAAATGAAGCAATTTTTGCGAAAGGAGTGTGGAGAAGGTCGCTAGTTTGTTCGTTGTTGTAGAAGTTTTGTTTCATGTGGTATGTAAGGAACGCATCTTATGACTTTTGTTAATTTTATAGGTGTTAGCACGTTTGGTGGATGGCAGTCAGTTTCAAGAATTTAAGACTCAGTTTGGATCAACACTTATAACTGGATTTGCGCATATATATGGGTACGTTTTGGACCAAGATAACCTGGGAATACAACCTTGTCTGCTGGCAAAAACTAAGCGAGGAGAAATGGCTGTATTCACAGGCTGTTGCCAGGGAAGCTCAATGAATATAACCGGTTTCCACAATAACATCTCGATCACTTGAGATGTCTCAAGATTGACGATCCAGGCGATCTAGACGATCACAATCTGGAGACACGCATGATGCAAGTGGGTCTTAAGTCATTCATTATTCATTCAAAATATTTGGCCGTTTCTGATTGGCTTACTTCCCTCGGCCTTTTCTTCATAACCAGCTGGCGCTGATCGAATCAGGAAGTTTTGAGCAATATACCATCGATATTCATTTTGGCTTTGGTTGGATACCTTTGTTGTAACACCAACTTATAAACAGTTGTAGCGTCGGGTTGTTTAACAAATAAAAAAACCTTGTCTGTGCTCTGTTTTGTTGTAAAGCAGCAAGAAGCAGCTAGAGCCCAAACAAAGTGTAGGGGAAACACGAGACGTACTCGAGTGTTTCCGCCTTCTTGTTGAGTGCTCTAGCTACTTCCTAAGTACTTTACAACAGAATAGTAAATAAAGAATCCATTGAATTCTCCGCGCATTTCTTTCCAATTTTTAAAACAAATTATTACCAGATGGCGTGACAGCTTTAGCGCCGTGTTCTGTACTCTCATAAAACACGCTTTTTCAGCCAATCAGAGTGCACGTTATATCTGAAATTTATCAGTAAGATACTATTAGCACGGGCAATTATTGTTAAGGGCACCTTGGCGTTACTTCTGAATTGCATGATTTGTTCTTTACTTTAGTTATTTGGTTGGAATTGTCGCTAACAATGGTGCATTAACTTCCGAAGCTTCCTTAAAGGTAAGGAATTGTGGGAGAAGCCTTCCTTCCGAATACGTGGTACTTTTTGTTATGCTTTCATTGGAAAGAAAGCTTCTCTTAGAAATGTGATGATGTTGCCGTGTTAGTTCCACATGGACGTTGTAAATTCTGAGGCTCGTAGTTTAGTGCGTTTTCACTCACGTGGCCAGCAGCATTGCAAATTTATTGGAGCAAAATAATACATTTCCAGATGAAAAGATTCAAGGAACATCATCATGGCCGCCGTACGTTATGTTAAAACGTTCTTTACATTGAACTTGCATTGAATTTTTTTGGCCAAAGACAACTAAGTTCTAACTCGTGTGTCTTTCGACAAAATCTTGTGGTGTGTCAATTCAGATTAAACCTCGATAATAGCCTTCTTAGACGATACCATTCATGATTTAGAAACGAATTGACTGGGGATCGCTGTTAAACTGTGTATTTTGATACACAGTGAAAGCGGTGTGTACCAAAAGATTCCAGTTATCGCAGTGAACAGGGGTTTAAGGTTAAATGCGTGAATTTGTTAAAAATTGTGTGAAGTTTAAAAGTTTAACTCGTCATTTTACGTTTTATTCTAAAACGGAAAAGTATATTGATTTTTAAAAGAGTAAATACAACGAAAATACAGCTAATAAGTCGAAACTTTAATATTGTCCTCTGTAAATTGCATTTTAAATTGTGATTTTGCATCAACACCAAACAGCGATATCTTCCCGGAATTAATGAGGACGTCGACGACAACAAGCACGGCAAAAAAGCAAAACGTTAGATAAGCAAAACAACAACTGTGCACGCATTTTGTACATCACCCTTTTTGGAACATTTCTTTGCCGTCGTTGCACGACTGCGACGTGAAAGTGCCTAGTTTCACTTCTATGGCGTGTAGCAGCTGCTTGGAAGAGAAGTCACCAGTGGTGCCTAACCCTGACCCCAAACAATACTGAAACAATTGAAAGAATGACAGGTCATTGTTTTCTGCAACCAATCAGGAGAGACCATACAAGCAGCTCCTACACAACTGCTTCTTGTGGAGGACGCGCCACAAGACAACGACTTCCTTTTTTTCTGAAATTCGATACTGTCGTTTAGGAGCCAACTCCAGAAACATTTGCCAACATTTGACGAAAGGAACGAGATGGAATAAGCGCGAAGTCGCTCTTAAAGTGACGTTTTCGTAACCGTCGTCGTCTTTAAATTGTCATGATCTACGCCCGGCCTGATTAAAATATCCTGATACAATTACTAGCATGTTCCGCACTTCTCGTCGAAGATCCCTCATTAAAATACAATACAAAAAGGGGTTCATTGACGAGTTTATAAACACCAAAGACATGGTTAAGTTAAAAGCAGTTTCTACAGCCGTGCTACGAGCCATGAAGGTCGACACCACAAGTACACAAGTAAAAGGCAACACACAAATAAGGAAGACAATATAAATCAAAAACATATTTTTTGCTGACTTTTTGTACCCCGGCATCATTTCATCTGACCGTTTTTCTTTGTTCGGCGTTTGGTCTTGAGTTTTGGTATCTTGACTTGGTGGTGTGTCATTTTGCGAGGAGGCAGAAGTCAGGTTCGAAACTGCAACGGCTTGTTGCTGAATCTTTTGACGATGTCTTCGGACCGTAAACAATATATTGGTATATGCGAAGAGAGTAGCGATTAAAAACAGCACGAAGCAGGTGGCGGATATGATATAGTATGCTTTTAAGCTAAGAAGCCATGAAACGTTACCAGATGCACTTAAAATCCATGTGGAAACCACAGCGATCTTGACTCTGTTAACGGTAACAAGTTCGTTGTATCTCAGATGTAGATGAAGACCTAGATAGCGATCAACGCTTAGCAAAGTCATGGTCAAGAACGAAACTGCAGAGAGCTGATTCGAAGCAAGGACAAAGGCTACACCAGCCGCGCAGTTAAGATTGGAGTTTTCAACAAAACCAGCTGTCTTGTACACGACGTACAAAGGTTGCGCTAACAGTCCTACTCCGAAGTCTGATGCAGCCAGACCGAAAAGGAGAAATGATGTGGGAGAACGGAGACGTGGCCTTAGCAGAATTGTCGCCATTATCAGCGTATTTGTCAGGATTGCTACGCAAGAGAAAACACCGTTAATTACAGAGTTTATAACGTAGACTTTATCCATGGTTCCTCGAGACTCCTTAATAAATCTCTCCAAGAGAGAACAAGAAAATTGCGAATCACCTCGCGTTGCGTTCTCTAGTGCACTCGTGTTCATCTTTACCTACAAGCGTTTCTTGACCTCGACGACTTTGCGCTAATCGAAGACGTTGATGTTCACAACTGAACAAATTTATCATAACCTTCTGCCTCTCTTGGATGACTGCTCTTTACAGCTGTCGTACTAAGTGGTAACAAAACACCAGGGGCTTATTGCAACTCTCTAATAGTCTTCTGCTTAGTATGATTATGATTAGCAGCCTTAATGAAAGCAACAGCAGGCAAACTGAATCAACAAATTTCACATTCAGTTCAAACGTTCCGAGCAACAACTTTGTTGTGGAAAATTAAAATATCGCGTGCTAGAATTTCTTAGTAAGCCTAAATACTGCTAACAGAGGTCCGGTGTGAGATTCTAAAGATGAATTCGCATGCGACGGGCAAATAGATTTCTGAAATGGAAGGCTTCTCTGTTGATTGCATTTGTGCTCGTGTGCATTGGTTTGAATACTCTGGACAAATAATTCATAATAAAATACATATTTATATTCCTTCGAAGGAAGTGATAAAACCGCATCATTTATGTACAACATACAACATGAGCTGTTGAGGTTCCTCGATTAATTAACTTGCAGTTCGTGTTTAGTACACTTCTCTTTTATCTGGGGACTTATTTATTTTTTAAATAAAATAACATTTCCAGTTGACCTTTCGCAGCAGTGGCACTAGTCTTTGCCTAGCGAGCTTGTTTTTAAGTTTTCTTTTTCGGGGCGTGGAAGGGTTATTAGGATCCTTAATTTGTTGAAGCAAAAACTAGGAGTTTTTATTGTAGTGGACCAGTTTATTTTTTTTCTGTTTAGTTTAACGCTGCAAAATAATTTTTTCTTTATATCGGGGACGAACGCTACAACTCGTATTTAAAATACAGACTTTTATGCAGAGTCGAAACGGGTCAAACAAGACCTCATAAAGGCCTTACCTTGAAGGCGCGAAGATATGTATTAAAGGTTGATGGAAAATGCAAATATATACATGTATATTTGAAGTTTAAAATTAGCATGTGAGTTAGTGTATATCCAGAGGCTAGCTTATTATTGTCAGCCGCTTTTATTTGTCAGAATTTTGCATTATTGAAGGCTAAATTGTTATTAGTTAAGGTGTTTTTTTTAATTTTCAATTATAAGTTGGTAGGTCTTATCCTATCTAGAGAAAATGAAATGTAAATAAACATAGATTGTGGGTGTTGTTCGACATTTTTAATTATGGACTGCCTTAAAATGACATAATGAAGTGTCCTAACAGCTGGGTACATTTTTATGTTAAAAAAGTGTTTTCGGCTTCGCCTTTGACAAAGGAAAACTTTCCGTTTTGCTATATTGACCCTCAACTTCCCTCACCCCTAGGAATTCTTTCCTGCCTTTTAGGTTGTTCTTAGGAACCCTTTTAAAAAACGGAGGGAGTGCGTAAGGACTAGGAACCTTAGTATACTACGACGGTTACAGCGGAGGGAACGATCAGAACACAATAGATTTAGGAAGCAAAACAACAATAGCCCAGGTTCGATATATTAACATTCTAAGTTGAATTCGAGGCTCTAGGGTCAAAATTGCAACGACTCCTCGACTTCACGACTCCATATTCTCGCAATCCCCAGAAGAGACTTGAGCACAAAGAAAACCAAACCAAATATAGAGATGACCGGAAAGTCTCGGAGTCATGTTTCTTAGAATTTTAATATATCAAACGTGGGCTATTATTCACGTGCATCACGCTTTTTTGTAATTTTTTTGTGCTCATGCACAATTACGACGTGAAAGAACTAAATTTTAAGTTAACTTGAAAACAGGAACGGCAAGAAGATAAATTCTACCATCTCTGTCTGACGCTTCGGACGCGTTCCCCTCTCTGCAGCTTTAATTGTAATAACTGTGGGAATTGAAACAATCGCGAAAAAGTTTGAAGGGATGGAAAATCCATTTTTCTGCAACGTTTTCATTAGCGTCACCGTTGTCGGCTCGTAAGGTCCCTAATATGTTCGTCATATTCTCCTCTAATGGCTCGTTGAAACGAAAACGGAGTTAAGTCCTGGCCGGCTGGACGCCCCATTGGCTGGAGCGCACTTTAACCTTACTACATCTGATAAGAATCTCTTCTCTTTTAAAAGAACAACTTAACCCTCTAGAGTTACTAAAATATAGTGTTTTTATATCTCTTAAAGGGAGCTCATTTTGTGGAGTTGTGTTGTCAGCGAAATATTCCACTTGTATTCCTTCAAAACATTGTACCCCAGTCTTCGGCTGACTTAACAGTAGAGAAACGCGCCTGCTTGATTAAAGATCAAGCTAAGATGATGTCAGCGGTCGCTTGCGCCCAGGTATTTGTACTATATGTAAGATAATGCCAGAGCCTCGAAAATAAAAGTAATCACCGAGCGCGTAGCGTGGGGTTATTATTTTTAATAAGGCCGAGGAGCGAGGGCATTAGCCAATTCAACGCACCTTTCCGTTGTTTAAGAACCAGTAGTTTATTATTGTGGGCACTAAAAGTGGAACAGTAGGTTATTATTCGTAATGATGACCTCCTCTTGCACCTCAGTGAGCTGCCCTTCCATTTATTGAAAATGATAGCCTGTTCATGCATTAATTGGGCAGAAACTGCACTGACAACTCTTCTCTTGCGTAAAATCCCAACTAGCGAATTGACCTGCCTTCAGATAAACGGATTCGTGAACTCCGACCTCTTAACTTCTCCCTTACTGTTTTATATTCAGCCACTTTGAATTTCAGTTTGAGAGTTACTCATTAGGTACGACTTTACTTGTGTTTTCTTCTGCAATTTGTAGGTAATTTTGTCGTGCTTAAATGGCGTAGCAAGTTTTTCAGAAGCTTTTCCAAGTGGATTTTTCCATTGTTTTTTCTTTGCTCCAGTTCTTGATAACGACTTCTCGCTTCTTCAGTTGTTTATTGAACTTTCTTCGCACGGTTTCCTGTTGAGTTGCTCTTTTTATATGCAGTGAAGGTTAACTTTTTCTATTTATATTTTAATTTTTCCTTGTCTATAGGTTCCAAAGATTTGTGTGATCATGAAAGGCAGCTATGGACCGAATAATTATGCGATGGTAAGACTAAGGGAGAGCATTTAGCAATAGTGTCTTTCCGCAGCGTCTGAATAGGCCATTTTCCAGTTGTGGGCTTGGTGTCCTAACCTTTGAGTGAACATGAGGCTGAGGTTGACCTTGTTTTGATAGAGACCTCCTTCCTTTTCTAATGTAAATTTTGCTTAAAAAATACTATTTAGAAAAACAATTAAAACATGATTTACATAATAGAGCAAGCAGGGTTGTATCAAAACAAGGTCAACTCCGCCTCGTTTCCAACTGTAAATGTAAAATGGGCTATAGAGCGTTTTAACTCACGTGGCCAGCATCTATGCAAATTTATTGGAACAAAAGAAAACGTTTGCATAAGAAAAGAGTTCAACTCCCGCAGGATTGGTTTGGAACACCAAAATGGCCGCCGTTTCATTGTTTTGGGACACCAATATGGCCGTCGTGACGTCATGTGAAAACACTCTATTCGTGCAACGGTCACTTAATTATAAAATGTTCTCTTGGAAGCATGTGCTGTTTCGATAGAGATATTTACATTGCTTAAAAGCAAAGACAAAGAAAAATTACAACTAGACAATGAACTAAATTTTGAAATATTGTACCAGTAAAATAAGATAGAATTTAAATACAGGGCTACAAGTGCGCCTCTTCTCTTAGATAAAATTCAATCTTGTTTAAATCATTCTTACTTTCAAACGAGGTCAGAAAGGCTAATTATCATACATATAAAAGAATGTATTAATAGTTCGTCACTAAGAAACTGGTCTATAGTGTGTCATTGCATCTCAGTCCGTATTTAGAATTCGGTTTGAGTGAAACAAGATCACTGATATATCGCGGAGCCGCACCATGAATGGCCTTGTACGTGATAAGAATAATATTAAAGTCAATCCTGTGTTTCACGTTTAACCAGTAAAGATTAGTTAACAAAGAAGTGCTATGACAGAATCTAGGAACTATCTATATTATCACCCAAGACCTTTATCAGACTTGTCCGTCAAATACGGGTTTTAAAGAAAGATACGGCCATTTAGACCAGCTGTTAGGTAAATTAACTTTAAATAAGCTTAATCTTTCTTTTCAGTGTGGACGTTCGTTTGAGCCTCGCTTCCTCTTCACCTGGCCCACTGCTCAGGTTGCCATGGATACGGCGGAAAACATGGTGGACATTTGCGTTGTCGAGGTAATGTATTCTTGCAGTACAGAAGGAGGTAGGCGTAAAAAGGTTTGATTGAACACGTTTATCTGTGCTTAGGGCCTTTGATTCGATGGCCCAAAGCTATCTCGGTAGTACTGGAACACTGACTAATTCAGGGCTGGAAGCTCAATCAAATGTCTTAAACTCTTATTAGACAAAGAGAGACGCGCTTACTATTTTAGGGCAGAAAAGGCGGTATCACTTCGTCCCATCTGTGCTTACTATTTCTTGAATGTTCTCGCTTAGAATACGTAAACTGTAGTCGACTAGATAAAAGTTTCAAAACTTGGAAAAAAAACCTTTCTGACGGCAGGTATGGGGAATTTAAAACTCGAGTTTCTGTTGATTTTGTTTTCTGTAGAACGGAGGTGAAAATGATCAAGCGGACGAGGAGAAACGTCAAGCATTAAAAGACAGGTTACTTAAAAAGTAAGATTGGCTCTTGTGTATATTACTGTAAATCAGCCGTGAATTTGATGTCGTGGATAAAAAGTAACAAAACCTGCTAAATGTCTGTTAAGCAGGCACAATTCTCGATGTATATCGATAAGGTGTCGGCGATGTGTATCGGTGATGAATATCGGTTAGGTATCAGTGATTTATATCGGTAAGGGTTCGGTGATGTATATCGGTACGGTGTCGGTGATGAATATCGGTAAGGTGTGGGTGATGTATATCGATAAGGCTGTCGGTGATGTGTATCGGTAAGGTATCGGTGATGTATATCGGTAAGGTATCGGTGATGTATATCGGTAAGGTATCGGTGATGTATATCGGTAAGGTGTCGGTGATGTATATCGATAAGGTTTCGGCGATGTGTATCGGTGATGTATATCAGTAAGGTGTCGGTGGTGAATATCGGTGAGGTGTCGGTGATGTATATCGGTAAGGTGGGTAAGGTGTCAGTGATGTATATCAGTAAGGTATCGGTAATGTATATCGGTAAGGTGTCGGTGATGTATATCGATAAGGTTTCGGCGATGTGTATCGGTGATGTATATCAGTAAGGTGTCGGTGGTGAATATCGGTAAGGTGTCGGTGATGTATATCGGTAAGGTGTCGGTGATGTATATCGATAAGGTTTCGGCGATGTGTATCGGTGGTGTATATCGGTAAGGTGTCGGTGATGTATATCGATAAGGTTTCGGCTATGTGTATTGGTGATGTATATCAGTAAGTTGTCGGTGTTGTATATCGGTAAGGTGTGGGTGATGTATATCGGTAAGGTGTCGGTGATGTATATCGGTAAGGTGTTGGTGATGTATATCGATAAGGTTTCGGCGATGTGTATCGGTGGTGTACATCGGTAAGGTGTCGGTGATGTATATCGGTAAGGTGTCGGTGGTGTATATCGGTAAGGTGTCGGTGATGTTTATCGGTAAGGCATAGTGATATATCGGTAAGTTGTCGGTTGGTAATATCAGTAGGTATCTGTAACTTGAGGTAACGGTGATGCATATCTGTGCTGTATATCGTTAAGGTGTCGGTGAAGTGGTGATTGCTTGTTTCTTAAGTATTTTGTTAAGTTTCCTAAAATATTTACTGAAGAATTCCTTCCAATAATTAGATTTGAGAGGGAATCAAATGCCTACTACGGATCAAGCCGATTATGGGATGATGGAGTTATTCTGCCTCAAGACACGAGGAAGGTAAGAATAACTACTAACTCTTTGTATGAGGAGAAGATTTATGCAAGGATCACAAACAAAACTCAGCGGACTTCTGTCATGGCACGAGATTACTCAAGTATATTTCAATAACGTTTAGAAGTTCGTCTTCTGTTTCTTACTTTGCCAAGATTTGCTACGAACTGACGAGCAGCGATGTTCTTCCGGGACTTTCAAAGTTTTATCGTTCTCTTCTTGGCACGAGTGGGCGTCCACTGGCGAAGTCCGAGACAAGCCCATCTTTTCAGTGTACTGAGTCCGATTCTCTTCCTCTGAGTAGTTTGTCAGGCAGTCGTGGAAGATTGTCGCGAAATAGGCCTTTTTAGCTTGTCATTTCAGACCACTAGATGGCTATACTCCAGAGAACTATTTCTTTCATTTATCGTCCCATGCACGTGGATGCCAGCCTGAATTTCGTCCGATTACTTCGAGTCGTTATTACTCCCTCAGTGAAGGCTGAATCGACCGGCTGCCAATGCCGTCCATTGACGTCACCAACTCCAATCAAAATCACTACCCGGTTTTCGGGTAGTGACGACGTCACTGGACGTCATTACCGGCCGGTCGATTCAGACGTTGCTGAGAGGAGAAAACGACTCGAAGCAATCGGATGAAATTCAGGCTACGTGGATGCAAGTGCATATGCAGAATTCATGAAAAGACAAAGGTAAATTCCCTTGAGAACATCACGTGGTCTGAATTGGAAAATCAAAATGTGCAAGCTAAAATGTCTATTGATCATTAGTAAATGGCATTCGTCTATTCACTGGCAATTGAGTGTAAAAGCAATGAATTTAGCGGTGAATTTTTTTTTGCAATTTAGCAGTGTTGGCTGTCATTTACCGCGTTCGCAGCAATTGATTTTTCATTTCCAGAATTCACTTACGAGGATCTTTTTTTTTCGCAGTTCCTTGGTCTCAGCTTACAAGTCTCTCTTTCTTCAATTTCGTGCACAGAAAGGAGCAAGTTTGGTGTTTTCAGAATGTGACAAATCGACAGAGCTGATGTATATTTTTAGTTGAACTCAGTAAGCCATGCCAGTTGATCCGCGATGCATACGTGTTGAGCATTCAGCATCAGAGGATTACGTCATTAGGGAGATGTTTCTTTGCCAACAGCTACACTGATGTGTCAACCGACATCACATTCTATGAAGTTTCTGGAACCAAGTTCGGACGCTTGAAAAAAAAAATCTCGGACCAATCTTACTCTTAAGTCTAATATTTTATTGCTGACAAACAATAGCAACGATTGAACATTTTTGGAACTCAGCTGGTTAGACAAAATTCCGAAGTCTTACTTGTACTTGGGCCATGTCCACACGAACCCGGGCATAATTACCTGATAATTGAAACCACATATTTTTTATCTGGATTCGTGTGGACGGGGCCCTTAAACCGTCCTGGAGAGCGGTTTCAAAACAATGCCGTTTCGGTGTCCGGATTCACTGGTTTTGTGTGGACGGAAGGTCGATTCGTGTCGTATCTTTATGTCGTCACGCAACGCTCCTCCCCCCAAACGGCGTTTGTGTGGAGGAGCGTTGCGTGACGACTCAAAGAACGGCTGTGTAGCAGACTAACTCGTACTCGAAACAACTGAAACACCTCATTTTCACACAATCTGTCTCTTTGTTATTTTATTTATTCATTATGTGCAGTTGTATAAGTAAAATATAGTTCATCATTCAGAGTAGAAACAGCAAGGAAGGAAACTGAAAACTTTTGAAGTTCACAGAGTTCATTTAGTGGATCGGAGGGAAATATATAGTACAGTGAACAAAATATTTTGTTTGTCATTTACAATTATTTACTCTTTCTTTTAACTCTAATAGCACTAATTGTTATTATTTTTGTATTGTATGATATCCGAAGTTGACCCGGAAACTTCCAAGGTTCTCTTAAAGTATTCACCACTATCACATTACCCATAATACCCATCGTCCGAAGGCGTCCGAAGTTGACACGAACACTGAGCGACTTCACGAGAATTTCGATTGTCCTGCAAGATTAACAAATTCTAGAAATTCTTTTTTGTTGACTGTACTATAAAAAAATAGAACAGAAAATTACTCGAGGTTGTGAGATTTTCTAAAGAAAAAGTACTTTGTTTCCCTTAAGATTAGACGGTAAAAAGATTTTAAAAACGGTTACCGTAAAATTTCGCAAAATAAGCCACTCCAAGTATAAAAAAATCTGTTAAAAATGCCTTTGTTGATTTGCATTCAGTTTGAATGGAAATACGAAACGCATTTCCGGTAATTCGTTGAGTCCATCGTGAGCCCAGAACAAGGATCTCTGCACTGCTTCGCAGACGTCTCTAACCGGGGTTAAATTACAACTGCGACGCAGGCTAGTTTGCTATTTAAGTACGCGGTCAGCCTAGTCCCTAGGCGTTCTAGGCTCGGTCAATCCTGGACTCTACCGTGAGCTGTGACGTCACCGAGAGATACAAGCCGACTTCGCGCGGACAACGGGGCAACAGAGAACGCCTAGGGACTAGGCTGGTACGCGGTATTTGCGACCATTATTTGTCTCAATAGACTGAAAAAATATTCATACAAATGTTGTATACTTCGTAAAAAAAAAGTCTTAGCTAAACAGTTAAAAAAATGTTCCATTCACAAAACTCAAACACAGTCATTAAACACAGTAGTTTGTGTTTATCGGAAACCAAAAATGTGTGCTTGATCCTTTAAACCCCATTTTTATCCACAAACAGATTCTCCAGAGTGACCTCCATACATTAACTTAAATACATTGGTTAAGAGAAGTTAATAAATATCATAGTATTTTCCCTTTGGGATCAATTTGTTAATTCTCATAACGTTTCTCTTGGTGATGCATAAATATTGTTTGGAGAAAATTGGAGAAAATCACTACTGGGACTCAAAGAGTTAAATCCGTGATAGCGAGTCTTAACGGGAATTTACTTCAGTCAAGGGTCCGTAATTTTTGCCGGGGGCATATTATCTGGTGTGAACTGATTTGCTTAAGAGGCCAGAGTTTCGATTATAATCAGGGGCACCCAACGACAGTTTCAATCAAGAGTACTCTTAGATTTCTAGAAATGCATTTTGAGCGGCGCTATAAAATTTGTACCTGTTAGGTCATCCTAAGGGAACTTGAGTCTTTTCGAAATTACAAGGGCTTCAGTATTATTTTCCCGAAAATTTTAGATGCAATTGAACTTTTTACGAAAGTGAGAATTTTTCTGATTCCTCTCCATACATTTTTGAATCGGGAAGTTTTAGGTATCCATTTTTGTACGAAAAATAGCCTAACCTGGGCGGTAAAATGTGAAAAATTAAACTTCAGAAAGAGTAGGAAATTTATTAAATAAGCTTCGAAAATTGTACACGAATAGCATGGTCATATAAAAACTTTTAGCCGTCCTCAGGTGAAAGAAAATTCTAGGCAACAACTGCTTCTCCGAACAGAATATTTTACAGAAAACAATCGTTGGGTGCCCTGATATACTAACATTCACTTTGGGTTAAAAACATGTCTGAATGAAGTCAAAATACCTATTATAAAAATGATAAATAATTCCTGGATAACTACAGTCTCACTGCCTATTTGAGGGGACAAGTTTAAATATATAAAGTGTACTGCACTCGTATGTGTTATTTACATCATTGTATTGAATACTGTGCAATTGTTTGAAAAATATATACGGTGCTTTGAGGCCCGAAAACACGCTACAAATAAATAGTCACCAGAAAGAAACAACTATTCAAGCAGGGACGACTTTACACTGAAAATCACTCTATTCTGTCGGAGCCTTGTTTCAAGCTTTGTCTAGGTCAGCGCCCACACTTGATCGAAAGCCTTCATTAACCTGGGGGCTCACACTGCGAGGGCTGGTTGGCAAGTTTCTGGTTTCAACTCCTGTCAAAAAAACAGATAGTTTAAGGTGGAGTCAGTGAACACCCCTTCAACACAAAACTTGTGTTGCCTCTGTTGCTTACAAGTTTTCCGCCTGCGAATCATACGCTTTCGCAATCAACACTTACAATTGACTTCCGACAACTCGAACGGGAATCCTTGCGCTAACTCGAACCAAAGTCAATTTCCCTTGGATTTCCTTCATACATTTACTGTAATTTTACCCTCTATAACTCGAACTTCCCGCTAACTCGAAGTAATTTTTGTTTCCCTTCAGACAGTTTCTATAATTAGAATGTTTTAAGCGCGTGACAAGTCGAAAAAAGACAAAAACAGTGTACTGAGCATATTCATAAACAACAGTGTCAATTCTTTGTCTTTACTTTTATGTCAATCCAGTTCAAATTTAATGTCCATCCCTTAACATTAATCAAGCTTTGTTGCTTAAAAGGGGTGGTGGTCGGGGAAGGCCTGACTTTACCATAATTTTCAGGGGGGGGGGGGGGGGAAGGAAAAAAACACTTAAGTCATACGAAGCGACGCAGGCGGGGGGGGGGGGTGGTTGAATCAATTCTCCATTGCAAAAAGACAAAAAAAAACTAGAGCGGAAAATAGAACAGCTCGATCAGAGGAAGTTGGAGGTCAAACAGCCCAAGATCAAAAACAAATCTAACCTGGGAGAAGGCGGTTTTTTTCGGGAAAAGCAAGAAAGTCGGAGGACGGTAAAAGGGGAAAAAAAGAGAACATCCGGCACTGAATAATCCAGAGCCGAAGAACTTTAATGATGAACACGCCGCCTAAAGGAACATGTACTAAACATATAATATAGATTACGAAGGTTGATTTTCTCAGTCCTTAACTATCTTCTGTTCAGTCTCGGGGTCAGTCAAAAGGGGTAGGGGAGGGGATAGGGCGATCTTCACTTGCAGTACGTACCATCGTAGTCCGGAGGTGGATATCCGCCATTCTGAGTTTCATTACTCACGGGCTTCTTGCCATTAGCAACAGCTAATTCATAACTAGCATTGTCTCCCGGCAAACCAGCCGGGTGGACTGGGGACAAACGGCCATTTTTGTGATCGTGCTCCTTCGCAGACTCATAAGGAGAAGGCCCAATCGCGCTGAGGATCACGGGAAGGTAGCACAATCCGTGAAACATTCCATAAAAGACTACACAGAAAAACACCTGCAAAAGAAAAGTGGCACCGGTATTTTAACCCTTTAAGCCCCAATATCCACATACAAATTCTCCAAACTGATTTCTATACATTTCCTTTAAGAATTAGTTAAGAGAAATTGATAAAAAATCAAAGTATTTTCTCTTAGGTGATCATTTTATTAATTCTCATAACCTCATCTCATGACAATGTAAGGATATTGTTAGGAGAAAATTGCTGTTGGTCACTATTGGGACGTAAAGGGTTAAGGCATTTTTTACCAGCTTCCCGGTTTGTCACCAATCTGACAAGACTGTAAAAGGAAGGAACAATTAATAAGGATGGATCATGGTCTAAAAAGTACGGCCGACTGTTTAAAAAGAAACACCATATCCACGCCTCATTAAAGCCGGTGTAGATTATTTTTTCTTGGTTAATAGGGAGCTTGACTAACAACGGCGGCGACGGCAACGGCTACGAAAACGTCACTTAAAAAATGAAATCACGCTTCCTCAAACTTTATCGCGCTTATTCCACCTCATTCAATTCGTCAAATCTTGGCAAATCTTTCTGGAGTTGAATTCAAAAAGACTGTATCAAAGTTCAGGAAAAGAAAAAGAAAGTCGTTGTCTTGTGTTCATGTAACATATATTTCAGCCAAAACATATTTATTACTCCCTTACAGCCAAAACAAAACCGTATCCACCATCCAAATTATCCAGCAAGGAGAGCCCATATCACGTCTATTTACCTTAAAGAAAGTCTTGAAAACGTACGAATTGGAAAACGCCAATAGCACAATGGCTAAAAATGTACTAAAACCACCGTTCCATACTGCTGGTCCAATATCGCGCAAGGTTGCGCGGGCGCGATCTAAAAAGGAAAACATTGTCTCTCATCAAAAAGGGACCCTTCAGCATATTTTTCACCTGTGTACGCATCCTCGGAGACCCAGGGGCAGTCAGTCAGGTCGGGAGAAAAGGCGGGACGAAAGCTCTTTCGCCCGTACTTGAAAACTTTCGTCCCGCCCTTTCTGCCGACCCAACTGATTGTCCCTGGGTCTCCGAGGATGGTGTACGGGGCATCTTTCACACAGTTATTTTAAGCGGGGATTCTCATTAACGTCGACGCCATATGGTATAGGCCATTTTCGAGTTCCAAAACCTCTCACTTTCAAAACGAGGCCAAGTTGAAAACCTTTCTTGTGAAAATGAGTTTCATTTGTAGGAGAATCAATGGCTTTGCACTTAGCCTCGCTTTGAAACAGAGGCTAGGGGCAACCCAAAAATACCCTATTGACTGCATCATATTATTAGGTGAAAATCAAATCCCGCACGAACGATAATCCCACCTCGCTTTCCTATGGTGTCCACATACAGTGCACTCTTGTTAAAGACACCTCTACAAGACGGACACTTCGGTAAAACGGAAACCTATAGTTCGTCCCAACCTTTCTTTACTCCCTTTTCTTTGACTCTCCAAAGCCTATATAGCCCATTTATGGCAGTACCCCCCCCTCCCGCCCCCATACCCTCACCGTACGAGACCACGTTGAGGTTAGATCAGTATTCACTCTAACTTTAGATCTGTGGACGAAATTCTATGATATTACCATTCAAATAAAACCTCTTTGGTAGAACTTTTGTATGGTTATATTTATTTCTTAGGATATCACTAAACGAAATTTGAAAAATTTTCCGTGATTTTTTCCCCTTAGCAACAAATAGGATAGCAAACATGACATTCATTGAGCGCTGTTAATTTGCTCAGGATCAAGATGGGTCTAACTTCACCCTGAACGAGGCCAGTGAAAATTATACCAGAAAAAAGATAAAATTATGAAGCAGTAATAATGAAATGCTGTCAAAAACCTACCGTATCGTGTGCCAGATATAATCATGAATGTGTGCGCAACATGAGACGCATAATCCACAGACAGACCAACAGCCAGCACCAGAATGATGGTGTTCACAGTATCAATGGTCAGGCCCCAGAACTGCATTGTACCAGTAATACTGACCTATAACAAGACTTAATGTAAGTAACACATTCACGCCTTGCGTACCTCTTCTTTCGAAACAGGTCGTGCATCGACAGCAAATTTAAACTTTCAAAATGATTTTAACAGACACTGAATGGGCGAGAGTGATGACAAGAATTATGCAGATAGAGGAGGGTATTATTCCCTCAAGGCCGAAAGGCGTGGTAGGTGACACATTCGTGCCTTGCGTACCTCTTTCTTCGTAAACAAGGCTCAAAATATTGGCCGGTCAACGAACAATGTCCGGCCAAGATGACCATTTGTCCGGACAAACTTTCAGTTGGCCAGTCATTTTGACCAGTCAGGTAAATGGGTTTCAAAAAAAATAACTAGAAAATATGAATGTCACTTAGCTGTTTGTTAAAATAAAACAGAAACATCTACGTCTCTAAGTACGCTAAACGGACAACCATAAATATGGCATCACGTCTACTAACAAAAAAGGCGGGAAACAACAACACTCGAAAGTGGTTTTATTATTCGCCACCTGCAAAGATGCATTCAACTGTAGTCAAAAAACTTACCAGAGTAAAGCCTACACAAGAAAAGACCATGAGGCACGTCCAAATGTTTGCGAGAACAACAAGCGTGACTAGGAATACAGCCATCAGAGCGAGGGCCATGTTACGAAAGAGTTCCTCTGAAATAACCTGAAATAAGGAAAAATTTCACCACATACTTCGCCTCAACCTTTGCAGTTTTGTCCGTTCCAGTAATTCTTTAGTAACCATTTCAATAAACGCGACGGAGCTTTATTTTCATGTCGCGCTGTTACGTAATATCAGTGTTGCGCTGACAAGGTGGTAATAACATTTGAGTCCTAAAAGTGTGACCATTCAAATGAAAGCTACTGAGCAGTAATTTCCTGTGGTACAGTATATTATGCAGTAGAATGAAGTTTGACCTTTACAGTCTGTGAAACAAACCCTATGGTGTGACCCTACGGTCTTAACTTCCTTTCTTATGATCGCGCACGTTGTTTTACAGTCAAGATGCAAGAAGTAAGCAGTTTCTTCGATCAACCACACCTTCGAGGAAAGTCTTTGGGAACGAAGGTGAACTTTTACCTGAACTTGTAAAACCGTTACCTACATGTAGGGGTTAATGGGGGCGATATTAAGAGTAGCGTCTTAAAACATTGTTTTGACAAAGATCCAAAAGACCATTCAGTAAAATTTTATTGCGGGCGACCAGGAGCCCGCATGAAGCCAGCGTTCTTTTAGATCCTCACTTACAATGAACGCAATCCGACTCGCGTTTGCATTGGCGGATTCAGACCTTCAGGTAATTGGGGGTGGTCATCCAGAACCTGAGATAAGGAGGGGGCCCGCAGTTGTATTTGATAAAATAATGTTGTTTGACAGTTAGGTAAAGCTGTTTTGTCATGTATTTGATTCAGTTGTATTTGATAAATGTTGCCTCACAGTTATTGGGGCCTCTTATTAGGCAACTAATTTGGTACTGTTGTCTTTAGTTATCCAGCCAGCCCTCTGGCGATTTTTGCCAAAATCGCCAATTTCGCCAAAATCGCCAGCCTGAGCATCAATTCAAATCGCCAGCGGCTGGCGATTCTTCGGGGCATGCATGGCGATTTTTATAAAATCGCCAATTTCGCCAAAAATTTTTCCGAGGGCCACTTTTGGCATCCAATTCAAATCGCCAGCGGCTGGCGATTTTTCGCCAGTTTCGCCATTGCATGCATTTCTGGACATAAGTGCTAAAAATAAGGGGGGAAGGGGGCCAAGTCCCCCGGCCCCTACCCTGGATCCGCCGCTGGTTTGGGTAATCTGATCACCGGCGTTTTGACCTACTATCACGTTATACTCACGTAAAGTTAACCAGAAGGGCAAGAGCGTTTTGACCTTCGATAACAAGCCCGAAACTTGGTCGCACTTAGCAACCATTCGTTCTTACTACTTTTATAAATACCTTATTTGTTTCCCATCCCAGATAGAACCGTGAATATGGAAAAGCCAAGTCATCAGCAAACACCTTTTCAATCTTCTCACGCAAATCGTCCATAGCTTTTGCCTCTGTTTGTGTAGAGTCCATATCTATGTGTCTAAAATTGAAGCGACTTGCCTGTTGAAAGAAAAAGGAAAAAAACAGTGGCGATAAAGGACATTACGTGAGTGGTTCGGCCCGTTATTCCGAAATGCGTGAAAAAAATTTTGCTAGGTGGAATCTCGAATCCTGGGGTTTGTAATCCGTAATTTAGCTCAAGCAAACCGAAATCCCGATAACGATTAAAAATCCGGAATCCGGAGTCCAAGTTCCATTGACAAGGATCCGGTATCCAGTACCGGAAATCCGGAATCCCCAGGGTGGAATCCAGAATCCAATGATTCCCTTACATGGACCGAGAGTGGTGGTGACGTGCCCCTTCCGGTTAATAAATTGCGCAACGTTACTATGTAAAGAATACACCATTTAACAGTTATGCGCTTAGAAACCTGGCCCTTCTGATAAAGCGAGGATAAGGCTGGACGTATGATAAAACTGCGCATTTCTTCCTTTCCTACGGAAATTGCGCAATCGAAATTCCACTCGCTAAAGGGGAATGGGCACGAGCTTTTAACGCAATGATTCCTGGGATCGTTTGGGTGGACAAGCGTTACTTATTATTGGTTAATGGTTGCCTTGAATACCGCATCGACCAATCACAACTAACGCTTGTCTACCCAAACAATCCCAGCAATCACCGCACCAAAAGCTTGTACCCAGTCTCCTTAAAGTTTCTGAAGTGGGGAATTACAGACATTTGCGTGTATTTTCGCAATTCTGGGAAAACATTACTCATGTTTTGAAAATATTTAAAGTTACCTTGATCTCGGGGTGTTGTCCACTGACATTTTTGAACTGAATATCTTTTTGGTAACTGATTCCTGGTCCTTTAACAAATTCTGAAAGCCATTCATGGAATTTACTCTTGTTGCGTATCTTCCCTAAAATAGAAATAAGTTCAGTTCAGTAACTTGGTCAAAAGGGCATTTGTAAACTGGCCAACTAACTGTTGAGTCTCTGGATAACAACCTTAGTGTGACCGTTCAAATGAAAGCTACTGAGCAGCACTTTCCTATGGTGCTGTTTATTATGCTGTCAAAGGTGGTTCTATCTTTAAAGTCTGTAGATGAAATCCTAACGTGTGACCTTTGAAATGAAAGCTGCTGGTCAAAAGGACATTTGTAAACTGGCCAACTAACTGTTAAGTCTATATTAGATAAAATCCTTAGCTTGACTATTCAAATGAAAGCTACTGAGCAGTACTTTCCTGTGGTACTGTTTATTATGCTGTACATGGTGGTTATAATATCTGAATCTGTGGATGAAATCCTTCAGTGCAACCATTTAAATGAAAGCTACTGAGCAGTACTTTCCTATGGTACTGTTTATTGTATTGTATCAGGTGGTTATAACATCTGAATCTGTGGATGAAATCCTTCAGTACAACCATTCAAATGAAAGCTACTGAGCAGTACTTTCCTGTGGTACTGTTTATTGTGCTGTATCAGGTGGTTATAACATTTGAATCTGTGGATGAAATCCTTCAGTGTAACCATTCAAATAAAAGCTACTGAGCAGTACTTTCCCGTGGTACTGTTTATTATGCTGTATCAGGTGGTTATAACATCTGAATCTGTGGATGAAATCCTTCAGTGCAACCATTCAAATGAAAGCTACTGAGCAGTACTTTCCTGTGGTACTGTTTATTATGCTGTATCAGGTGGTTATAACATTTGAATCTGTGGATGAAATCCTTCAGTGCAACCATTCAAATGAAAGCTACTGAGCAGTACTTTCCTATGGTACTGTTTATTTTACTGTATCAGGTGGTTATAATATCTGAATCTGTGGATGAAATCCTTCAGTGCAACCATTCAAATGAAAGCTACTGAGCAGTACTTTCCTGTGGTACTGTTTATTGTGCCGTACAAGGTGGTTCTATCTTTAGAGTCTGTAGATGAAATCCTAACTTGTGACCATTCAAAAAAAAGCTACTGAGCTGTACTTTCCTGTGGTACTGTTTATTGTACTGTATCAGGTGGTTATAATATCTGAATCTGTGGATGAAATCCTTCAGTGCAACCATTCAAATGAAAGCTAATGAGCAGTATTTTCCTTTAACGGCATATAAGGTGTTTCTTTTCTAACGTTTTCGAGTCTGAAAATGAAATTCTTAGTACTGCCAGATTATTCAAATGAAACTACTGCACAGTACTTTCCTGTTTTACTGTTAATCTATATAGCACTGAGCCGTACCACCGCTAGCCTGCGAGAAAGATCTCCATTTGGGGAAGTCGTGAGAGGTCACGCGAGAGAAGCACGTGAAAGGAGACACGATTGCGAAGGGCGAGGCGTGTTTCTAAATGTACGGCAAGCATTTATGGCGGGTCAGCCAGGAATATCATCAATCCAAATCATTTGACGGTGCATCATTTTTCAGCCAATGGTATTTTGATTCGTCAAGAAGAAGAAGAAGCTTTATTTGTTTACATTCGCAATGAATAAATTACAAATACAGACTACCTGCAAAATAGTAGAGCCAATCGAGGCAGGTAGTATGGAGACGTGTCTATTACATTATACTGGGAGCGTAAAAAGACACGTCCTGTCACTACACGCACATGCGCAACCCCGGGCGAAGCAGAAATGAAAATTTATACGAGATTTTTGCAAGCTCTCCTTTCCTCCGCACCTCGTGGCTTCGCCGCTCGCTTGCGCGTTCTCTCGCGGGTTCGCTTCGCTCGCCATACATGAAGACCATGCTAGCAGGCTATCCACCGCAAAACAGACAAATTGAGTAACTAACATGGAGTTGAGCTCTGGTCGAACTCTTGTCCAGGTTTGCTTCGGCTGGCCCACTTGATGTACTCCTCGTACCAACTATTCAATGAGCTGGCGACCACATACTGATCATTGACAACAACATCATGAAGCTGGTGAAGTTTGCCTTGGTTTGCATAATAATCGAATTTTGCTGCATGAGAATAAATTCAAAGTAAATAGAGTAAACTAAATAAGCAATAAAAGGAAACTGTCAGTGTTAACAAATATTAATTACTTTCCTGTGGGATCAGTCATTGGGAAATTTGCTAAACAGCCCACGAAAGAAAAATCCCTGTTAACAGAGGCCTCGTTTCTTTCGTACTTGCTAAGCTGACCAGCAGGAAGGAAAGAGACCTGGGTCGAAACAGACTGTGCTGAGCATGTGCACTGCTATCAAGCGACCAAACCGTCACGTGATGAACAAAGGAGACTTTTGTCTGATTGGCTGTTTTATTTTTTAGTGCTCAGTCTTCTTACCGCGCGAAAGTGAGTAAACAGGGATCGCTAACAAAGTGACGGTTTCTTGTGATCCTTCTTGTCAGCTCCTCGAATGTTAAAGAAAAAGGGCGTCTGCTAGCAGGAAAGAAAGGAAACTTTTACGTGTACATTTAATGAAAGTACATCAACAAAATGGGGACAAGCCTTGCGTGACGAGACAAAAATGGCTGCGAGGGAGACTAATATTCAACAGGCTCGAGAATGCATTTGGCAAAATTACTATCATTTTACCTGTGTAGATGCTTGACTGAGCGCCATCCACTGGGAAAAACTGCAAAAAATTATTGACCACAGTAAGATCAACACAATATCTTTAAGGTGCGACAAGTAAATGACGTCAGTTCTCTGTAAAAACTAAGGAAATAATGTCTCGACCTTTCGGCGACCTCGTGGCGCCATTAGGGACCTTAAGTCAGGACGACGACGACGGCAGTGAAAAACGTCGGTAAAAAAATGAATTTATGTTCTTTCAAACTTAATCGCGCCTATTTGGACCCGCTCAATACGTCAAATGCAGGCGACGTTTCCTGGAGTTGAATCCTTAAGGATTTTATTCAGGTTCAAAAAGAGGAAGGAAAATTTGTCGTCGTGTGTCCACGTCCTCCATAAAACATCAAATCAGGAGGTTTCACGTCGTAGTCGTGCAGTGGACGTCAAAGAAATGTACTACGAAGCGTGATGCACGTGCAGAGCTGTTGTTTTGATCATTAAACTTATTGTTTTTTTGAAGTCGTCGTTGTGGTCTTCGTCGTAGTTGTTTAAGCTCCCTATTATCAAGGAATGGAAATAAATTAATGCGAGTTCAAAAGGAGTCAAAGTACTCTAACTCTGCATAAAATTAAAAGTACAGCTAGACAAAGACCTAAGCAAGTATTGAATCCTTTTTCACGTTCAAAGGCGGTCTTAATGGTTTGACGTACAGCATTCCGAAGTGAGGTCGACGAAACGTCGGGGCATTATTTCGTTAGTTTTTATACGCATTTTATTATTATTTATTAATCAATAACTTTGAACATGATCTCCCAATTCCATTGCGGAGACAAGCAATTTGGTAATTCTTACGTTCGAGTCTGTGTTGTATCAAATTGCACAATGGGACTTTTTTGGATCGCTTCTTTTATTGGCTATTAACTGGCTATTAAGAAAATGAGCAGGAACCTGGGTCGAAATTCGCCCCCAAACAATCCCATGGCGAAGTTCGGCACTAAACCGACAAAGTCTAACGCACAACTTCAAATTAAAATGGTCAAACTGGTGTGACCATTCAAATGAAACCTCTTTTTTAGTACTACTTTCTGCACATGCATGGCGCTGTTAAGTTTGCAGCTCTATTTTTTCAGTCTGTGAATGAAATCCTATGGTGTGACCATGAAACTCTTTAGCAGTACTTATCCATAGCAACAATTGCATACTTATTTCAGCATTTTAAAAACTAAGAATTGGAATTTTTTCTGAATTAAACCTTTTAAATTTTGAATTCTTGAATCGAGTTATCTAACTTTGAACAACCGGAGCTCATGTTATTGAACTACCTTGAATGTGCCAAAATGGCAGCAAATTTAAACGTTCCAAAAAGCAAAGATTCTAAGAAAAGCACATTGTGTTCAAGTCAAACTTTTTTTGCGCAGAGGTTCTCAGTAATGTGTACTATTAATTACAAAAGTAAAAAGTTTTAGATTATTGGCACATTAAAGATACCTCACGGTTTGCCATCTCGTATTTGTAACCCATCGAATCAGGTGGCAAAAACCAAATTTGATCAGTAAACTGCTCCATCATCAGAGTTCCATATAAATTAAAACCAAACAATCCAGCAGTAATGATCATCACTATAATCTGCAGGGGATAGGAAAAAAGAGGGATTTTTAGCAATTAAGGTCACGTCCACAGGTATCCGGATTTTTTCTCCGTTTTAGCCTTCCGGCCAAAAGTAAACAGCGCTTTCGGACACCAGAGAAGCAGGTTTTTAAAAACGGTCCGCGCAGTGGAGATTTTTGAAAACGAAGGATTGTCGTTATCGTGTAGAGAATGGGTAAGTAATATATCAAGCATGAGACGCAGTGTTTTATCACCAGATGAAACACTGAGAAAAGAATTGAAAATACGACGCGCAGCGGAGTAGTTTTGACGAACTTCCAGGTGTTTCATCTGGTTATGTAATAATGTGTCGTATGCTTGATATTACTTCTCAAACAAAATGATTTTTGAAGGAGAAATTAAGGATGCAAAAATGAGCAGTTTTTTCATCTGATTTCCAAACAATCATTAAACTTTAATTTCCTTTCTATTTTCTTTATGAATTATCAATGAGTTTGAAAAGAAAGAACAAAGACACTGATTTCACAAATTTGTCGCGATGGAGCAAATCAGTAATGTAAAAAAAAAGACTACCGCAATATCGCGATACCTTGTTCAAATAACGACATTCGTATCGTAAGAAGAAATATCGCGGTTCACCGGTAAATTGGTTTATCATTGCAGCTATACAAAAAGATCCTAAATGACTGACATCTTAGTGAAAGTTGAGCCTGTAATTCATTTATTTTATCATATTTACGCTATTAAAGTTTAAACACCTATATTGCTAGATGGAGGTTGGGTGCCTGGAGTATCCAGGGGCTTCCACTTTTGGCAGCTCGCCCCTGGATTGAAATAACGCCCCTACTGTTGGCACAACAGCGAAACCCAGCCATGAGCCCCCATACACAAAGTAAACAACACAGGCACCTGCCATACTGAAAAATATCAGTAAAGAAGGAACAACAGGGCAACGCTAGGGGGGGGGGTGGGTAGGAAGGAACATTGGCTGAAAAAAACCTAGTGGCAGGAAAAAACGCTGCAAGAAGGAAACCTCCACACGCCAACCAACCATGTGAAAGACGTAGCGAACGAGCATGTGCATACCAAACAACAGCAAATCACTAGCACTGAAGGCGCCGTTAGTTGTTAACTCCTTTAAATTGGATCAAACGAAAGCATTTACCTTTCCAGGAAGAGACAGCAAGACTCGTCCAAAATACTTGTCCATTATCTCCTGTAGAAGATCCCTCTTACCACACTCTGATTCGGTGTAATCATCTCTCAGTTTGATACAGCAGCAGCAGCCATCGCGTTTCTTTCCCTGCCTACAGATAATCAATCAATAATCAACTTTTACTCGCCTGAGTATACAGCCGACATATCCACGAAATGACAGTTGAGGAACGCCCACAGAAATTCCATGTTCATGGCGTGTAACTAACCCGATCAGGATAGTGCTTCTGATTGGTTGAAGCAGACTACCCTTGCGGCTGGCCCAATCGGAAGCACTACTTAGGTCTACGTAGTGACACGTCATCAGTATAGAATTTCCGCACTCGTTTCTCGGACGTCAATTCGCAGGAAAACCAACGCTGGTGTCACGAAATGTCACGAAAATATTTATGAGATACCGTATTTTCTTGACTCCTTGAAAAGTTAAGCCTCTTAGTTCAAGATACAAAAATAGCGTTCGTGCTATATTTTACAAATCTCTTCCCTACATTCCATGCCTTTCCACGACTTTTTCCATGACGTTTTCCAGTTTTCCATGATTTTAAGTTTGGCTGTCACTTTGAAAACGTTCAAACCTATCCTTTTATTTTCCTGACTTAACGCAGTTAAACAGACACAACTGGCAACGCCGTCCGGACTGTTTAAAAGCTTGTCTTTATTTTGTAAGCTTTATCCTTTCGTTGTCATCTGCAGTTTCAACCAAACAGAACTACATGATTTTCCATGACTCTTCGTGACCCACAATTATATTCCATAACCTCCCAAGCTTAGAAAATGAAATTCTTAAATTTCATTACTTTTTTCATGATCCGCCCAAACCCTGTGCGCAAAAAAAAAAACAAAACAAAACAAAACAAACAAAAAAATTGAGATTAACCCTACACCCGCCTACTTCCGCTAGCTAAAAAGATCTAATTTCTTTTTTCTGAAATTTATCCTAAGCCCTCTGTCATAATAATAATAATAATAATAATAATAATAATAATAATAATAATAATAATAATAATAATAATACTAATAAAAAAAAAAAATAATAATAATAATAATAACAATAATAATAATAAATCATTTGAATGGTAACACCATAGCATTTTGTTCACGTATATGTATAACATGGTCTAGGACTGGAAAGGTAAAGAACTGTACCTCCGGGCATCTAAAGCCAAGAACGCTGTAAACAGTGTGGCTTGAAGAGCAAAGTCTGCTAAAATTCCTGAAGGAGAGAGTCAAAATAATAATCATAATTTACACAAATACCAATGACTTTATTGACTCTGCACGGAGGAAGTTTCAGAATCAATTTAATTTTACAGCGTACTTGCAACTAATAAAATTACAATAGGAAATGCATAATTACAATGCTGTTAGACGTGAGTTAAGAAATAAAGATATCTAGCTAAAAAGAATCAACGATATGTCGGATTTATTACCCCTAGAGTCCAATACGAAATGTTTAAGGGACGATTTAACCTGTGGAAGGGAGGGCGAGTTGTGAATGTTGATAGGCAACAAGTTAATACTGTCACCGCGACTCACGTAACAGTTTCAACACAAAAACTTTGAAAAAAGCCGGTTGAAAAAAAAATGTTCTTTTGTTCTGATACTGACTTACCTATTCCAGCAAAAATGCAAAATGATCTTAAGGCTGGTAAAATCTAAAGAAAAACAATAAAAATTACAAAGAAAATTAAAGCACAGACTACACTAAGTAAAAAGAAATACAGTGGTACGCCGCTCTACAGACACCCATATATATGGACAGTTTCATTTGTCCCAACGGAAGGCTAATATATATTTTCTAAAAATACCCCGCTTATTATGGGCACCGGTTAATACGGACAACGGACACTTTTCTGTGTCCCGAGTTGCAAACTTTTCTATATCGTCGATCCCATTTTACGGACATTTCTTTTCTGCACACTGTCTATAAGACCCTATGACAGAATATCTTACCAATGAAATAACCTATAACAGAAACGGACAAGTCACCTTTTAAAAGTTCTGTGTTATATTCACTTCACCTGGCAGAGTCGCAAACTTTCAAGCGTCAGTACAAAGTAAAGTCACTGACTGATTCCACTGGCATATTTTAAGAACAATACTTAAAAGGTGATTTTTGTCTGAGACTATGACTTATGATCGTGAGATTTTTGAAGGATGAACTTGTTTCAGTTGCAGTTAAGAAACTAAACAACGCTTTCTCGTTAAAATGTCTGCTTAGTCCAAAAAAAAAAAGATCATTAATCACACACTGTGAAACCAACTTTTGCCCACATTTAATCCATAAAGATTTATTTCCTGCACCTTTTCAAACCCTGAACTTATAACGTACATGTACAAGTTTATTTAGTAAAACTCACAGTGCTTGCTCCAATCATGAAAGCCAAGAAATCAGTCAAAGATGTTATCGTGATAGAGACACCCTACAGGACAGAAAATCATGGCAAATTTTATATAAACCAATAAATTTTATCATCACATTTCATCACGCTAGCTCCTCACAAGTTTCTATTCTCCCTCTGTCCACCCATGCAGGGGTTTCTAGGGGTTCGTACACTAATAAACCGATATCTTTTTTGTTTTATGCGGAACACAAACCAAATTTCATGTACTTGTTAAAGGATATCCATCACTCTGATTATTCCTAAGGCTGTGTTGACACTGTCAGAAGTAAAAGATAAGGCGGTGTATGTTCCAAAGCAAGCTAAAATATATTTGTTGGAAAATCGACCAGGAATTGAACTTACAGCATGTTGTAATGCTACGCCAATGGCCTCAGGGACTCCACGGTTTTTGACGAAATCAAGAGGTAAGTTATTCCATGCTTGCACAATAACAAACATGTCATCAACTCCGATACCTGTAAAGAGACATATTTCAGTTATTTTTCTACTTTCATCTTCGAGTTTCTCACTTCTTAGCCTGCGCAATAGACAGAAATTAACTTCCTGGTTAAGCCCATCTGTGAAACAGTGCCAAAATCCATTTTCTGGGCCCCACTTGTGTACCAATATTTGACCAAGAGCCATGACTGGCCTGTTAAAAATGCCCCCTTTGATTTGCCAATCAGGGGTCGATTTAATTAAACTTTTACAAGTGTAATTTACAAGTATAGCTATTGTTTTCAGACCCTAAAGCAATAGCTAAGTACTCTTGTAAATTACACTTGTAAAAGTGTTATCAGATTGACCCCAGGTTGAAGGGAAATTCAAAATGAATTTCCGGTAATTTGTTGAGCCTGTTGGGGCCCCAGAAAAAAGACACTGGTGCTGCTTCTCAAATGTTACTTTCCGAGGTTAGATTGATTATCGTAAAGTTTCAAAGGTGATAAAAGAATTGAAGTTTGAACCAATTAGATTGCATTCGCGCAGGCCTCATTATCATCTACTGTAGATGTCTTAATAGGAAAGCTTAGCATGAATCAAGTTCAATTGCACGTTCAGTGATGGTCTGAGTTCTTGTATAAATAGCATCTCGTACACATCTCGAATTTATTTCTGCCTTTTTTGACGACTGAAAAATTGTCCGTAAGGGTTGATTTCTCGACCCATGTTTTTTTCAGATCAATTTAGGTTTCGGGGAAACTGCCCACCTACCTCTCCCCTAAGCTAACATTAACACTTACTTCTCCCTTAGTGCAAAAAATGATGGCTCAGGGGAGGGGTAGGTGGGCAGTTTCCACGAAACCTAAATTCATCCTTTTTTTCATGTGCCTCCCAATCAAAGAATTTGAACTTGTGTGTTGGCTGACGCGCTGATGTAGGTTTCAATCAGTGAAACCAAAATAGAAGAACAGAGAAGATGACGTGCTGGATTTTACCAAGTAGAAGGAAAGGTAAGGTTGAATGAACTGGGCCATAAAAAGCACCAAATCCACTGGAAAGCCCAAATGACACCCCAATTGCCAAACCAATGCACAGGACTCCAAGCAATCCCAGCCAAGCCTATCGAGAAATTAAAAATGTACTTCAGTTAAATGTACATGTACTTAAAATCTGCATAAATACATTGTTGACTCAAAAGTCTTTTTCAAGAAGAGATTTCCATGCATCTTCTTTATGCAAGATAATTTATAACACGCAATTATTGAGTTGTAATAAGTGTAATTCCACATTGCCGTTAACTGTTCTTCTTATATCCTGAGTAGCATAGTATACACAGTGAACATAAAGATCACACCATGCATTAATTAAGTGGTTGCTTACAAGAGGTTAAAAACAATAGAGAATTAAAAAAAGTAAGTTAACAATAAATTTGACAATGGTTGCTTACAACAGGTGATTGTTTACGAGAGGTTTCAACTGTAAGGCTTTGACTGAAAAACACCAGTGTTTTGGTATATAATGGTTGCTTATGGGATGGGGTCACACATGGAGGTTCGACTGTAATATGAATTCTTGTGCACTATGATAGTAATGACATTTAAAGGCTTTCCGCATCTTACCTTTATGTTTAGGCGTGTGAATTTTCCAAGCATAATAGCCACATAAGCAATAATAAGCATGTACCCAACGGACAGGAGTTGAATATCGCCCTGTATGCTCTCCCCTGAATCCGTTTGAAATCTGTTTAATTAGACAATTTCAAAAAATAACTGTATCACATATATGGGACTTAATTGATTTTGACTGTTTACCACTTGGTATTGGCACCTAAGACATAATTATACAAGCTTTATAGCTTTTATATATTAAAAAAAATCCCATAAATACACTCTATCACCTCTCATCACCCTCTACCACTGGGACATTTCAAAAAGAGACATCAACTTCATTTTGGCCCCCCGAAATTCCATACTGATGATTATGCACCATATAAAGTCTGTCCAGAATCTGGTCAGGAGCTTTGACTGGTTTATATGATAGTAAACACACTCTAGAAACCATTATTATTAATTTTATGCCCGATAGTCAAGACAATTAGGGTCTCAGAGATGAAATGTACAGTGGGCTGAATTTACAAAGATAAACTTAGTCATTTACAAAGAGAGTTATGGAGCAGGGAGATACATGAACATTGTAGAAGAATGGAACGATAGAGAATTATTATTTTGGAAGGAACAACTTGACTGAACTGAGTGGTTCAATCACACCCTAGACAAGAGGCAACAAATACTCTGACACTATGACAATCAGAAATACTGTAAAATTCCGAAAATAAGCCCCCGGCCGGGGCTTATATTTTGCAAAGACCCTTTTCGAGGGGCTTATTTTTGCAGGGGCTTATCTATGGAGGGAAATTTGCGTTTCCAAATCGATTGGGCTAGCCTTATAGATGGAAGTAAATTTACCGTTTTTGTTTTGTTTTACTTTGTATTTGGGGGCAATGTTCCAAGTACAAGCCCCCGAGGGGGATTATATTTGGACAGGTGATTTAACGGAGGGGTTTTTGCGTTATTGGTTTGGGGGGCTTATATTTGGAGGAGCCTATACATGTGCAAAAAGAGGGAAAAGATGCTGTACTTACTGGAGCTGACTGTAATAAAGCAGCTCCACTGGAGAAAGATCAATGCTAGACAACAGTTCATTGAATGCAGTTTCCCAATCTTCAGTCATTTCATCCTCCTATTAAAAGTATTGGTAATTGTGAGGAATATATAGCTTCAGACCTCTACCAACTGTCAATGAACACACTGAGGTACATCGACAGAATCTATGTGTAACCTCAGCATTACCCAAACCACCAGTGCATGACCATACCCACTGTACCATTAAATTGTACAAAATTAAATCTAGACTGAAATGATGAGGCAATTTTTTTTTTTTTTAAAGGTCATCTAGACTGAAATTTTTGAAAAAAGAATCCATTAGTGGTTCTAGTATCTTTTGTCAAATTCAAATCAACATTTCTGCATGCGTAATGAGCAGTGAATATCTAATGAGAACTTCTCTGTATCAGGTCAGATTGAAAATCTTTGAATGGATATTTTTGTTAGAAGACATTTACATCAAATTCAAGGAAAGTGGATTTAGAAAAGTGAAAAGCACAGCTCATTACAATGAGACTGAATCTGAAATCTACAATGGTTGTAAAGATTTTTGACCAAGATTTTCCAAGTTTCAGCCAATGAGGGAATGGGTAAATAAAGTAAACTTGTCAAGTTTTCATCTCAAAAACTTTTTCAAATTCATCATTGCAGGATTAGTGCATGAAGAGCAAAACACCTTGACATCACAACCATGTTTACATACTCTCATGCAAACACGACTCTTGGCCAATCAAAGCACGTGTACTATCTTAGTTATTTCATAATATGTTATAACCCTTAAGCCCCAATAGTGACCAATATCAATTTTCTCCTAACTATACAAATACATTATCTATAGAAAAGGTTGAGAGAATTAATAAAATGATCACTAAGGGAAAATACTTAAATCCTTTAACAAAATTAATTCTCTCGACTAACTTTTAAGAAAATGTATGGAGATTAGTCTGGAGAGTTTGTGTGTTGATATTTAGAAAAGAGTGGGAATATATGCTTACCAAACGTCCCTCAGCTGTGTTCAATACAGGATTGTATTTAATTCCATAAGCTGTTATTGACGCTTCAGCTTTCACAATGTGATTTGTTCCGTTACGTTCAATCCCGCCAATGTACTGGGAAAGCACAAACTTCTTGTTGGTGACAGGACTAAAATGAAAAAAAAATTATTAACTTAATTAACCTTGAATAAGAAAACCTACAAAGTCTGCATTTAATAAACAATGAGGGACCTGTACACCCTTACATGTTCGTATTTTGAACAAGTTTTTTAGCTCTTTGACGCAACGTGTTAAAATTAATGATTGATTGATTGATTGATTGATTGTAGATTTGAGGACAAGAAAGACTATGAAAATGAGATTTGATTTAAGGTTTCTTTGCTTATTGTCAAAAAATGTGACTTTCCACAGGACTTTGACACTCTGGCCGCATATTCAGTGTACAGTCATGTAACCTTTCTTGCCATCATGATCATCTGGTCAATATCGTTGTACTTTCAAAATTAAGGCAAAAACGGTATGCTGAGCTGAATACCGTCAACTCTTGCCTTGCGCACACCCCGCTATAACGGACACCCCGATAATACAGACAGCAGCTAAATCCCAGGCAAAAATAAATTATAGATGTTTGAGTGAAATACCATGAAATTCCGAAAATAAACCCCGGGGCTTATATTTTTCAAAGGCCCTTTTTGAGGGGCTTAGTTTTGGAGGGGCGTATACTCGGAGGGGCTTATCTATGGAGGGAAATTTGCATCTCAAAATCGATTGGGCTAGCCTTATAGTTGGAAGTAAATTTACCGTTTTTGCTTTGTTTTACTTTGTACTTGAGGGAAATTTTCCAATTACAAGCCCTGGGGGCTTATTTTGGAGGGGCAATTTAACTGAATGTTTTTTACGTTAACAGTTTGGGGGGCTTATACATGGAGGGGCTTATTTTCGGAATTTTATGGTAAACTCCCACTATTACGGACTCTTGCTAATGAGGACAGTAACTCAAGGTCCACCACAGTGTCCGCTTCCACAGTTTTTTCAACTTTTGACAAAGACCGCTTAGTGAAAAAACATCAACATCGCTCAAAAGAGCCTAAAAATAGTAAAATTGCCAGGTTTAAGATAGACTTGTTGATACGTACGAACAAAGATATAGCTCGGCAAAGTTGCAAAATTGTACTGAAGTTTGTACATGGTGAGGGGACCAACTTGCCCCCCACCAAACGAACCACCTTTGCTCACTTAAGATGAATTACTTTCAAACTTGGCAAGTTTCCTAATTTTTGAGCACTCTTTTCAGTGGTGTTGACAGATTTTTGCCAAATGATCCTATCATCAAAACTTGCAACATCAAAAATGTGGAAGGTGGGTCTTTCGCAACAGTACAGAACAATATTTTTACCTTATGATTTCAGGCTGATTGATCTTTTTCAAAATATCATCTTTGCTAAGCTGATTTATTGCAGTCTCGTTAAAAGACCAAAGCTCCAACAAACCATTAATCATGCAACTGGGACCCAACCTAAATCAAAGAATTGGAGAAAATTGAAACCAATGACTATTATGCATAATCATAACTATAACAAAATTGTCAAATCTGATTGGCTATCAACTGCCCTGATTTCAGCCTTAATAGGACAGTTTAATACGACAGTATGCGTCATGCCTAAGTAATTGGACAGTACGCGCCATCACGCGCGCGCTTAAATGGCTTTTTTTTTCAGTGCTAGCAAAACAAACTTTCAAATTTCTTGTGTTTTGATTTCAAATATAGCCTATTATATCACAAATTTTGGTAAAGTTATGATTAATTGGTAACAGAACTTTGTGTCGTCCAATTCGGTCTGTAATCATACTCGTGATTCAACAAATCAGACTCCCGCTAGGCGGTCGTCCGATTTTGTAAATCACTCGTATGATTACAGACCTAATTGGACTCCACTCAGTCCTGTTACCATTACAGTCAAATTGATTAGGCCATTACTAAAGGTTGACCAATGCTTCCTTTAAATGATGAGTTGGAATGAACAATAAAAATATACACCCGAAATTTGAGGGGAAACATTTACTTTGACTTTTTCAACAATCCAGTTGCCCCCCAAAACTGGCCAAAACTACTTTTTAATTTGTTAAATTTGATAGTTATGCTGAGATGTTCTGAATCTTTCAAATTTTCCTTGAAGTTTAAGGCAAAATTTGTGGAAAGAGAATTTTAAAATCATTTTGGGAGCAAAACATTTTAAGAAAATGGTGTGGGTTTGAATTTTGTTTAAGATATGACCCACTAATTGCTTTTTCAAGGCAAAATCATATAGCCATTTTTATGTCAAAATGTGCAAATGGGTCTTTACAATCCAGTTGAAACTGAGGTAGAATAATCTTGGCAGGAGAGGAGAATATCATTGGAGCAACTGAAGAATACAGGGAGCCATTTATAATGTAAGGTCTTACAGAAGTAGCTTGTTAGTGGCTCGCTAGGCATGAATGTGAAACATAAGTACGCAAGGTACATGTAAATCTTAAGTTTAAACTGAAGATAAAATTGGCATGAAAAATTGGCAGTTTTGGTTCCTAAAATGTTTGAGCTAAAACCTAGAACAATTTAATAAACATTTCACAGGCACCAGGTTATCCATGGAACTTATCTTTAAATAGCATTTGATGCTGTTTTGACATCCCACTCAATCAGCAGGCAGTCCTGGAAATAAAGTCCGCAGAACACTTACCTAAAACATATTTTCTCCCAAGCTAATTCTGTCCCATTGCCGATCTTCAGGACCTTTTTGTGAATCATCATTGCCTGTTGATAAAAAAAGAGATCAAACACCATCCTAGAGGGGAAGGGGGGTGGGGGGACTACTCGATCAATATTTTGGTATAGGTGAGCCGCTGAAGGTTTGACTCAAACATTATTTTGGTATCTATAGGTGAGCTATAGCCTGCAGGTACAGCCATTTCTCCTAGCTCCTCGCCAACAGGAATGTTTCGCCAGGAGGAATGCATGATTGTCTGCGACTCAGCGATAGAAATTCCATACTGATGACGTAAATAAATATTTACATAATAAATCGGGTAGAGATGGGGTTCCAAATGTAAATTTGTTTGATTTTATGTTTCTCCTGGTTGATTATGGTAAAGTTTTGGGATCTTTTGCATATGAGTTCTGGCAAAACTCAGATGCTTTTTCTAAAGGAGAATATGTTCTAGGAATATTGACTGTTTTGTAACAGATTCATCACATTTACATTTGACATTTGTGGCTTTTGTCTTTTGTCTGTCATTTGTAAACAATAGGTAAAACAATATAACTACTACATCGACCAATCAGAGCTCCTGACCAGATTTTGGACAAATTTTACGTCATCAGTATGGAATTTCTGTCGCTGAGTCGCAGACATTCCTTCGGGCAAAACGTCCTTCTTAGCGGCGAGGAGCAAGGAGAAACAGTTTTATTTGCAGGCTAGGTGAGCCGCTGATCGAGGGTTTGAAATCCTGATCTGTTAAGGCCAAAAAAAGTTCTAAAATACATACCCTGCTCAGGACAAAACCCTCAAATTCATTACCCTGTTTAGGACAGACTTCCGTGAAATTGGATATCCTGTTTAGGACAAACTCACTCCCATGAAAATTAATACCAGTTTGGAGAGAGAGGCGAAAACCACCCTGTCCCCATCCCCAGACCATATAAAGGCAATACCCCCCCCCCCCCACCAGGAACACTCTCCTTGTAACTATCAGAACTATCCACAGCAGGATTAGCTCAGTTGGACCTAGAGCTATCGACTGGCTAAATCACTATCCAGCAGATAAGTGTTAAGGACACCAATTGTACTATCCAGTGGATAGCAATTTATTCAGTGGAGAAAGCGTGATCCACCTTTTTAAAAACTGGGACCTAGTGGCTAGCTCTATCCAACTTTTGATCAACCACGGCCTGATGTATTTATCCATCTCTTAGCTTTTCACTTACCTCTTTTAAAATAGCGGGAGTCAACACATCCCCAGCAACAAGTAAAAACCTGGTCACACGTCTATCTGTTGGAAAATTATCATCAACCCATTCCTTGTGTTTTTGTGCTTGTGAGTCTCCAGGTGTCCATAACTTTTCCCCACGACTTTCTTGAGTAAATCTGACCAAGCCAACTAAACATGCTCCGACAACAAGAAGTGAAATTAGGATGGTGATCCATGGGCTTCCACCAACAGCTTTTCCCAGTCTAAGAAATCAAGGGTTGATAAAAAAACATTTGAGCCTGATATGGCAAAACAACAAGAATTTGGAACCAATGCAAATCACTATCGTATGTAAAGTAGTTCTGTCAAAATCTATCAAAGAAAACCAAACAAAAAATCCAGCACACCCAATGAAAAATCGCAGTCTTGATCGATTATGAAGTGGGTTTGACCATCAAACACAATCAGACTGAACTTTTTGGCAAGTTTGACACCCAAACACAACATAACTTGATTATTACTTTGATTCAGTTTGATCTGTTCAATTGAGCTCTAGAGAAAAGGGATTTCATTTTTGATACACTGTAAGCAGAGAATTGTTGCATATGCTATTCTTAAAACAGAAATTTCTACTTAAAGGATAATAATTTGTCTTGTTGCAAAAGGCCCAATATAACAAAAGCTTTCTGAAACACCCAAAAGTGCACCGCACTGCTGTTAACAGGCATGTGAGAGTGTCACTTGAAACACGTTGCAACAATACTCATTATTTAAGCACCAATCACAAATTTATCCCCAAGCTGACTTCATCTAGATTTGTGCCAATCTCTGTTTTTCTGTCTCACCAGGGTTCTTGTGTTTTGCATTTGAAACCAATATGTAGCAGCTCACCCAGTTGGACAATCAACAAAACCAACTTTAAAAATTCAAATGTTCCATTGGCCAAATACTATGGTGTGTTTGGGTGTGCTTTTATGATGTGTGAACCCTGTAATGAAAATCAACTAACAGTTGAAGTTCAACTGGTTTCGAATACGAAACTTTCCATCGATTACATCATCATCTTGGGATTATAAGTGAAGGAAACAGTTATGTACAGAACATTTGCATATTATTTTGCAAAAAAATATACATTCAAATAATGCAAAAGCTCTGTCAGTCAAATAAATAAACGCATCATTTCAAATACACCAACACTTTCAAACTGAATTATTCTCCTTTCAAAAAGTTACTCAGCATGCAATAGTTCAGCGCTCATGAACGATGTTTTTCATGTCACTGAATTAACATACATAAATTAATTTTAAATAATAGCGATGACATTATCTTCAACATCGATAAATAGAGATGCGAACAGCCCATATTTCTATTTTCTTGTAAATTGAATATCTGATATGATTATTTCAACCAGCTGTACTTTCAAAATTACCTCTTTCAGCCTCAAGAAAAACGAGAACTCGACCGAGAACTCTCTTAACTACAGGGAATTTGTAGATCCGCCATTTTGAAATTTTGTCAGCTTAGGACACGAAATTGTAACACCAGGGATAATACTGTTTTCAAATCCAGTGGAGAACGTCGAAGAGACTGAAACTCATTTTAAGTTCGGAAATTGACTTGGGGAATTGTCAGGTGATTGGATTGATTACTTTCGTTCCGCTGATCCGCCATGTTGAGTTTTGATACGTGCGCAAAGCGGGTTAATATTTACCTGTGGTAAGCTGATATTTGATATTACGCAAAAAGTACAAGTGATCTGTTTGACGCTTTGGCCATCATCAAGTATGTGATGAAATAGCCGCCATAACGTCTATATTGACGCACGCGCAGGTGTTTTAACTTGAAGGACAACCACCACAAAATAACAATTATTTTTTGAGCTTAATTACTTTCCGGATTTTTAAGAAGCTGACAGCCAAGTTGTTCCACTGAAAAGAATGAATAAGTCAGTGTTAACACTTCACATTTTCTTCCATTTTTAAAAAGGTTAAAGTCTACAGAATGTAAATTTTATTACCGAAAAGGATTACGTAATGTACAAATAACACTCAACTCAAGCAAACTTTCAGTAGGGGAATAAAAAATATCGATATGAACTTTCCTTGAAAGTATCAACCGGTCATTAGTGTGTCAAGAGTTGTAGTTGTTCTTTCTAATGTTTTAAAGTATATAATGACTATAAAAGATAAATTCTTAGACTCTTCATTATTTGACAGATAAGCTTAAGCTTAAGCTTAAGGAGAAAAACAGTCGATGCTATACCTACCGGTAAAATCCTTTTTCCATGGATCCAGTAATAAAATTGCTGACTTTTGTAAGACATTGACAACCACCCTTTTTTGTTTTAACATCTTGGGAAGGCTCAGCCATTTTGAGCACTGTTTTGAGGAGTTATCCTAGATCGTGCGATCGGTTTGAACGTACAGGCATAAACTGAACGCTTACAGAAACTGTTTTTCAGTTCATTGCGCAGGTGTTAATAAATCAGAAAACAACTTCTCACGGGGGAAGGGTACGTCAATCTTTGCCTCACCGCATCGACTATTCCACTGTCAAGAAAATATTACTTTAAACACGTCTGCGATTCATTTTTTTTTATAGATTTGTTTTGCACAGATAGAAAATCGTGTAGGAACATGCAAAACAAAACAAAGCAACCCAAAGAAACAGCTGTAAATAGCCTGGATTGCTGAATCGGCGTTGTTTACTTTTTGTAATATCGGAGGGGTCCCAAGAGCGCTCTTGCGTCACTTTACTCACGTTCGGGAGGCACGTGTCACGAAAATTATGACTAAGCACTTGTTTCATTTCATAATAAAAATGGAATTATAACAAAAGTAAAAGTAAAACCATACAAAGTAAGGCGAGCTATTGTTGTTATTATTACATATATTTTTTTGTCTCAAGTGTGAATGTGTTCACTGTAGACTCATGATTTTGGGCACGATATTCTTTTTTGCGTGTACCACACCATAGGTCAGCTAAGCGCGAAAAAGAACGATGGTACTGTTGCGTAACCTTCGAATTTGATCAAGAAAAATAACTTCTCATGACTTCACAAATCTAAAAATATGAATCAAAATTTAAACTAAAAGCTGCTTCCCTTTCTTAATGTCAATTTATCTTGTTTCTCAGAGAAGTCAAAGCCCAATTGTGGCCGTTTCAAGGAGTTTTAGTAGAGCTCTCTATATAGCATTTCCTACAAATTTTTAGGCTCAGAGAATGGTCAGATAATTAAAAGAATTGCGTATTTGTGCAATCAGATCATGGTTAATAAGTTAAATGTAATCACAGTAAATTTCTTTGCTGTAGTTTTCGTCAGTCTTTTCCGCACAAGGCACTCAATAGCATTCCATGCATATCCGACTGAACAAACCATCGATGACCAAGACAAAAGGTTCCGTTAAGTTATTCAGTCGTGAAGAGAGGATAAAAGAGGTCCTTTCATGCACTCTTGCCACAATGTATTAACAAAAACCAAAAGATTCATGCGCGGCACGTTCCTCACCCTCTCCTCGCTCTTTTACTCGTTCCATTTTTCGCTAGGTCTTTGACTCTCGTTCCTCGCGGCTTTCTTTGCTCCGAAACCGCAAGGAAACGCTTGCTAAGCAAACTACATAGGATCTTACCCTATAGCTATTATTTCTTGTTTGCCAGCTCCTCTTTAAAATAAAATAATTCAAGAGCACCTGATCGCAAGTGGCATGTCGTAAAGAGACGCCACCACCATTGATTTTTCCCCCTTCATTTTGCGGGGGAATTAAACCAGTGTTGGCGTAGCGAAACGTCGACCGGTTTACAGCACTGTAGTTTAGCCTTTGATTTTTGCCGGCTTTCTTAACCAGTTTCCTCAATTTCAGGGTTTAAGAATCGGAAGGTCCTATAATAACTTCTGTTTTGCTCAAATAGAAATACATCCCGGGAGTGCAAAATATGCCTCATTCTTACCTGAATCCTGTACCCTTTTTTATATATTTATTTTAATTTTGGCCAGGACCGGGTTGTTCAAAGCTGGGTTAAGATAACCCATGGTTGGTGCGAAATTTGAATTGAGATATGAAAGCTTAAAAATTAAATTCAGTTTAATTCTTTTTGTCAGCAAGTTGATGATTGGATACTCTTAAATATAACAGAGAAAATTATCCGAGAAAATGTTTTTGAGCAAAAGAAAAAGAAACCCGGGTTTAATTTAACTCTGAGTTAAGGGCTAATCGGCCTTCGAACAACTGGGCCCAGAACGCTAGATTTAAATTTTTGTTATTATTCAACAGTTTATACTTCTGTAGATGTATGTTGGAACATACGACATGCCAAGTGAAAGTTTTATTCCTGTCCAGAAATGCATTTATATTTCCTCGTTTCTATCACCGCAGTTTGCTTTTTGTTGAAGGAAACAGGAAATGAGTTTAGACTCAGACTCCCCCCTGTTCATTATTTTGAGAGAGACTGGAACTCAAAACAATATGGCGGCAATGGCGGTTAAGAAGGACGTTCGATAACTCTTGAAATGTTGTGAGAGTTTTTCAGTATTTAAAAGGCAGCTGTTGTCATTAGAATGATTTTAATTCGAAGATGATAATACTCCGCTCGATTCTGGTTGAAAGTGTGCTCAGTAACCACTGACAGCTTCAAATCAAGAGTTGAATCCATTCGTGGGAAATTGGTCGAGTTCGTCCGTGAATAAGCTTGCTATGGAAGGAACGAAAGAGCAGAATATTGTGGAAGATTTAATGGCAGAGAAGCGGGCTATTTTGGAAGAGCTGGCTCAGTGTAAAGCTGATAAAGACTTTGTCTGGAATCTGTGGCGGAGATTACAATCTGCTCAACCCGATGTTACCTCGGTCGTCAGTATGGTAGTCGCTCGAGAAAAGGAGAAAGGCGAGGAGAAAGATAAAAAGGTTTTGGAAATTTTGCAGGTGAAGGATGAAAAGATCAAGGAATTAAAAGAGAGGATATTAGCGGCGGAGGATGAGTCTCATTACAGTAAAACACGCTACCACGACCTGTTGATTGAAAACGAGGAATTCAAGCAAAAATTAGATGAGATACAAAGCGAGTTTTCGGCAAAGGAGAAAGAACTACGCGAAGAAAATGGCTATTTGTCCAGTTTGCTTAAAGCTCATCAGACGCAGAAGGAGGTGGATAATCAAGCCGTTAAAGAAAATCTGGATAAGATAACAGAGGAGAAAAATCAGCTGAAGTTAAGAATCGTAAGTTTGGAGAAACAAGTCAGTGATTTTAGTGAACAGAAGTTAAACATGGCTTCGGCGATCGAAGCGAATGCAACTTTAGAGGAAAAGATTAGATCATTACAAAATGAGGTCAATGAGTTGACATTAAAAAGTGCTGAAGTTGCAAAGAATTGCGACGAGGCTGAATTAAAGTTAAATGAGAAACAAAACGTGGTCAAAGAGCAATTAGAGTCATTACAAGAACAGTCTGAAAAAATTGCAGAACTTGAGAGTGATTTAGTGGCAGTGAGAAGTGAACTTGAGCAGGCGAAGGAGAGTCACAAACAGGCTATTAGTCATATAACGGAGCAAGAAAACGTTATCAAGCGTTTGGAAGAACTTCAGGCAAATAATCAGAGAGATCTCATCGACCGCGAGCAAGAATATCGCAAAGGACTTGCTTCTCTGCAGAAGTCTGTGGCCGACCTTCAAGCACGTTGCTCAGTTTATCAGGAAAAGGAAACCAAGTTACTGCAAGAGACCGAGAGGCTGAGAGAATCTTCAGCCAAGTTAACAGAAGACGTTAGAGTCAAAGAGTTGATTATTGAGGAACTAAAGGACGCTGTCAGAGGTGGCGTTCGTTCGGAAGAAGTTTCGAGACGGGAGGACAGATTAAATGAATCAAGCGAGCGTGACCACAGAGTGCCTCAGAGAGATATCAAGAGAGTACAAGATTCCTATTCTCGAAAAGGGCTAAAATCGAAAAGCGGGGAACAACCACCAACGGACGGATCGGATGAAAGTGTCGAGGAACTTAGATCAGAAATCGCAATGACGAATCAAGAGACGGAAAGAAAACTGAAAAAAATAACAGCTCTTGATGAGCTTGAGAACCGGCTAAGTGAAAGCAGGAAGCTTATAGATGAACTGAAGAAGCTTCTGGAGCTCAAAGAAGCGGAACTTGTAGAAACTAGACGCGCTCATTCGCAACGGCAACAGCGCTACAGAATGCTGAAAGAAAATTACCAACTTGTGCTAGAACAGATTAAGACTTATGAGGCTGCAAACGCTGATCGAACCGGAAGTGACTCTCAACTTCCGGAAAGACCGGAAGAGCGAGAATTGCGGCATTTGGATAGTGACCAAGTCTGGAAAGAGTTGGCTTATTATAAACACGAATACGAGGCTCTGGCGAAAGAAAGGCATGATGTTTTGGAGGAGGTGGATATTCTTAGAGTCCAGCATGCTAATGATCTGGCGAATGTCCAGGAGCTCTGTGTTCAAATCAGCGAAGAGAAAGAGGAGAACTCTTCGCTGCGTAGCAAGATGGCGGCGGGAGAGGAAGCCTTTGACGCGCTCCGTCTTGAAGTGGAAAAGAGTGAAGACCAGTTGCAGAGTTGGCAGGAAAAGGCTCTCCAAGGACAATCGTTGAGTAGCGAGCTTGAGGAACAAAACCAGTTTCTGAGGCTCGAAATAAAGGCGTTACAAGAAAAAAATCAAACACTCACTGAAGAATTCAGTGGGTTAGCAGATGAGTTTGAGACTCTAAATAGACGTTATAATGAGCTGTCAAACAAAGCGGAGACGAGCAAAGTAACAGAAAAACAAAATGTCGTTGGTAACAAAGAACTGGCCTCTCAAACTGTTAACGCAGATGCTGAAATTGTTAAGCAGCATGTTGAATCGCTAAGTAGTTATGATGAACAAGTAAGGCGTATCGCTGACAGAATCTTACGTAGCCCTCCAAAAGACGCTGAAGAAATACGAGTCACGCAAAGTGTGAATATCACGCAAGGAATCGGTGTCACGCAAGGCACGCAGACAGATGACTTTCCTCGTTTTGTCGATTCAAGTGTTAATGTGAATTTAGACGCCGATGAAGTCTTATCAACGGACGAGGAGGACACCACTGCTTTTAAAAGCAGTGTAAAGAAGGGTAAGGGGCCTGTTCGTAGGCAGGAAACTCCGCAGCCTAAAAAGGTGGCGAAGAAAACACCGCGAAGAAACGAATGGGCAAGCATGAAGCAGCGGATTCTAAGCTTAACGCAAGAAGTTTCAGCACTTCGGCAGTCGAAAGATAAAGCTGTTAAGTCGTTGAATCTGCAGAGGAACGATTTCGAGAGCTTGCAAACGGAGTACAATTCCTTGCTGTCTAAACTACAACTTAGCAGGAACTCGGTGCAGCATTTGACTGACAACTTGAAGATGTGCGAGCGAAAGAACGAACGTTTGGTAGCAGAGTTGAAGGAGCAAAAAGAAGAAGATGTGAGACCAACTGCACTCTCGATTGCAGAGTGGAAGCGCTTAGAAGAAGAACTGCGATTGGCCACAATGGAGTGCATTCGGTTGGCAAGCATTGTTAGAACGCTAGGAGGCGAGAATGAGCAGCTCAGAGCAAGGCTGAAGGAATTACAAGACAGTAATTCAAGGCTTGAGCACGCTGTTACTCAGAAGAAAACACTCCTTGATGAAATGAAAACCAAGATGAAACTCGTGGAAGAAAAAGCCAAGCAAGACTCAGACACGGCAAAGAATTTGGAAGAGAGGTGTTCTCAGCTTAAAGAAAGGGAGAAAACTAACAAACTACGAATTGAAACTCTTGAGCACCGACTGGATGGGGAGATGAGGGACAAACAGAAATTTCGTCAAGAACTGATGAACTGCCAGGAGGAGCTTAAGAAAAAGACTCAACAGTTAACAAGGTAGGGTCTCACTGACGTAGAAGTAGAAGCACCGAGTTTCTTTAACCTCCCCACCCCCTCCCCCTCACATTCAAGGAAGCGAGATGTTTGTAATAGCCAGGAGAAATTATCGTACATCAGTATGCCTGGTAAATGGGTTTCTGTTCTAGCGAGCGGGAAGTTATGCTATCCAATAGCATAGCCAGCCTACGAACGCAGACGTATTTCCGGTCGTCGGTTCTCTCCGGCACTCGAAAAGAAACATCTGCGAACCCGAGCTGGGAAATGGTTTCTGTGACGTAGGACATCATTAGCGAATCACAGTTTAGCTCTTAAAAACCAAGGACTAATCAATCTTCTAAGATTCGTGCACGGTGGGTATGTTTACAAGTCGAAAATGAATGGGCGCCGCGTCTACAAAAGCTTTTTGCCAGGATTATTACTTTTCGGGTGAAGAAAACTAACGACCGGAAGTACATCTGCTTTTGCAGGCTATTATAAAGCTCATGTTGAAAAACGGGTCCATGATTAAGATACGGTAAAAAGTAAGTTGGTACTAAATTTTCATCGGAAAACGTTCAGAGGAGGCAGAGTTTTGTTAGAAGCAATAGTTTTGCGATAAAAATACGTCTTATGTACATAGGTTTAGGGTTAGATCTAGATTACGCAGGAGAGAACGAGGAAATGTAGCTTTCTTTTTTATACAAACGCAGTTTTTAGATCTGCACGATCCATTAGCAACCCTTTCCAATTTAAAACAGTTCGCGCCAATTGTATTATAGTGGGTAACCTGTACGGGAAATCTTTTTTACTGCCGATATTAATTTACAGCAGCCTATGCTTTACTGAGTACTTTCTCCAGAAATATTTGTCAAAATGAGTATAAAATATATTGCCCCGACACGCTAAAACGATTTTCTTTGGAAGCAGGGGCGGATCCAGGATTTTTTTAAGGAGGGGTGCACTCGTCTCTTGCTCTACTTCAACACCAATAAAGCACATAGTTTTTTTTTTGCAGAATACCAGTTGTACAGTTGTATTAGAAAACCGCAGGTCATCTCAGGGGGGGGTGCACCCCCTGCACCGTCCCCTAGATCCGCCCCTGGGAAGAATGCAATTTTAATTCTCTGTTTGCAGATCCCAGACTTTGCGTAACCAAGCTAAATTAGTGGTAAGCGAGATGGAGGCAGCGGCTACGAAGCAGCTTCAGGGATTGGCCAATCAGAGCGAAGCAACGATAGCCTCGCTTCAGCGCAAGCTCGATAAGGCCCAGGAACGAATCGAGGAGTTTCAAGCATTTGTGCGAACTCTTGTGGAAGAACTACTCGCAAGTACGCGCGCGATGCGTCGCAAACTAGACGAGCTACACGAAAAACAGTGGCGAGAAACATCGAGAACTGCTGCGAAAGAAGCTCGGAGCAAAGCTTGCTCAATACTGAACATTTCGTCGAAGGATCTAGAAAATATCATGGAGGAAAGCGCAGCTCAGAAGGAGGAAGAGGCGAGGTTGATGACAGAGCAAGAGAACGCATGGATGGCAGAAGTGGAATCCGCCCTGAAGCGTCAAGGAGCGTTTGCAGTTCCGCTTCTAGAAGTGTTACTGGATTTGGTGGATGAGCGAGTGGCTGCTGAAGCCAAATTGGCAGGATCTTAATGTTATGCAAACCTCTCATAGGGGATACGGTAATTTGCGTTCATACCAATTCTCTAAGTCAAGTTACAATTACGTAGGTTTGTAACTATATTTCTTGAATTTTTTGTTAACCCTTTTCTTTCAAATGGGTCGTATGTGGGTGTATGTCTCTTAACAGCCATTAGGGAACTTAAGCAAAGGCGTTTTTGAACGACGCACGCCAACCGGAAGTGGACTTTTTACATTCCCGAGCAGTGGTTTTGCCAAAATTTTCAGGTGTTAAGAAACTAAGCGATACAAATTTTATAGCGTCAAGGCATATTAAAAGGAAAAAGTTCTCACTTACGGTTGACGTGCGTCCTTCAAAAACGCCTTTGCTTAAGTTCCCTATTTACTGACCTATATTTAAAATGACGAGAGGGCATTGAAGGTCATTTGCATTAAACAGTTTATTTGAACTCCAAAACCGTGTTTTTCTTTCAAGAAAACAAAAAAATTGTCCATGTATTTAAAATACAAGCTACAAGAGAAAAACTATTAGCTTTATCTCTCTTCTCAGAACTTTAGAGCCCTTGCTTGTTTAACGAAAATATTAATACCGTTAATTTAGAGAAATATTTTAGTACCACAAATGTAACAATAGCTAAAAATAAAAGATGTACAAAAAATATACCTTAAAACTAGCCAGACATATCCTTGTTGTAGAAATCGGACGAAAAATTAACCACGGTGCCAGACCATGGTAACGAGTTACGAGGTCTTGAACAACAATACCGGTCATACTTGAGACTAAAGCGAGTCGCTCTTTTTCAAGGTAATGAAAGCAGTTGTTATCGTTTTCTGAGCCCTTATTTAGGTTGGTCAGCGGCTGATAATAAAACAGGGTGCGCGCGACCACTAACACCAAGTGATACCCAACGAGCAGTGTTAATTTTCGTTCCAGGGCCATGCGCCACTTCCACATGTCCCATAATACACCTTGATTGCCCCCCAAATTCTTGCATAAGCATTGTCTTTAATTTCTCTTGGGACGACCGTAATACCCAGGAGAAATGAAAAAAAAAATGGTTATGCAAAATTTTAGGGGGCAAACAAGGTGCATTATGGGAGAATCAAATCACCGGGGAATATTTTTCGACAAGATATACCCCAGCCTTCTAGGAGAAGCAGTAGATATAGATTTTTTTCGTTTTCAGAGCAGCTCCTACGCACAAGCGTGGAAGAGAGTAGCTTGAAAGCCGAAATTCTTTTATGAAATTTTTCGGTCACCGGAGCCTAGAAACCGGAAATAGTTGGTTTTCATTTCCTGTCTTCGGCGCCTCAGAAGGCCAGGGAACCCTGGGGACGGGAGTCGTTAGCGCTTTCTTTGTGTCGTTTCGTTTTGCTTTACTGCTACCCTGATAAAAGAGCGGCTGCTTATAGTCTATAACATCTAAAAACCTGACAAAAAATAACACTAGAATAAATAAAATGGCGGTTGTTTGCAACCCTCTTGTTTTTTAACACTGGGTATATCTAATTTGGTGCATCTTTACGTTCCTGAAAGTCTGCTACCTCAAAGGAGTACAAAAAAATTGGACGCCTTCAAAAGCGAGTTTTAAGTCTTAATACATTATTCGAGTAGCAACTCGAACAACTCGCCTTCATTGATCTGAAGACTTGATGGACAGACTAACGTGCAGCTAAGTTCTCAAACCCACGCTGAACGTAATAAAGACCTATTTCTTACGATATTTCCAAAACTGTACAATTCAAAACTACGACAATTAACCCACTACATTTCTAGATTTTACCCAAATTCGAAAACTGTGCAGCTCTGTCACGTCACTATAATTCACAACTTTGACGTGACTGTCACGCTATTTTACCGCTACCCATATTCTCTCTTAACTATTCACTAGACGATATAAATCAGAATTTACATAATACAAGTATCTAATACCAGCTACATTTGTTCTCGTCTTCTTTACTCCTTCTTACGGATATTACTTGAACCGTCACGCAATCTTTCTCCCCGGGAGATCCGTTGCGTGACAGGCACAGTAATACTAATACAGGGGAAACTTTACGGCCGAGATTTTCAACGAATACGTAAAAACGTAACCAACAATTACAAGGTGAGAAAAAAGAATGTGTAAAAAATATATGATACTAGGCACTTTTTCTTAAAACAAAGAGTGTTTGAAAACTGTCGTACATAATTGTGGGGGGTGAAAGCCCTTGTAACGTACTGAAACAGCGGTTGTGTCCTTATACCATTCAAGCAGTTTGCACTTCACAAAATTCACATCAAGACTACATACTTCGGAAATTTAAAAATATAAAGAGAAAGCATCACTTTTACGGCAAACGAACGTCCTAATTCCACTTATTACTTTCTAATTTTGCCGTTTTCTACGCGCGGGGAGAGTTTTTTCACTAGAAACTTGAAAAAACGTTTTTTTTTCATATTTCGCATAATCATAAAGAAACAGGAGGGTAATCTCCCCAGCTCGCCGTTTGCCATGAACGCAATTACTCTCTCTAATTTTAAACTGCATTTGTCTTTGCGCGCAAAACACCCTCAACTCACTAACTTAGAAATGAAGGCGGTTTCTGTGCGAACTTGCTATCCAACACTACAAATTCTGAATATTGCTTTTGGTGCTTCATTCTTAAAAGGAGACTTTGTACCTCTCAGCTATCAGGCCACAAATTCGTTACATGAAATTGCCAATTCGCCCGTAAGAAAAAATCCAAACCGGTTTTTCATGTCATAAGCGAATGACTGTTGCCATGGACAACCGACCACAACCAATGTCGGTCAACCTCACAAAGACAAAGTCACACACCTTTCTGACACTGTAGGCCAGATACAAGAGAGTTACTGACAAGTGAGAGTAGAATTTATGTCTTACCATGACAGAACGGAGCGCACGAGGAAAAATAGTTCTAATTATTTCGTTAATTATATTAAATTTCTATACATCTAAAACATGACGCCGGATTTAATGAAAGTACATTCTATATCCTAACGTTTAAAAACCTCGAGATGTACTACAGAAGAAAAATCGAAATGTTGCAAGCTCTTTGGGTTTGGAAGCTCAAAAATCGGGGCATTTCCGATTAAACTGAGACGGTTTAAAGGTATTTCCGTCCAATCGCTATCGAACAACGCTACGGATAAATCAAATTATTAGAAGGCAAGATTTTTTAAACTTCGACCTCGCCTGGTAGATACTCGGTCATCCTCATGTAGCTACTTCCCCCGTGATGATGGTCACGTGGACGCTCTTGTTCCACTGGTGTCCGTGAAGACGTATCTTCGCCCGACCCGTCCGTCTGATTTTTAGCAAAGTTTATGAACACCTAAAATAGGGAAACAAAAACCAAGTCATGTTATCCAGTTCACAGGCCAAACTGTACCCAGATAATCAGCAGGGTTGCCACTCATCAGAAAGTTAAAAATTCCCTGACTTTTCCCTGATCAATGACCTTTAATTAATGAATATCAATCTATGTTTACATTCACTTTAGCTTTTTTTGCAGGCCATCGATATTTTTCTCTTCATTTTCAAATTCTTTTCGCTTTGTGTGGAAAGAGGAAGAAGGAATTTGGAAGAAAGCATTCACAACGAAAACCACTGACCACAACTACTACATGTATCAGGCGTAAAGTGTCAAATTGATCACTTTGCTTGCCTTGCAGCATACTTTTCAACTTTTCTGAAAGAAAATGCATCTTGAAGAAAACTTATGAACTATAAACCGGAAAACAGAATTCCCTCACTTTTCACTGACTTTGACAATATCAAAGATTTAACCTGACCTTTTAAAAAATTCCCTGACGTTTCCCTGACCGTGGCAACCCTGATCAGTGAGACATACACAAAATTTAGCGGAAGAGGGTTACCGAAATCTGTCGCTTATAAGCCGTCCCTTCCCCCACTTATAGCCACCACCCAGGGTTCATACAAAAAAATTGCAACCATTTTTCAAGGACTTTTCAAGGACCACATTAGATTTTCAAGGACAACCTACTAGGAATATAATTTCACAGATTGTACAAAATTGCATATTCCCAGTATATTCTAATAAGACTTTAAGGCTTTAACTGTTTGCTTCACCAAATTCTCTACATTTTTCAGTTCACTTGTCTTAAACTGATAGTTAATTATTGCATAAAACATGGAGCACTTTATGTAAATGACCTTTACATTCACTGAGCTACGATTTATATTCTGTCTTGGACAACCAAAAAGCATCAAAAAATTCTTTCCAGGCTACTACCGGTACATTCAAAGTTGAAGAAAATTCAAGCTCTTTTCAAGGACTTGCACAGAAATTTAAGGACTTTTCAAGGAAAAATGGAATTCAAGGACTTTTCAAGGACTTTTCAAGGACTTCCCCTAAAATTCAAGGACTTTTCAAGACTGTGCGAACCCTGCCACCCCCTCCCCAATCCAGTTGTAGGCCCATTTACCTGTAAACTTGCCATTATAAGCCCCCCACGTCTCCGACGCAAGCCACCCTCTACTTCGTTATAAGCCTCTCCGTATATAAGGACTGCTAAGTCCCCTCACGAAGATGTAAAAGCTTACAAGCGGCGTTTACAAAGACAATTTCAGACAAAAAAGGGGGCGAGGGAAGGGGGTGGGGGAGGGCGCACTAAACCGGTGCAGCGCTCTACCAATATTCAGCTAGCAAGCCATCTGGGAACCGCTCACTTTACCAATTCGTGATATACCCATAGAAAATATAGGTATCTGAAAGTGCGGAATATCTGAGAGAAAAGTCTAACGTGTAGCAGTTAAGTGCGCAAGGATTTTCTTTGACTAAGAGGAATTCCGAATGAAAACTGTACGTTCCTACTTAGCTGACGATATATTTTTAAACTTTTCCACTGTTGAAACGTTATAAATAGCAACATTCTAACCAACCTGATCAAGAGTTGTCTGTGAAACTGAGTAATCTTCGATGTCAAAAATCTTTCGGTTAGCTTCTAAATGACCAAAAACCTTGGAAAGAACAAGTCCTTGAGATGGGAACTGATATTCAAGCTGGTTATGATGTTTGTCCTGTAATAAATACAAATAAACGAAAAGATCAAGAATAAAGAAATGGAATTAATTTCAGTTATACTCACATCTCAAATAGCTGAAGTTACAGTTCTCACACAAAAGAAATAACATTGCAAAGGATATCTCTTGGCAGTAGTCAATAATCATTCCCACCTACCACGCACAATAGGACAATTCAGAGTTCCAAAAACTCTCACATGAAAACGAGTGCAAAACCTACTTGTGAAACTCAGTTTTATTTGCATGAGAATGTTTTAGCTCTTAGCCTCTCTTTGAAACAGAGGCATGGTGAAACTCCGAAGTGAACTATTGCCGTTCATCACGCGTGATAAAGTCCGACCACAGTTCCGCTTTGTCCGAACAACGTGGCACCTTTCAGAGAAGGAAAATTACTTTAAGCTATGCTAGTGCAAAAATCGGCTGAATTTCTTACCTTCAACACTGCACCGGGGAACAGGCTACTGATAAATTCTGACACAGCGTCCAAATTGGGCTCTTCTCCCCCGATTCGCAAAGTAACCGTGTATCCATCTCCATACCTTGAGAAAAAACGAAAGGAATTCGTCATACTTCTTAAGGCAAAAGAACCACTTCTATGCGACAAAGCGTAATTTAGACAAAGGAAGACGAGAAAAAGAAAAAACAAAACAAAACAAAAAAACGATTAGAAGGCTTCTTCGTGACATGAGACGGCCTGCTATACTTTGCTTAGTTCTTGTTGTTTTTCTGGGGAGTGGACTAGGAGAGGGGAGTATCAATTTCTGCTGACCACACCTGAGCCTCGTGTTAGGCGTTACGTTTATAATTCAGTTCAAGCTCATAGGCTCCTGATGCGATCAAGTATCTTTCCCCACCAAACCCACTCAGTCCTATACTTGATCAGACATTTTGGAAGTAGTAGTAGTAGAGGGTTACTTTTCCAGTTAAGGCTAAGTGTAACTGTACCAGCTAGGGCTACTCGCACTGAAATTTGTTCGCAGGCTTGCCATGGAAACTTGCCTCATTGCCTTGAATCCCAAAATTTGGTACCAGGCACATGTTCTGACGCACATTAACCGACGATGCGCTTAAAAAGCACCACTGTTCTATTACTGTGAAAAGCCGCAACATTTCATTCATACCCCCTACGTTGCCCGCAACCTCTGAAAACGTTTTATAGTCCTAGTAACTTACTTGTTTTTCAAATGCTGTGGACTACCGAGACATTTAAACTGTCCATTAACCATGATTCCTAAACGACTACACAGATTCTCACACTCCTCCATACTGCAAACAAAATGGTAACCGCAAAACACAGTTTAAAAGTGTGGCCATTCAATGAAAGGTACTTAGCACCACCTTCCTGTGGTACTGTTTATTATGGTGCTTAAGGTGGTTCTAACTTTTGAAACTGTGGATGAAGTCCTTAAGTGTGACCATTCAAATGAAAGCTACTGGGTAGTACTTTCCTGTGGTACTGTTTGTTATGCTGTACAAGGTCTTTCTAACTTTTGAGTCTGTGGAAGAAATCCCTAAGTGTTACCATTCAAATGAAAGCTACTGAGCAGTACTTTCCTGTAGTGCTGTTTAATATGCTGTACAAGGTGGTTCTAACTTTCGAGTCTGTGGATGAAGTCCTTAAGTGTGACCATTCAAATGAAAGCTACTGAGCAGTACTTTCCTGTGGTACTGTTTGTTATGCTGTACAAGGTCTTTCTAACTTTTGAGTCTGTGGAAGAAATCCCTAAGTGTTACCATTCAAATGAAAGCTACTGAGCAGTACGTTCCTGTAGTGCTGTTTAAGATGCTGTACAAGGTGGTTCTAACTTTTGAGTCTGTGGATGAAGTCCTTAAGTGTGACCATTCAAATGAAAGCTTCTGAGCAGTACTTTCCTGTGGTGCTGTTTAGTATGTTCTACAAGGTGGTTCTAACCTCTTGAGTCTGTGGATGAAATCCTTAAGTGTTGCCAGTCAAATAAAAGCTACTGGGCAGTTCTTTCCTGTGGCACTGATTATAAGCGATCCCGGGTGGTTCTTACATTTTGGTTTGTGTATTAATTCTCACTATAGTGAATTAGTGACTGTTTCTGTGACCTTACCTGTGCGAAGTTAAAATAACCGTGCGGCCTTCCTTAACAATTCCGGTGATAATATTCCAAAGGAATCTGCGAGCTTTTGGGTCCATGCCAGTTGTGGGTTCATCCTGCAAAAAGGACAACCGCAATTTGAGTAACTTATTTGCGTGTTGCGACCACAAATCAATTAATTAGTAACGTCATCAAGTGGGAAAAAATTGTGGTAGTTTCCTCAACATCATCATACATTTCTGGGAAACTGCCCATCTAACCCTCCCTTAGCCAACATTTTGCCCTAAGTGAGAAGTAAGTGCTAATGTTGGCTTAGGGGAGGGGTATGTGGGCAGTTTCCCAGAAACGTATGATTTTTGTCTTCTTGATCGAGAAGGAAAAATGGAGGCTCTACTTGAACCTCTTCCGGCCTTTGAGGTCGCCGCAGCCCCAACTTCTGGGCTAGTCAATCTTGTTTCCTCTCGTCAAACTGGTTCTTTTTAGCGCGAGTTTCCGTTTACTGATAAAGCGACAGTCATAACCAAGCGCGCTGTAGCAAGCGCACGGTGTTTAGGCCTGGGTTTGAAACTATATCCTACTAACACGCCACGTATGCTTAAAAAAGATCTTGCTCGATTGATACAGTCTTTCTCGAGCAAGCGAAAGAAAAGAGCTGCTGGCAGGGGTTGTCAAATTAGCTAAATTGAAACTTAGGACAATCAATGATACTTACAAGGAAAACGATTGGTGGATTGCCGACCAGTGCGATGGCTGTGGACAGCTTCCTCTTGTTTCCACCACTGTACCCCCCAGCGCACCTGTTTCTGTACTCACTGAGATTCATTCGAAGAATGAGACTGTCGACAACCTGAAAACAAAGGGAATTTTTACTTCTGGCCCACAATCCAACATTTTCAAGATACTTGCCATGCGCATGTTAGCCCGGCATTAAATTTGACGTCTATGCTTAACGCCATTTATCGCGCGTTTTTTGAAGTTCAATACATTTAGGTCATCCGGCAGGTTGAATTGTTAACGTTAATCACTTTATCACATTCAAGTCGACCTCTTAATCACAAAAAATTCAATTCATTCGGCGTACGCTAACGTTACAACCAAAGCTCTCAGATGGATAGATTACCAAATTTTCTTAACAATGGGGCTACGATACTATCACGCACAGTAGATGTAGTTACAGTTTACAACGTGACGGCAGAAAAATAAACATAACACAACACCTTTCTGCACAACAGAAAACAAGTCAAACCTGTTTCACATCTTGCTCGGGAACTCCTCTGAGCCGCGCGTAAAGCTGAAGGTGTTCAGCGGCTGTCAGTAGGTTATCAAGCCCGTCAAACTGAGGACAGTAGCCCATGGATTGATGAGCGTTGTTTATGTTGCTTAAAATGCTATAAAAGGAGAGAATTTCGAAACAAATTAAGTGGTGCTCCGTAATAAACGTAAAAGGGTGTTAGACACAAGTAGCCTGAGAAAACAGCCCACATTTCGCGACGCCATCGCGAATTGACGACTTAAGAACGAGCGCAGAAATTCCATACTGATGACGTATCACTACCCAGATCTGGGTTATAATACGTCATCAGTATGAATTTTTGCAGTCGTTCTTTTGGCGGGAAAACTAGTGGTCGTAGGACACAAGGCACAGCGAGTAGTTAAGACTGGACGAAACGCGAACGCGAACTTAGAAACGTGAGGAAATTCCAAAGGGCTGTACATCGAGAAATGAGAAATGAGAGCGATATGACAATTTCAGTTTGTTTACCTGTGGCCATCAACAAACGCCTCTCCTTCGGTCACTGATATATCTCCCGTAAGCATTTTGAAAGTGGTGGTCTTGCCAGCTCCGTTCACACCCAACAGGCCAAAACACTAAAACAGCGAAAAACAAAACAACATCACGCGTTTAAAACCACTAAAAAGTAATGTAAAAGTGTTATTTGAACCCACTGGATATGATACGTGAGTTGAGCAAAGAGTTCAGAACGTTTCAATTTACCCCCTCTCTTAACCTGGGTTTAATAGATTGTAAAGTGCTAACCTGTGATCTGGCAGTTGGTAAGAACAGGGAAAGGAAAGAACATTTCATTGAGCGTGCTTTTTTTCAGTTGCTTTAAGCCACTGGGAGAGAGCACCCTCGAAACGTCTGTTTTTCCATTCCCTTTCAACGCACATTTTGATAAACTTTGTAAAAATCATCGGAAAAAAACGCCTTCCTTTCCGAGGGCTATATAGAGGTATGGGGAGGGTGTGATCGCAAGCTAGTAAAATGCACAGCTTTAATCAGTACACTAGAAAGACTAAACAAGGCTGATTTATTGTTTTTCAAAACGTCTCACCTCGCCTTTGGGGACTCCGACGCAAAGTCTGTTGACAGCTACGTTTCGTCTTTTTCTAGACTTGTACACCTAAAACATGAATGCACGTATAAAGACTCAGTTATATAGACAATCGTTGCTCGCGAACATTGAAGGTATGCAGAGTTTCCAAGCGCTTTATATTCATTGACAATAACCGAGGAATAGCTGTGATCAAGAGTTGCAAAAAGTTGGGAAGTAATCGAAGTAGAATTTGGAATTGTTGGCCTTTGAGGAGAAGGGGAAACCGGAGTCATCGAAGAAAAACCTTTCACAGTACGAACGAGAACCAATAACAAACTGAACCTATAAATAGAGTCGCTTCCGAGATTTGAACCCAAAAAACTGGTTACGATACGCGACCACAAAGCTACTTGGGATCATTTATTTTTGTCGTCCCTCCAACCGATCCCTTGAAATTTTGCGATCTTTTAAGTCTATCGGTACCAGTTTCCCGCTCGTTTTGAACATGGCTAATTAGTTCTTTATTGACATTACGAACACTCCAAACGTGACGAAGTATTGAATGTTACCTTAGTCAGATTGTTCAGTCGCAAAATGTCATTGGTTCCTCCTCCTCTTTCAATACGCTGTCTTTCTCGTTCCACGTCATCATCCTCGTTCTGCACTGGTTTAAGTGACACTTTGACGCGCCTGGCGAAATGAGAATGAAACGTTTAAAATTACTTTAAATCGGCAAGATTAGCTCAGTCGGTTAAGTGCTTGACTGCAGAGCGGAAGGTCGCGAGTTCGATTCCCGGGGTCGGAGCAATACTCAGAGTCTTAAAATAACTGCGAATGGAAGGTTACTGGCTTTGCTCTGCAAATGGCTAGACTTTCGCGTGGCTCGGATGACCAAATAAAATGGCGGTCCCGTCTCCAGAAGGGGACGTAAATATAATGTCCCCAATTAGTGCTTTCGCGCTAAATACATTGACACTCAAATAAAATGCATTTTTTAAAGTGCCAGTAAGCAAGGTGGAGAAGATGCAACAAAACACAGCAAATAGGAATTCAGGCTATATCCGATTTCCAAAGACCTTTGCTTTCAACGCTAGGGCAAGCAAATGATATGGAAAAACTTTTCACAAGATGACGCTTTTATATCGAAGACTTCGCACTTAACCTCGTTAAAAAAAAGAGGTTTGGGGTAACTCGAAAAGTTTCTCTTAGCCTGCGCAAAAAGCACTACCCGACGAAGTGAAAGGGAACGCTTGCTACACAAATTCAAGTAAAACGAGATCACATGACGACTTCGATGCACAGAACACAAGATCCTCAAGGCCTGAATTCCGCTTTTAGTTTTAGCAAACTAGTACACCACAACTTGACATAAATCGAGCCATACAAGAACTGGCAAAAGGTATTTTAAGAGTACTATGCAAGTAAGCTGTTCCTCTAATTTACGAAAATGATTCTCAAACAAGGCATTAAAAATACACCAACCTTTGAGGAATAAAGAAACGATACTCGATGAGGACAGTGATGACGAAAAACAAAAATCCTTGAATGATCATCATGAAAATATTTCTTCCTGTAATATCCCAACTGAAAGGATCTCGAACAAGATTAACGCCTAAAATGAAAGACGTAAACGAACAATTGAAAGAAAAAATAAATGAGGAACTGTAAACAGTTAATGGCGACAGAGAGGCAGTTGATGCTTAAACTCATGGAAAAGTTTGGAAACTTACCAAACCTCTCAAAGACATCCATGAACTGATTCTTGGCCAAATCGATCAGTCCACGACCCAAACAGTAGTTGGGAAAAATCAAGAAGATTGTCTTTAGCATGTCGTTGATTTGAATCAGTTCCTTTTAGAAAGAAAAAAAATAAATAACAACACCAGTGAGAACCACCTTGTGCAGCGTATTGATCAGTATCACGGGAAAGTATTGCTCAGTAGCTTTCATTTGAATGGTCATACTTTAGGATTTCATCAACAGATTCAACATTTAGAACTGCTTTGTAAAGCATAATACACAGCACAACAAGAAAGTAATCTCAGTAGCTTTCATTTAAATGGTAACTCTTCAGGATTTCTTCCAAAGATTCCACAGTTAAAACGACCTCACGCCTTGTACAGTATAATAAACAGAACCACAGAAAAGTACTGCTCAGTAGCTTTCATTTGAATGGTCATACTTTAGGAATTCTTCCAGCGACTCAACAGTTAGAACTACTTTGTAAAGCATAATAAACAGTACCACAGAGCTCACACTTGAGGATTTCATCCAGAGGGTGGGATACGAAAGGTCCCGGTTCGACAGACTCAAAAGTTCGAACCTCCTAGTACAACATAATAATCAGTACCACAGGAACGTACTGCTCAGTAGCTTTCATTTGAATGGTCACACTTAAGGAATTCTTCCAACGACTCAACAGTTAGAACTACTTTGTAAAGCATAATAAACAGTACCACAGAGCTCACACTTTAGAATTTTATCCAGACTCAAAAGTTCGAACCTCCTAGTACAGCACAATAAACAGTACCACAGGAAAGTACTGCTCAGTAGCTTTAACATGATAGACTACAGGTTAGGTCATCGCTTACTGCTACCCTCAAGATTAGGAGACCAGTTTCCGATCATTATACGTCTCTGGGAAACTGCCCACCTACCCCTTCCCTAAGCCAACATTTTGCTCAAAGTGAGAACTAGAAATGTATACAGTAAAAACCCACGAGTAAGAACCTAAGATTTAAGAACCTTTTAGGCTAAAATTTGCCATTAAGACCCCCTCTATATAAGAACCTCTTTAGCCTAAAAGTTGGAGAAAGATTCTTATTTTCAAAAATCATTTAAAAATATTTACTTAGGTCATTGAGAAAATGTTTAGAATATTGTGTTTTACAGCACAATCATGTATATAAAGTTGTTTTGACTTGAGAAATTAAAATTCATATGAGAATAGATCTCTATTATGGTCATATCAAAATACAAGCAATCATTAGAAATTTAAGGCTGCTGATCACTAAAATCGTCTTAGCAACGACATATTTTTTTGCAAGAAATTAAGAACCTATTAAGAACCTAGATAGCCTAAATTTATGTTAACCACCATTTATGTAAGAAACGCTGGAACAATGTAGGTTCTTACTCGTGGGTTTCTACTGTAATGATTCCGAGTTTCTTACCTGATCGTCGGTGAAGAATTCCAGGATGAATGTCGCAAGCGTGGTGTTGATTCCAATGAATAAGTTAACACAAATGAGCACAATATAGGCCGTGCTTGACTCGGTAAACAAAAATGATGCTGGATACATTAACGGAGTGATTGCCCATCTGAAAAAAAATTTTAACACGAATTTGTGATTGCAAATCTATTTTAAGAGTTCAATCCTTTTTAGTTACAAAAAGCTACCTCCTTCCTTCTTTCGCGAAGATTAGGCCTAGACTACCATCTTGGACTAAGTATTGTTAACAAACATAATTGTCGGCAGTACCGTAAATCCTCTATTACGCCGCCCCACCCGGGTGATTATTAATTTCAAGTACGATTGCCGGGGGGGCTTATTTGGGAGGGACGCTCATTTGAGTGTGAACAAATGATACGAAAATGCTGCTGTGGACGAGAAACTTTTTCGGTGAACAAAATAAGCCTGCGGCACCAATTGCTTCGAGAAAATCAAACCCATGACTGACTTAAACAATACGATACGCAAACTGCACACGATTAATTTGTTCCATGTTAATTGAATCTTATATTTGTAGTTAGAAAGATCTTGCTCAACTTACCCATACAAAAAAAGAAGAAGGAACGTTGGTGGAAAATTCGCAGCTGACGTGTAGGAATCTTCTCCAAACGCCAAGAATATTAAAATACAGCAAAGTGCTGGAATAACATAGTTTCCCTGAAAGAAAGAAAATTGTTGAGGCCACAAAAAGGCATAAGCCGTACTTTATCCACCTTTTCTAGGGCAGGAAATGCAAATATAAGCCTTTTACCAGTTGAAAGTTTTACAGTCTTGTGACTTACCAAGTCCCAGACGTATGTAGACAGCCAGTAAATATAAGGACGAACACCGCTGACCAAGTGCAGGTGCTTAGCTTTGCATTCCCGCTCGCAGACCAAGTAGACGACAAAACTGGCAGGAACAAAGGATAAGGCAAACACCACGCAGATCGCCACAAGTACGTCTATTACACGGTTGTAGCTGAAAATGAAAAGCACATCGGTAAGTTTTTGCGTTAAAGCACGTTGTGTTGATGTTATCAAACATTACTATCTCGGACATGATTATAGTCATTAAGCACAGTATCTAGGAAAATCCATTTTTTAACATAAAACAAGTAAATCTGGTCATAAAAATTCAAATCGGGTAGAAAATCGGCAGAAGACAAATTGATTAAGCCGAGCTACAAATACCATATTTTTTAATTCTCATTGTCACCATCATTCGATCGTCGCGTCATCATCATCTTATCATCATTACTGCCGACATCATCATCGCCATCATCATCATCATCATCATCATTAAAACCATCACGATTTTTGATACTATCATTGAAATCAATATGTAGCTTATATAAACGTCATCATCACCGTCACCATTTTTGAGACTATCATTGAAATCAATATGTACTTCATATAGTCGTCATCATCATTTTTGACACCATCATTGAAATCAATAAACTGTAGTCATCATCATTATCATCACCATCGCCACCACTAAATTAACAACCTCATTTTAAAATAGTGTTTGTAGTTTCCAACACCTGTGTATAGAACAGAATAAATATTAGACTTACAAGGTTTCATCACTAAGTTGTTCTTTTGTATAGTTCATTGGGTGGTTCATTGTGCTTATACCTGTAAGGAAAAAGGAAAGAAAAAAAAGTTAAAATAGTTATCTGATTTAATGTAAGATAAATTTAGTAATCGATAATTAGACTTAATTTCAATGAATTGTAACTGTTTGTGTGTAAGGAATTAAAAAAAGGAAACAACAACAACAACGCTTTAGCCATCGATAGAAATCAAGTGCCTTCAAGACGTCAACTTACATGAACCTACAACACCTGGGCCTAACAGAAAGAAGAATTATGTAATGCAACAGTGACAAATCGTGACATGAACCGACAACACGCCCCGGTTGTTCAAACGTTGGATGGCGTTATCCACCGGATAAATCACTATCCAGCGGATAAGTACAGAGGAACCTTGCCACCTCGTTGTTAACACCATATTAGGGACCTTAAGCAAAGACGTTTTTGAGCGACGCACGTCAACCGGAAGTGAGGCCTTCTCCCTTCTTATATGCCTTGACGCTAACAAACTTGTATTGCTGAGTTTCTGTTCTCTTTTAAAGACGATTTACCAGAGAGTTTCAACCAAACCGCTCCCCAATGATGCAAAAAGTCCACTTCCGGTTGACGTCCGTCGCTCAAAAACGCTGTTGCTTAAGCTCCCTATTCTTTCGACCCAAACGAAAACATCACTGAGTCATTTTGTTACTTTGAAGACCCGTTAATACGACCACCTCGTTATTACGAGCAGCATTTTATGGCCCAATGATGGTCGCATTAACGGGGTTCCACTGTATAAGCATTAGGGAAACCAATTTCGGATAGCGTTATCCACCTTGTGAACAACTGGGGGTAGTAAGAGGAATAATGTAACGCAACAGTGAAAACTCGTGACATGAACCGATAACAAGTGGACCTAAAAGAAAGAGGAATAAGATAACGCGACAGTGAAAATCCGTGACGTAAAATGAAATACCACTGCGTATCTTACCAAATCTGGACGCATTTAATCCCTTCTCAGCCGCTTTGCTTCTCAGAATTATATTGTTGAGTACATTTAGAAATGTCGGAGCAGCATGATAGCCCTTGGTGTTGTACCAGGCCTGTAAAAATAACACAAGAAGTTACTACAAATTACAAGCTTCACTAGCTTGAGTGTGTATAAGGGTATTGGAATAAAGGATACTAAGCTCTGCTTTCTCATTGCACTTTTGGTAAAAGTAGTATTCGAGCCTTTTCACTCACGTGGTCAGCACCCATGCAAATGTATCATGGAAAAAAGGACGTTTTTACAAAAGGAAATGATTCCAACCATACAGGATTGGTTTGTGACACCAACATGGCCGTCGTTTCATTGTTTTGGGACACCAATATGACGGAAGTGACGTCATGTGAAAACACGTCAGTAATAAAACATGCAATTTTTTTAATTGAAAGTAATCGCTGAGTTGCTGTTCTCAGGGTTATTCTTTTGAATAACTATGGCAAACTCCTAACGCCACAATGAGGACATTTCACGTGTGTGTATGTGTGTGAGGTTGGTTTGTTCTACGAGGCGATTCCAACAAAATCTAACAAACTCCACCAAAAACTCTTAAAATCTCAATACAAGTTGCCAATGGGGAAGTAATAAATGCCCATATAAGCCCTTACTTTAGCATTGTACTGTTTGAGGATTCCCTGGATGGAAGATGAGTTTGACTGCGTGAAGGAAGTAGGAAGGTTCTGGAAGTTGTCTCCAAACGTCAGACTTCCGTACCTAGGGGAAAAAGAACGAGTATTAAATAATAAAAAAAAATAACCGCTAAATTTCACACAACAGCAGGCCTTAATATAGCTCATGAGGATACAGCTTTGCTTATAACAATGATTCTTGCATTGACACGCAAATATCTGCAAGGCAGAGGATTTACAATACATGTACAACCTTTAAAAGTGTTCTTCTAAAAGCCCAAATGGATTGTTCTCTCTTTGTTTGGATCATTCTCTTCCCCCGTCCCAAGTTCACTTCTTTACTTTTTCCAATGATAAATCAGTGTGTCAGGTGCCTGGTCCCATTGGGGTGGCAGCTCACGGCTGGAATACACGGGTTTTCCAGCCATGGGGGCGTATCTCTGTCTAAGGGCTGGCTTTGCCAAAAGTGGAAGCCCTAGACATCCCGGGCACCCACCTCCACTAAGCAACGCAGTTTTTAAATTGCATTTTAACCACAAGTAAGTATATCTCGCGTATATCTCCAGGAGTGAAGATTCTGGAGGGCAGGAAAGAGATTTGTTGGCTTTCCCATTTCTATCCCCGTCAAACAGCCTGTAATAAACTTACCTCTTTCGAATGAAGTTCATATAAGAATTTAGAAGATAGTCCGTCATATTACGGCCAGTAAGATTCTGTAACTTATCATCCGTGAACGAGTCCCACTGTGAAGGCCTGGCTCCTCCTGCGCCCGCAGAACACTTGGCGGTTCCGGTTGATTCACAATCGCATTGTACTGATTTTACTGGTTCTTTAGGGATACTGGTGAACTTGACTGGCTTCCTTTTACAAGAGTTTTCCAAGCAATAGGTTCCTATGGTATGAATAAGTCGCGATTTTTATCTTTTTATGCAGTTAAAATGTAAATAATGTTTAATAGAATATGGATGGTTTAAATCTACAATACCTCACTTCTCACTCATTCTTCGTTAACCATTACACCCAGGGCGAGTTTTGAGTCTTGGACGAATTTTTATGGTGTAAATATTCAAACGAGACTTCTTCTGTAGTACTTTCGCATGGTACTATTTATTCACTTATAACGCCTTCAGTTTGTGAACAATATGCAATGGTGTGACCATTCTTTAGCAGTATTTTTATACGGTACTATTTGCTTTTGGCGCTTCTCAAATCTTCGTTGGAAATTCTGTTAAAATTTGACTTTAACCGTTTTTGGGATTATTGTCAAACTGGTTTCGCCTTTCCAGGGGGTCTGTTGTTTTGGTCGCGTTCATACACGACGTTCGAGAGAGAAACGCTCCTCTTACAATTGTAAGAAGATCTGAGAGCGAGGTTCACGTACCGACTCCAGGGTACTTGATCAACCTTTCGGTCATATCTTGGCTCATGACAGATCGTGGATCATCAACTGCGAAGGCCAGGTAATGCTCGTAAGGGGCAGCTTCCAGGAACATGTTAGTGCTGAGTTCAAGTGGAGGCATTTCACTGAATGGTCTTATCTGAGACACGATCATGGCCAGGCAAACAAAAATGGCGGGCAACAGGATCTATGAAATAATAAAAATACATAATTTGCTGCAATTTCACCAAAATAGAGCGTTTTCACATGAAATCACGGCGGCCATATAGGTGTTCCAAACCAATCCTGTAGGAGTTGAATTCTTTTCTTACGTAACAGTTTTCTTTTGTTCCAATAAATTTGCATTGATACTAGCCATGTGAGTGAAAACGCTCCGTATCCTACGTAGAAAGCTTTCAAACTTCGCCAGTACTGCTTACTGTAACGGAGGAAGGAAGTGTTCCTTTTCGGAGAGCTAGAAATTTACGGGATAACCGAACATAACCACAAACACCCGAGGATTTACGGAGGCTTCCGAAGATTCCAAGGACATTCAGAAATGTGAAAATTACGGACATTATTTTGTTTATTTGTTTGCTTTTTCGATTTTTTTTGTACCTGAGAAATATATCCCTTTCGGTTACGTCTTGCATGGTGAAATCGCTTCACTAAAAGCGCCCAGAATTGTCCAGTGATGAGTTTCAATCCTCCCAATTTTCGCTCTTTATCATAAACTCCGTCAGTGCTTTCAAATACTTGGGGCATATCTTCCAGTTCTTCACATGAAAGAGAAGAAACAAAACAATACAAAAATTAGCTGCAAGGCGATATTGTTGTGTTCCATACCTAGCCAAGAGAATACATGGAATGGAAGTTTTGTTCTTCCTGCCATGGTCGCAGATTTACAGTTAAAGTCTGTTGAAAATTGAGAACGGGAATCACCGCATCCCTTCGATCTCGTCCTTGCATATTCCACGTCAATTACTTCTTAAGCACTGCCAAGCTCTCATTACGGCGGAAGTGACGTCAAAGTTTCTGCTTTTTGTGTTACGTTTTCCCGTGATTCTTCGCGCGATTACCTCCCTTTCCAGAACTGCGTGTTTTCCTGTTCGTTACACTTGCTTCCAGTTTTGCTGCAGTTAGCATTAGGTGCATGTTTCCCGCGCTTGACACGGTTACTGGATTTCCCGCGCTTCGTAAAGGTTTCCTGTTTTTTTTTTTCCCGCGCTAAGTAAAGGATTGTATCCTTTCCCGGCGCACGCGCATGGTTCCTTTTTTACGCAAGGTGGCTCCCATTGGGTACTTTCTTACACGAATTTTTATTGGGTGAATATGATTAGCTTTACTGCTGTCAGTGGAAAACGTTAAGTCAGTATAAGCCCTTTACTTCATTGTGATATCTAACCTGGCATCTCTTGGCTCGTATCGGCCAAAAGCTGGTCTCTGTCGCCGTAATTGTCACTTATTCTTGAACTGTGAGAACTGCGACTTATCTGCCGCCGGAAACTGGCGCGGCGTTTGGGCATCTCTTGTGCTAGCATGTCTGGTAAGTCAACAAGACGTGAATCAAGGCATGTGCAAAACAATAAAAAATGTGGAAAAACAAAAGACAAACAAAATAAAAAACGCGTCCAAAACAAATATTGTCAGCGTTATTTTGGTGTGATGCGTAGGCAGGATGGTATGCGATGGGCGCTGTACAGTTAAGACTGTTTCTCAACTTGCAGACCTCACGGTTTTCTGCGATTTTCTCCCACGGTAAACTTATCGTTATATTTTACTCACAAGATAAAAGCAGCTACATTCCAGCTTATTTCCCGCGGTACCCAGGGCAACGGACAGTGCGCATTTTACGCGGGAAGTTTCATCTTTGCTGATTGGCTACTTCATCGTGGGTGTCGGGAACTAGGCAGCTGTCATGGTCGACTCTTTTTTAAAAATATTTTTATGGTTTCCGTGGGGCCTGGGGAGGGAAGGTCCTAGTCTCGCATTCCCACTTCATTTTCACGAGAATCCCGCATCCCGCATCCCGCATCCTGCATGTCTTTGTCAGGTCTACGCTAAATTTATCTGGGGGAAAAGCAGTCACACATACAATTTTATTCCCCCTTAAGACAACACACCTTAACCTGTTAGTAGTAAAAGATGAACAACAATAGGACAGAAATATTCAGTACCTTCTTCTTCTGCATCGGCCTCTTCGGCAACTTTCAAGAACACCTTGAAATAAAACAAAAACACAGAACGGGTTTCAAGAACAGTTTGAACTATTAAAAGAGTATGTTAGCGTCGACTCCATTTGCTAAGCCACTTCAGGAATACTGCATCTGATAACTGGACAACCCAGACTACTGTGACCCAAAATAGAGCAAGATAGAAAAATACACCCTTTCCGTCGATCTTACGGACCGAATCATAATAAGCAAAACAACAACTCTGCAAGTGATCACACTTTTTTTCTACCTTCCTTTGCCGTCACAAAACGACTACGACATGAGAGCGTAAACTGGCCACGACGAAATTTTCTTTCTCTTTTAAGATATCTTTTTTTCGGAGGAATTGAATTTTGGGAGAGTAGCGCCTACATTTGACAAAGTTAGTGAGTTGGAATAATCGCGATGAAGATTGGAAGTACGCGAATTCACTTTTCAAGCGACGCTGTCGCCTCCGTCACAGTCCTCGGATCTTAAATGCCCTTCTATCTAGTACATACCTCCTCCAGTGTAGTGTCTGACACACCGTAGCTTCCTAAGTGCAGCTTGTCCAGGTTCTTATCGAGCTCCTCAAACAAGTCTTGAAAACGCCCTTCCCTGGCCATTTCCGTTGGAAGCACATAAGTTAACTCAGATCCAATATTCTCCACCAGTTGAGCTGTTGGGAGGTAAGACTTAATAAAAGATGTAACCGCTGGCTCATTGCAGTAAACGTCTGTTTCCGGCAGAGCGGGGTCTGAGCACGAGGTCATGGGCACAGAGTTGAGGCTCCCTTGTTCTGAGGCGTCGAGTGAGTCCAGGCCCACACCTATAAAGTTAAGTCAAACTCAATTATTTTATAAAGGGTTTTTTTAACGCTCCGCAGAGGGTAGGATAAAGGTGTGTCTGATGGGCTAGCCGAGTGTACAAGATAGGGTACACTTTCTCACTACTTCGCCTCTCATTTCCGGTTCCGGTGGTAGGTCACTTTTGCTTTTGCTTTTGTTTTTGCTCTGGTGGTAGCTCGCTTCTCATTTCCGGTTCCGGTGGTAGCTCGCTTTTGCAAAGTTCCACTGAGCATCAAAAGCTAATCGTTAATGGACTGAAATGAAATAACTTTGACCTGTTTCTTGTTAAAACCAATTGCTCCGCAATAAAAAGAAGCGACGATTTGCAAACGATTAACAATAGCAGCAGCTGATGTATCGTTAAGCTAAAATTACTGCTGAAAATTACTTTTTGTTGATTAAGTTCATGAAATGTTTACAGTGCGGTTATAAGCCGCTAACAGACTCTACTCAGCTAAAAGAGCTTTTTATGATGTTGTATAAAAGAAGTATGAATATTTATTGGCTTCTGTATACCTTCGTCAAGAGAGCTTCCCATTGACGGAGCAGGCGGAATCACTGGCCCTAAATTGACGTCCTTCAGGGTACGCGCAGTGCTGGGTCTCTCCTCAGGGTCCTTCTTTGTGAGCGTCACGTAGTAACCATTACCATAATGGCCCTTGAGGAACAGTGATGAGCCGCAGCATTGGAGCTTTCCTTGTGAGATAATAGCGATTCTGTCTCCTAGAATATCCGCTTCATCCATGTGATGTGTGGAGAGAAGCACTGTGCGACCTAAAATAAACCATTTAGAGGAGACCTTCCTTAAAAACTATCACGCTTCTGTCACCTGTACAGCTTACTTGCATCGACATAAATAATGTAAATTTTGTGATCATTATGCAGTTCTGCGAAACTGCCCACCTAAGCCAACATTTTGCCCAAAGTGAGAAGTAAGTTTTAATGTTGGCTTAGGGGAGGGGTACGTGCTGGGAAACCTTTTTCAGTTTCTGGGAAACTGCCCACCTACTCCTCCCCTACGCTAACATTTTGCCCAAAGTGAGAAGTAAATTTTAATGTTGGCTTAGGGGAGGGGTAGGTGCTGGGAAACTTTTAAAGTTTCTGAGAAACTTCCCACCTACTCCTCCTCTAAGCCAAAATTTTGCCCAAAGTGAGAAGTTAGTGTTAATGCTTGCTTAGGGGAGGGGTAGGTGGGCAGTTTCCCAGGTTAAGAGGATATGGCTTCGCTGAAGTCATTACTTGGTGCCTTTACTCATACACAGGATGCCTCTGTAGAGTTATGAAGTAGATATAAACAAATTTCACCAAGGAACACTAACCATTATACTAGAGAGCTTTAGATTCTAAGACGAGTACGACTACGAGTACGAGATTTTCTCAATAGTAAGTAGTGCTCGCGCGTGAGCCAGCGTCATTTTGGCGGGAAAATGTGGTAGCCGCCGTCACTCTGCTACGAATTTTAGCGAGAGTGTCGTTGTGGCGGAAACAAGTTATCAAATGTTAGAAGTTTTAGCATTTTGTAATCGGAAGAGGGCTCAACTTCCTTCAATAACGATAACAGTGCTATCTTTTCTGGTGTCAATTTTTGACAATACGCGATAAAACTTTAACTCAAATCTAGTACTCGTAGTTGTTCTCGTCCTTGAATCTAAAGGTCTCTACTTTCTTGATGATTTTTGCAGACATGGCAGGAAAACTTGAAAAAGAAGTTTTAATCCAAGTCCTTCCTCTCCATCCGTTGCAACAGACGACAGGAAACAGTTTCAGTGCCTAAATATAGTCTTAAATAACAAAACTCGACCATTATTTTTGGAATTCTATTGATGGGAAAAAAGTTTTATCTTTTTTAAACAGATGGCAAATTGCGTGTCGTAGGTCCTTAAACTATGGTCTCTGCCATGGCCTAAACTCTACGAGACAGCAGTAAAATAACTTAACGAAGACGTTGCCTTGCAAAATATGGTGTTCTAGGACCGTACCTGTTTTGTAGTGAAGAAGCAAGTCCCAGATTCCCCTCCGTGCGTAAGGGTCCACGCCAGCCGTGGGCTCATCTAGAATAACTACTTTGGAGCCTGCTATGAACGCCAGCGCTACTGAGAGCTTTCGCTTCATTCCTCCAGAAAGGCATGAGGCTAATTCGTGACGCTTGTTCTCTAAACCAACGTCTTTCAGGAACCTTAGAGAAAAGCAAAACAAAGAAATAATCGTTTTAAATGCATAACTCTGTTTTGTTCGAATTAATCCATTACAAGAGAGGTCGCTTCGCCGACGGCAGTCCGCTCGGACTCAAGTCGATTCGCCGATGTGTATTCGTCGTTCTTTGAACCCGAAAAAAGGAATAAGCATGAAAAAAGTGCGAAACGTCTTCGGGTGAATCGACTTGCAGGCGAACTGGCCTTAACTGCGAGTAGACAACTTCAATGGCTCCTGTTTTCCCCTTTAAATCGACAAATCACGGATCATTTACGAACTAAGAATTATAATCAAGGTTCTATTCTACAAGGCAAATAAAGTTTGTTGCTAACTATAAGAAACAAAACCTACTTCTCAATTTCTTCCGGGATCTCAGACTTGTGCATCCCCTTCAGCGAAGCATAAAACCGCAGGTGCTCTTCAACAGTCAGACGATCAAACAGAACGTTGTATTGAGGGCAGATGCCGAGGCTCTTTCGGACCAAATCGATATCCGTTCGGATGTCGTAGCCATTGATAATGGCAGTACCAGAGGTCGGCGGAAACAAGCCGGTTAACACCGACATCGTAGTGGTTTTACCAGCGCCATTGTGACCCAAAAACGAAGTAATCTGGCCTTGGTATAGGTTGAGACTCAATCCGTCTACGGCGAGTTTGTTGCCATCTTTGTAGATCTACAAAGAAATAAGAAGAAAATTGAAATCTACATCAGTGAATTTACATGGTGAGAACTGTCCACAGAACCAAGATTTACGAAGTTTGGTTTGAGTAATTCAGCCCTACCCACTGAGCAAACCCCTACGGGACTCGAATCATTTTCTGATCCATAATATATTTTTGTTTGGAGGCACCAAGTGTCCTCAAATATAAAAGCGGAGTTCTACTGTACCTTGACCAAATTTCTCATGGAACATCCCAGGGGGAGGTGTGTTGGTTCCTTTTCTGTGACACATCCTCTGTCCAAGGTCTGAAAAGCAACTTCATCCATGCCATCGGTCTGTGAAGGGAAAACACAAACAGAATTCCACTTACAGTTTTAAAATTGTACTTCAATATGCAAGCGATTGCAGGGTCCCAGAAATAGATAAGACAAAAACCGTTCAAGTTGCCCTTGAGCTAAACTTTATCTCCGCCACGATTTAACGGTTGTAACGTTTAACCAACCCAGAATGTTTTGCACTTATGACGACTCGCCTTTCCTGATTTCAACGACAGTATCACTGGTTTTCTTTGGCCTTCCGTTCTTGAATATCGGCACTGAAGTGATTTATCAATAGGACGGGACCTTCAGCTGACGACGGGAAAGCGCGCGGAACTTATGACTAAACGCGACTTATGGTACCCAATTTGCCGCTTTGCCATTGGTCAAGATGTCGTTTTGATCTGCGCGCGAAGTCGTCACTGCCGTCGCGTTATCTTTGCTAAATCTGCCTAATAACCAAGGAGGAGAGAAAGAGAGAGGCTATCCCGGCATTCCGTAATCTGCCATCGATAATTTTGTCCACCGAGACTCGTTTATCCAATCTGCTAAGAACACACTGCCTTTACGTTCAACAGAACGGCAGAGAAGAAAAGTAGAGAATGGCTAAAATATGGTGTTTGCTGTTTATCTAGTGGGCAAGGGTCCAGACAAGTTATTGCGGGCTCCTCTTGTAGCCCGCAATCCTAATCTCCAGGTTGTTCCTACGCATGCGTCGCATGTATGTAGCCAGCATTAGTTTGGACTTCCACTAAGAATGTACGGAATGCACAGAACGCACTTTGACCACGCGCGTTTGGATCCTCTATCACTCGTAATCTGATCACGCGTGTTCTGACCACCTGTCACGTGAAACGTACGCAAAGCACAGCGCTGGAGCAAAAGCGTTTTGACCTTCGATCGTTGTCGCCCGCACTCTTTAACCTTTGGCTATTACTAGTCTGGTAACAAAATCGTAAGCTGAGGCAAGGAAGAAAGGCTCTGAGCAAGCGAATTGTGAGCTGCTTGTCCGCTTGTCCAAAAAGGACAAGCTGGAATTCAAGCTTTTTTTGAGCCCTGAAAGTCCACTGTGCGTTACGATGTCTCCTCAAGATTTTACCATTTACTTCACTATCCCTTATCACGTACCCAGTGTCTGGAGGACATCGCCGACCCTCCTGGTGTGTTCAGATCCATTCCCTGTTCATGATCTTGCGCATACACTGCTATGGTTCGTTTGCTGGCGACCTCAAACCAGTACGATTTCTGGAATGGGAAGTACCATGGTCGTGGGATACCGTACTGGCCTACAGAGGGAATACCGGGTAGCGTTAACGTAACTTGTCTATGACACCTTAAGTCTGATATTAATTCCAAAACTACACTAAGAGTATACCAATATAGACACTGATACCGATACTAGTACTGATGCCAATGCCAATGCTAATACTAATAGTAATACTAACACTAGTACCAATACCACTGCTAAGGCTAGCACTGATACTAATAACTTATGTTAATGCTAATACTGCACAAATACTAACACTGATTCTGATACTAATACTAATGCTAATAATAGTACTAATACTTATGCTGATACTAATACTAATACTGATACTTATGCCAATACTGATACTAATACTAATATTAATACTAATACTTATGCTAATATTGCTACTGATGCTGATGCTAATACCAATACTAATACTAATACTGATACTGATACTAATACTTATGTTGATACTGATGCTGATAACAATACTAATGCTAATATTAATGGTAATGCTAATACTGCACAAATACTTATACTGATGCTGATGCTGATACTAATACTTATTCTAACACTAAAACTGATATTCCTACTTATGTCAATGCTAATACTGAACAAATTCTATTACTAAATACCAATACTAACGCCCATCCCAATGCTAATGCAAACACTACTGCACTCCTTTTACCAACACCCATACTAACCCCAATACTAGTACTAATACAATTAATACTAGTACTACCAACACTAATACTATTGCTAGTAACATTCGTTACTGATGGTAAGTTTTGACGCAGATTTTACCTGGCAAAACAGCCTCAATGTACCAAGTAAGAATGCCATAAATAACAGCGTCGATCATCATCATGCCAATTGCGTAACCAAGACTGAAGGCATCGCCTGACACTGGACTGCTGTAGAAATTGGACCACTGCGCGCCAACACCCTGCTCTTCCAACCGCGCCAAATAATTGCAACAGATACCAAATGCAGTCGTGGAAAGTAAACTCTGTTAAAAAAAACAAGACTCGACTCAGATTATTATCCAGTTAATCGTTCCCTACCAAGGTCCCATAATAATATGTCATTCTCTTCCAGATCCTGTCACAAACATAACCTGCGTCACAAACGTATTCTAACGCCAGTTAGTAACGTCTGCGATGGAGCACTGATATCCATGTCCTGGGCCCAAATGCCTTTCAAAATTCCCTTCAATGCAAGTGGATTGGCAAATCGATAGTGCAGGCATTTTTAACAGGCCAATCATGGCGCGAACTGAAATCCTTGTAAACAGGTGGAGGCATAAAACAAGGATTTCGGCACTGTTTTGCAGATGGACTTAACCAGAAGTTAGTTCTGTCTGTGACGTACGCTATAATAAACCAGGCTAGCCTTTAACTGTACAATCTCAAACACAATAGCTCCTGATTGTAATTTATCAATTCACGAGCTTTCCAAAACTTTTGAGTAAAATTCTAGCTTGAAAACAGACCTCAAATTTGTTACACGTGCGAATGTGGTTATAAACGTAACAAAACATCTTAAACTACCCAGGGATAGGCTTACGCAAAAGACAAGGAAACTGGAAACTCGCACTCTTCGCCCTGCGGTTGCATTTTGTTTCACTTCGCATTTTTCCTATATACCTGGGCTTTAGTTCTAGACAAAACAGTCATTAAAGGAGCTGTGTCACGAAATTCAGCCAAATTAGGAAATTACAAAATGCCTGTTAAATTAAGAGAAACATAAAAATAACCGCTTAAAACTTTAAAGGAAGGTTAAAATAACATAACAGATACAACAGATGTCACGGATGGGCAAAACTGAAGAAGATTGAAACGGATTGAAATTAGGATTTTTGAAAACTGTTCAGCCTAACAGTTTTTCAAAGTTGATCCCTGCTGCTTGCAACATCAAAAATAATGCTCAGGAGACATATTTGTTTGTCTCGGATCTCTGATTCTGTCATTTACATGTAATTTCTTTACTTACTTTAAATTCCATCGAGTAACTGGCAAAATTAAACAAAATGAACTGGACTGCCGTGACACAGCCCCTTTAAATACTTAATTATTTTATTAAAGAAAAAAATACTTTATTATCCTCTTAATTCAAACTGAACATAACAAGGATAAGAATGCCAGCTGAAAGGAGGCGAAACAGATGGCTACTTACAAGCTTGGCCGAAGATTTGAACTCGGGACTACCGGCGAGTACAAATACAGGTGGCGGCAGAAGCGGAACTTAACTCAGGGATAACTAACTACAAGGCTAGCGTTCTAGCCGCTCGGCCAAGCTGCCTCCTCATTTGATTTATTTACACGTTTTGGCTTACCGCAGCAGCTTTATCTCCAGTTGTCATAAACTGCTCGTACCAACGAACAAGAACGTAGGGTAGGTAGGTAACAAAGAAGATGATCCCGCCGCAGGCAGCAGCAAGATTTGCTCGGGCGAAGAACACAGAGATCAAGAAACACATCATTATTGTGGCAATCATGAAAACAAAGAGGAACAAGAAGATAACGAACGGGTCACTGTGCCACAGAATCTTTCCACCTTTGAGGACAGCAACAAGCAGTCCGATTGTGATGGTCATTAGGGCTGAGCTATTGATGAACCATGCAACCCAATGGACTCCGTTACCAAGACCCATGACCTGCAAAGAAACAAAAGAGTATGAGGACAGGGTAAAACGTCGAACTTTTCATGGTACGA